CTGCCAGGCCATCGTAAAGGTAAAAATAAAAAAATAGAAAACATTTTTACAAGACTGGAATATCATTAAAAGCGACTCGCGCCAATTAGCTCATATATATACATACGCCGAGGCCCCGAAGCTCTCCTGCTCTTTCTTTCTCCGTCGTGGCTGCATTATATATTCGCTTCTTTGTAAGCTGGTGCTCTTTTTTTTCTGCTTTTGCCCCGCGTACATGTACGTGTGTGTGTGTGTATTCCATGCATCCCTCGCGCCGCCCAGAAAACCGGAAAAGTTTCGTGCTGCGCGCAAGTCGTAAACCGATTTACCATTTTTTCCTCTCTTTTTATTATGATTATTTTTTTTTCTCTCTTTTATTCTTCTTTAATGAGAGAATCGGTGCAGCGCGGCGCGCACGATCGAAACTCGCGTGTATGTAATGTAGTATATAAGCCGGAGCCAAGAAGTGTGTGCTGTGTACTATATAACGCGGGCTGCGTATATTTTTTTTTGCACGTATACGATTGTCCGTCGCTTTCGTGCGCTTGCGATACGCGCCAAATTGTTTCTCGGAAATCTTTCGGATTCGTTATATACAGTCGCTAATAATAATGGTCAAGGAAACGAGAGAGATAGAAAGAGATTCCGAATTTCTCTTTGATCGGACAATTAATTCATTCGTCGCTGCGATGTGTTCGGCACAAAAAAAAATCTCGTTTATGGCACCCATTATATACATATTAATGTGACCGCGTGTGCGCTCGCGCGCGCCGCAGTACGCGATACAAGTAACAAATCTGTTTAAATATTTTATTATATTGTTGAACGTCGCCGCGTGTCGATACTCTTTTTTTGACGAAGCGCCGCCTTTTATCCCTTTTTATGATGGCATTGTGTCGAGACGACCGGGCTAGAATCTTGGAAAACACAGTTTCAACATTGCTCGCTCCCACGAGAATATATGAATGCACGAATTATAAGTTAACGCGTATAAATATAAGAACAATGTTGAAAATGAAAAGTTGGCCGTATTCGCGTGTTTAAACGCATACTTTTATTTCTAATGCCCAAGATAATTAAACGCGACTTTTCATGTACGGGAAGAAATAAAAATATTGCGTTGCAGCTAACAGCCTTACGTCGATTCTTAGCTTTATACAATTGTTACAAGTACGCGTAATCAAGAATTTTCTACAACACCACTAGGGTTTCAATATCCTTTGTTATAATACAGCGCTTTACCTTGTTTTATAGTTAAAAAAGAAACCAATGCATAATTATGACGCAACAAGTGTATTGTTATTCAATTGGATTATAGAATTGTTTGATGGTCTATAATGAACTTTAAAAACATCTTCAAGTATAGCACTTTTTCGATGAATTATAATGTACGTTGACAATCAAATTACTACAGTTCGTAATGATTCTCGTCGGTATATTAGATTTATAGAGATCATTGTGTGTCTAGTGTAATCTGTCTACATTTTAGAATCCAATAAAATATCTAATAAATTTGATGAAATTATCATTTATTTACCTAACTCTCGCAAATACAAGTACATACTCAATCAAAACAAGACAGTTTGTCACACTCTTTCGGCCATAAAAAAATTCAGAACTATAGTAAATACTATAAAAATTCCGACAAAGTACTAGTTACATGTCTAAAAATTATCAATGTAGCTATCTACATGGAATCATTTTACTTTTGCAATTTTGAAACAGTTTCATACATACATTCTCCATAGTTTATCGGTTCATATGGTCTTAGAGTACAACAATTTAATATTATAGTTCATACGAGTATATCATTAATAAATCAATTGATGTCAGTTTAATAAATTTTCGAAGAAGTACTCGAAAACCCATATTCAATTCCTATGTGCAAAAATGTATTATAAATCTCATTAAATATTATATTTTCATTGCTGTGTACCAACAAATAATCTGTGCCTCTTGATCGGCTATAGACCTCTTTTAGTGCTTAAAAGATATTGATTTAATGTATCGAAGTATCCGACTATTATAAGATCATCGAATGAAATGAATTATACTCAATAAAAGGATTAGTTGATTATTGTAAACTTTTCTAAATAGTTAATAGACATCGTATTCATAAAGAATAATATACTTCCTCATCAACACCATATAGCAATAACAATCCAACATCTGGCGTAAAGTGTGTATAAGAGACAAACCGAGTCATACACTAATATATATTTTTATGTATGCTAAGTAATTTACGGGGGTGTGCGTTGGCGCTTCAACAATATAACAATAATATAATAATAACAACAATAACACGATATTATAAAAAAGACGCGTGAAACACCGGTAGCTGCCTCGTTACACATTTATAACTATATTATAAACCTTAAATGCACATATTATGTATGCGCACGACTCATCGCTGCTCGCGCTTCATTTTATAAATTGCAAGAATCATAACGATGTACAATAATTCGTGTCTATATTTACGAGACGATCTTTTAAATGCGTATTGTAAACTAATAAAGATTTCAATTATAAACCATACGACAATATTTAACGATAACTCGTGAGAATTTTTCGCGCAAACGCGAGAGAACCGAGAGCAAGAGATCGCGAGTTAGGGAGCACGACGGAGTCGACAAGGAGTCAAGGCAGAAAAAAAGGATATTAACGCGCGTACGATTGACCATAAAACGTTTTGATTCGTCTACTATAAAAAATCTGCACGATGTGTATGTGTATTTATATCTTACTTTAAATTGAAAGATCAACGGGCAATCGAAGAAACGAGCTTTTGAAGGATATCTATTATTTATTGTATACAATATAGAGTCCAGGAGGATTGCAGCCGAAGAGCCGAGAGTGCTGTTTGATTTATAAAAGCTTTACTCGGCGGCTTGCGCACAGCCCGAGTTTTTATGCCCGCGTGCAGTGCTTTGAAATATATCACAGGTGCGAAATCCACACGCGCGTGTGTAAGCTTTGCAAAAGCATCTTTTCTACGCCTGCAATAAAGCCATATAAAAGTCGCTCACATGTGCATTTCTTCCTCTCTCTCACTCTCTTTCTTTTGACAACAACAAAAACAACAACAATGACTCTGGGGTGACAGGCAGTGAAAGGATCGTTGCAACGATAGAGGAGGATATTCCCATATCGATCCCGCAGCAGCAGCAGCACGTGCCAAGCTCATATTCCAAAATTTCACGGATAATATAGCCGGCGTTTATGTTCTTAATGCTTTGCTAAACATGAAAAATTTATTAATTTATTGTTATACTCATCGCGAAGAAGCGTGCGGCAATTTCGCACGAGAGTTGTGCGTTACGACTCTCTGTATTGTATTATATGTGCACGTGTATTACCGCAGGTATCAACAAAACTCAAACTTGCGTTGGTGGTTTTGTCAATAAATAGAGCCTGTCTCTATAATTAAAATTCAACTTCGTGTAATTTGACACCCACAGCTGGTCATAATTTCTATTAAATCTCAGATACTTTGAACTGGGAGAAAGTTGGCTTATCAACTCTTTCGATTTCGGGATCCAGAATTTACATAGATCGCTCGTAAAAAAAGATGCAGTAGCTTATAGTAAGTAGATGGCATGTACGGTATTTCACACCTTCTGTTTCTTGTAAAGGGGCATCGTTACGACAGATGATTGGCTCTAAGGCTCAGTAAAATTTTCTTTCGATACTGTCCAGACCTCCCCTCGTAAATCATATTAGCAATAAAAATTCTTTAAGACTTTTATTACGAATTTCCTATCGATATCGTTGGATGCGCTTCGAAAACTCCAAGCACTCAAATTTTCTAATGCTTGGGACGTACATTGTTTCAAGCGCATTTGAACAGACGCGCGTAAACACGTACGCATACACGCACACAAATTACTCGTTGTCTACGTTTCGTCAGATTGTAGGAAAAAAACGAGCCGATTTTATCTTGACATTTTGAATTACGAATATTTATAGCACACTCTTGTACAAAGGCCAATACACTGAGGTATTTGAAACAATTGTGTACAAGATCGTAATTAAATTTTTATTGAACCAAATAAAACCTGTAAATGGCTTGGTCAAGTGCAACGCACGCATTTAAACAATATAATTCGTTGAATCCGTTGAGTAGATCAATCACGATCGATTCATATATAATGTCCGAAAATATAATTCATTCGGAAAAAAGTTGAGAAGTGCAGTCTTGGTGTACGCACGAATTTGCAAAACGCGTCTAATCTTATCTGTTGAAATAATCTTATCTGCAGGAAATCTTGCTGGGATCCGGACGCGTCTGGTATGTATAAATAAATGAATTATACACATTATTCGCGTTAGTAAATTGTCCCATCGCGTTATTGTATCAAATGTCAAGGATAATCGCCAACCCGACGCCCCTTAATTCGTCTCTGGGGGGTGGCGACAGGACAGCCAGTCGAAACGAAGCCTTCGTACGAAAAATATAATTCATGCGTAAAAAAGTGAATCACGATACAAGGAAAATTGTGCACGAGCGAGCTTGATACGGCAGAGTTACAGCTCCATGTAAACATATTTCATTAACTTTTTCATTTGAAAAAAGTTAAGGAGGTCAGGTTATTAGCTCGAAAATCAAAACGAGCCATATCGACTTTGGACAAAATTAGCATGTTTATCCGTACTCGACGATACAGCGATTAAAATCGAGAAAAATGAAATTAAAAAAAAAAGGCCAGGGTAAAGCACGAAGACGGATAGCGAGCTGTAGTACTACATGGCAGCAATACTGGCGCTCTCGGCTCGACTCCGCGGCGTCTCGAACGAGACGTGGTGGCAATAATGCAAAGCACGGCTCGGAATCTCGACGCAGTCGATTGGTAGGGCGAGGAGCCGAGGCGAGTTGGTGGGGGACGCGGGGCAGATACCAGCCCATCGGGGGCCACGCACACGTGGGCGGGGCTCCGCTGGCTTGTTCTCACTCGGTCTAGCTGTGTGTGCGTGTATGTGTGTGCTTCGGCCGACTACGATATCGATACACTCGGGCTCTCGTCTCTCAATGTACGTACGGACACAGACAGAGGAGCGCACAGTGCGATATGTACAATATCATAGGTGTGTAGAGGTATACACAACTCCTACTATGTGCCAAAAGTATCGTGCATGTAAGCATGCCCGAGACGCCACGGATCGTCTGAACTCAGATCGCGCCTGGCTGACGGCCGCGTAGGAAGCTCGACTTCAGGCAGAAAGAGAGAGAGAGAGAGACACGGCGTTGCTGTATATGGCGGATTTCGATGATTACAAAAAACACGAGACTCGACCGGGGCCAGTATCAGTGATCGACTAGCCGTCCGACAGCGCAGTAGGTGCCCGCGAGCGCGTGTGTGTGCCTATTTGCAAGAACTAGAGAGATAGGCTGCTTCGCATTCCTATTTACGAGTAATAAACGGTAATATAAACAGAGGGACAGCTCGACCCAACAGTGCGTGACTATATATCTACGTGTGCTATAAATGTTGTGACAGTGCAGTTTGACAGTTTTTCAAGTGTTAACGATTGTTCTTCAAAAAGTTGTTGTCGTTGTGTGTGCCATAATACATACGCACGAACGTTTATTGGCCTGCGCTGCGAAACTCACGGCCCATCGTAAAAAAGATTGTATAATACTACTCTGTGTCTCTCGGCCGTAAGCGCTAAATGAAGAAATCGCGAAAATAATGGTGAGTTTTCACAATCAGTCGATGGACACTTGTCAAGCGTCGCAAGCATCGTCAGGAATGTCGTCGAGCACCAACGCCAACACGAATTTGCAACTTCAGCAGCAGACCGGAGAGATATCGCCACCCCTGCATCTGATCGCCGCGGCGGAGACGAGTCCTCAGGTACAAACGCCGATTCACGGCCTTACCTCTGCTCAGCAGCAGCAGCAGCAGCAGCAACAACAACAGACGCAGCAACAAACGATGCCGTCATCGGCGGCGGCGGCGGCTGCAGCTATGGACACGCACTCGCCCTGGCTCAGCTACATGATGTCCAACAATAATCCGACGGATCACCACGACTCGCTGATGCAGTGGTCCACCAGCGCTCCCTCGCCGTTCGCCTATCAGCAGCCGCAAACGCAGCAGCAGCAACAGCAGCAGACCCACCTGCAACAACAGTATCATCACCAACAGCAGCAACAGCAACAACAACAACAGCAGCAGCAGCAGCAGCAACAAAATATGCAGCAGCATCAGCAAGCCTACGGTGATCACGTGTACGGGGGTCACCATCACCAGCTGCAGCATCATCATCACCAGGCCCAAGCCCACCACCATCATCATCATCATCATCAACAGTACGGTCATCACGGCTTCGAACCGCACCACCACCAGTACAACAATCTGTCCTGGCCCGGGGCAGCAGCCGCCGCAGCAGCCGCCGCCGCAGCTGCCGCTGCTGCCGCCGCGACCGCCGTCGGTCCGGGTCTGTCCAACAGCGTCGCCGAGCACTCGAACAACGACGCAGCCGTCCACAGCGACAGCAGCCCGATCTTCGACGGCCACGAGTCGAGCGGCAACGACAGCGACGGCAGTGGCTGCAACAGTCCCTCGTCCACCGGCTCGATCAACAACAACAACAATAACAACAACAACAACAGCGGCACCGGCTCCAAGAGGCCCAAGTGCGCCAAGAAGCTGAACAAAATGCGCAGCAGCCCGAGCAGGCAGAGGACGGCCAGCGAATTGGCGGCCGAGCTGGCGGCGGTGCGCAATCATCACAGCAGGTACCCCTCGTCGCTGTCGAGCGAGCACGGCGAGCAGGTGGTGGTCGGACCACCGGGTTGCAGCGGCAGGCTCGAGGACGGCCTCGAGGGATCCAGCGGCGGCTCCTATGCCGCCAGTGCCAGGCCCGGCAATCGTTCTCCCTTCAACTGGTTGAAGAAAGGAGCGCCTCAGCCGGCACCCGGTGAGTTTTTTTACCCTTTTTTTTACATTTCACTTGCATCGACGCTCACGAACGAGTGAAGCTCGCTCCGAGCATACAAGCCACTAACCATTTCATTTTTCAACCCTGCAATTTCACCTCGTAATTTCGCGTGAAAAGCTCAGCTCATCAGAATTTTCAATCTACCTCTTTTGTGCGAAATGATTTGTATAGCTATATACAGACCTGACTATAATAAGAAGGAAGAAGAATCGAGCCAAAGCCACTTAATAATATTATATGAAAAAAAAAACAAAAAAAAAATCAACATGTGTGTCGACGTCTTGGTCAATTGTTTTAATTGTGTTGCAGCAGCATGCAACATTGCTAACGACACGACAGCGGCTACTGCAACGGTCTCCGATCTCTGCACTTTAGATGCCTTTGGTACGCAAAATGATATAATAACAACAACAACAACAGCTACAAAAAAACATAGCAAAATAAAAGAGAAATTATAAAAGATGATGATTTGACATTTAGTATAGTTTTTGCACGTAGTCGTTGTTTACATTATAAACGGTAGCTATACAATAGTCAATAGCGTGCACGATTTGTCTTTTAAATTTATGCGTCGATGATTTTTTTATTCATTCATTTTTTTTTCTTTTTACCTATCGTATTTTATCGTAATTTATTTGTGTACCTATGTAATTATATGTATACGAATTGCTGCATGCTGCATGCCCGTCCAGCGTGACTGTAAATTATCAAAACTATTTGTACACACACAGTAGCTCGTGGTAGCGATCGATTCGCGAGATATGTAATACACACAAAACGCCGACGTCAAATTTGACGAAGTCGACACGCGTGCTCGATCGATTACAATTAAGTTTCGATCATTCGTATTAATTAAATTCCGAAAATCTCTGATGATAAACAGAGAGAGAAAGAGACAGACGTTGTGCCGCGCGCAGAGACTATACATTCCGATGACGAGCAGCAGCGACCCACACCCATGACGATTGGCTCGCTCGGAGTCAATTCGAATTATAAAGATCGCCACCTCATCTCTCTCTCTCTCTATTCCGAATTTCCACGCCACTTTGAGGTTGACATTTATATTCATACGCGCGTTTGACGCATTATACGCTCGGGCTCCTTGTAACCGCGCGCGCGCACAGACACGAATAGCAATACAAAAGCATCGCGAGCGCACGAGACGAGGATATTTTTCCAAGGCAACGCAGGCGCGTGTCTACTTAGCCGAGCTCGACGAATGGCGCCCGACACACTGTATATCCTGCAGCACATGTATATAATGGGGTGGCAACGAGTCCCTCGAGTACCATTTCAACGGGCTCGGCTACGCTTTTGTTTTTTCTCTTTTTTCGCGCACCTCCCCGAGACTCGAGTCGCTGGCGGCGCAAAAGAGCAAAGAGAAGAATTTGTTATTCGCCTGGCGTACATATCTGCACGAGGTATACCGCGACGACGACGACGATGTGCGATCTTCTCTTCACTTTGCGCGAAATCGTGAGAAAAGATTACTGTACGTACACCTTATAGGACGTTAAATCGGCCATGTAGCATCTCTCTTATAAACCTCCTTCGCGGCTCCGAATGTGCCACTACCTACATGAGTATGTGTGTATTTGTGTATATTGTGATCTCAGCTTTGAAGAAGCTGAAAAATTTTTCAATTATCATCTCTTTGCGCTCGCGCGCGCATTATTATATAGCCTCGTGAAAAAACGTTTATTTCTCATTCGCACGTTTTGCGCGACGACGCGCATATTATTATTCGCGTGTGTGTGCGTATAAGAACAGGTTTTTCCTCTATAATCGGCTCGATTCGTCGCCCGGATCGGCGTATAAGACGCGCTGCGGCACCCGACGTGTGTGTTCAATGATCATCAAAGAGTGAGCGGCCGCGCCATTAAAAAACATTAACTGACTCTCTGTATAAATAGCCCGCGTACGGTAGCTCTTGGTCAGTGGCGAGCTCCTCTTCTTTTTTATTCTTTTTTCACTCTTTTTTTTTTTATTTCAATTTTCCCTCAATTTCTCTCTTAATTTCTCGCAATAATGCAACGATTCTTTAATCCTCGCGCGCTCTCGTTTATTATAAAAATGCTTGGAAAGTCGACCTTGGGAATCGGTCTGTTTGCACAGAGATTATCAGAGAGACTCGGCACACGGGTAACCTGCGCGCGTACACATACATTCGTACAATATAGCACTTTTGCGAACCGATACACAGCTGCACACATTTGTAATACAAACACGTAGGTATACATGAATATGCACGTAGGCGCGCGCGAATACGAAGGGATTTAGCGAGTCTTTTATCGAAATTTTTTGCGTGTGCCGCATATAGGCTTCTCTTATCTCCCACAACATATGTTTCGACGCACGCGTATATGCAGATGCACTTGTTACATATAGTCGCTCTTTTATTTAACCACACCACCTTACAGCACCGCTGCACTACTCCATAACGATACGCGCACCCAAGAGAATCTCGAAAAGAAGAAACATGTAGCATGGCAGACGATTATTTATAGATGAATTTATTTTGGCACGTGCACTATCAAAATGTTATTGTGTATACATCAGCAATCACGTGCCCCTCGCCCAATCAGAGAGACACATTTCTTACATTCGTACGGGCGAAAATATCAATAATTGAATTTGATAATGAGTGAGATGGAGGAGGAGGAGGGACATTTCATAACAACGACATTACGCTTCGCGATTAAAGCACATACACTCCACATCGTGTATACACACATATTATATACGTACTCTAAGACTCGCGGAAAAAAAATTTATTGTCCGCACGTTTCTAATCGATTCGCGCGCTAAGTGTTACAACAAAATACTGTATATTTCTAGATTCGAATCGTGTCATCGCATGTGTCACTTCGTGTGTCGTATCCGATATATTGTGACAGCACGTCGTACGCATTATTTTTGATGTAGAGATCCGATTAAGATCGATTCTCACAAGGTATAATAAATGACCCGCATGTCAAACCCGAGGAGACGTATCAAATATAATCGATCAATTAAAATTCGCGACGTTTTATAATACAGGCTAATTATTTTTTTCTCTCTCGCCGCGATTTTTTCTCTATTATTATTTTGCCCGTAACCAAGAACAGTTCTTTCACTTTTTTTTCGATGCAGTCTATTGCGTTTTTATCCGTGCGATGGAAATTAAAGATAGCACTTGGCGCGCTTAGAGCGAGATGGGCTCCTCTCGCGTTACACACGTATAAAATGTACGCGCGACAGTCTTTGACAAAATACCTGCGCGTCGTGTAATTATTATCACTTTGCTTCGCGGCGACACATGTACAATTATTGCGCATTCGTGTATATCATGTGTATATGTACCGAGGCGCTGTACAGCGAACCGATTTAGGCCTCGTTCTCCGGAGTTTGTGATGTTTAACGAGCGATATGTCGGAGCGCGACTAATTGAAACATCACAGCGACACGATGCATCGGGTGTTAGTATAGTACATTAACAATTGTACAATCGGCCGACAGACCCCATTAATCATTACTCAATTTCTTCACCTATTGTACTTATTGTTCGAGCATCGGCAACGGCAGCAACGGTGTTGATAAGCCATGATGTGACAACTTGGCCGGCTTATCTGATTTTTAAACTAGTTTTTTGTCGATATAAACGTTCTCGTATACGGTGAATGAAGTATTTCTAAATTTCGAGTGCGTGAGTTTCGTAAAATTTTGACTGATCACCATGTGCGTACAATCATGACATATACCTAAACACAGCGAAAAAGAGAGAGAGAGAGAGAGAGACGCGCAACTTTGGCGAGGGTGCGAGAAAAGAAGAAGGAAAAGAAAAGACGAAAAAAATGACGCTCCGGTTATCGTCGTGCGGATTAAGGCCTGTGCGCGCTTTTGCGCGCGAATCTCTTTGAAGCGCACCGCGACGAAGCTTCGTACACGGCTCGACCTACGCGCTCGTCTTATCTAATCACGTGTTTCTTCTTTACATTTGCGCGCATCTTGAATCTTTTCTCTCTCTCTCTGCTTCTCGCGTCGCCACCTGCGTGCGACGCGACGACGATTTCTCTCGGCAAGTTTGTCTTCTTTTTTTCGTCCTGCCTGTGCACTGCGATCTCGTTCAATTATTTCGATATCGAATTCAGACGTACATAAATACGTCGCAAGCTCAATAACATTGCAGCGGTATTAACAACAATTATGTAACGATCGAAACACGCGATCCGATGAGTATCGATGCATCGCAACAATCGGATCGCTGCGAGCCCGTATAATCTGGAATAATTCCGTAGACTAGCGCGAGATTGTCGTCTCGATTTTTTATTTTTCACGTAACCGTTATGCAGATATTTCTATTGCAATTAAACTGCTCTTCTCGCGTTCATGTAATTATAATACGTGCTCGAAGTTATGACAAAAGTATGCCGTGTAGCAAACCTCGCATTGCTGTGCACGGGTAACTCCGCGCGTTCTCTTATCGCACCGACGCTCTTTAACACGCGAAAAAGCCCCCTTATCAAGCTCGTATTATACGGCACGAATGCGAAGGATTCGCGCGAGCGCGTGTAAAGAACGATGGAATTCAAAAATCGGAGATCGGCTTCGATTCTTCTTCTGCTTTTTTTTCTTCTGTAGCGTAGAAACATCCACTGCGTATTGCGTACCTCGCAGATCTAGATCTGGCTACGTAATTTTAATTAACAAAGAAAACTCTAACGAAACAAAATTTTAACATCTATATCAATCATTAATTTATTATCGCATTTTGAATGTAAAACATGCGTTTGCTTTTCGTAATTTTTATCAACTTGTTACAAAAAAATGTGCGATAAAAACGAATCGAGGTGTTGAATTTTTCGTTGCGCTTCTCTGTTGCAGGCAAAACGCGCACCAAAGACAAGTACCGCGTCGTGTACTCGGAGTATCAGCGGCTGGAGCTCGAGAAGGAGTTCTATCTGTCCAAGTACATAACGATCGGCCGCAAGGCCGAGCTGGCCACCAATCTCAATCTGTCGGAGCGTCAGGTCAAGATCTGGTTCCAGAATCGACGCGCCAAGGAGCGCAAGCAGACGAAGAAGCGCAGCGATCCGTCGGACTCGTGCAGCAACGATCAGCAGCAGCAGCAGCAGCCACAGCGACCGCAGGACGTCGTCATCGGCGGCAGCTTGGAGCACCATCACCATCATCAGCAGCATCTGCAGCAGCAGCAACAGCAGGCAGCAGCCAGCGGCATCGGGGCCGGCAGTGGTGCCGGTGTCAACCCGTCGACGGCGTTGGCTTCCCCGGGCGGCAGTTCTCTGTCGGCCATGAGCCACCTGTCCCAGATGGCCCAGGCCTCGATGCTCAACGGCCTGATGGGCCACCACCCGATCGCGGCCCACGAGCACCACCACCAGCACGCCTATCATCATCCGGTGCATCACGCCCTGAGCAACGCCCATCATCATCATCACACGGCGATGACGGCGGCGGTGCACCATCAGGCCCTCTTGGCGGCGGCCCACTCGGCCCACGCCCACACGATGATGCAGCACATTCATCCCGCGGGTCTGCACGTGTCCCCGCCTCCCCCGGAGTACGCGGGTCCGGTGGCGGCGACGTCTCCGCTGCTGTCGCAACAGCAACAGCAACAACAACAGTCCCAAGCTCAGCACATGCACGCGATGGTCTCGCCGCCGCAGCAGCAGCAGCAGCAGGGCGTGCACAATCAAGGGCAGCAGCAGTCGTCGCCGACGACGCAGCAACATCAGCAGCATCATCAGCATCACTCGCCGCCAAATGGCTTGTAAATAGTCTCATAACTTCATTTTTCATCCTCCCCCGATGAGGCATCGACGCGATCGAATTTTTTAATTTAGTCATTATCACACGCGTATTCAAGTTACGCGAATTACTATAGGTGTAAATACTTTTACGAGTATACGAGGGTACATAAGACGCACGTGTATACGATCAGGGGGTAAATTTATTTGCAGCTTTTGTTTTGCGCGCGGCGTACATCCAACGCTAGACGACTTTCTCGCAGTAGTTTTCTTGTTGCACGCGAGTGTCTATAGTTGCACACACATAGACTCACACACACGCGCATAGTACCCGTTACGTTTTTCCCGTGGGTTCTCTCGCTCTCTCCCCCGTCGCGCGAGTGAGAAAACGTCTCTCTCTCTTTTTGTAAATATAGTTATATAGAGACTACGCGCTGAACGAGTAAGAAACTTTTTCTCCTTCGATCTGCTCCGCTGCTGCTGCTAGCACGCGAAAACAAACTTTTATTTGCCGGGATTTCTTTTCTCTTCGCACACCGACGTCTAGTATTCGAGTCTTCATTTTATATATACCGAACGGTATATAGCTACGGGTCCGCTGTAAATAGCCATCTCAAATCATGTAAATAAATACGATTTTTTTACACTCTAAGATTATAGGTACGTATCATGTCATTTTAGGTATGCCGCGATGCACAAAACGGAATGTACTCATTGACTTAGCTTTAATCGTGTAAAAATGTGCCTTTTGTGCGATTCGTTGATTTATTTCATTGTTCTCACTTTTTTGTTGAATGTATAGAGAGGTGACCGCACACCCTTACCTCGAGAATAAATGTGATACTCCGATCGTTTGAGCTTATTGTATTTCGAAAAATCGCGCGTGAAAACTTGAAAAACAAAAGAAGAAACTTCCGAAGAATTCAACGAGTCTCGAGCGACGGATGAAAAGCTGTTTTACACTATCCGACGCTTCGCAGATATATTTCAAAGATAAGTACCAGCGCAAAATCGTTCGCATCGAACCGACTCTTGCTATAGTACTCGATCGAGCCACGGAACTGTAACGAGTATTTACCGAATGTAATTTATTTATAAAATAATGCTCATTCGTGTTTTTAGAGACGATTTCCATGGCTTATCGTTTTGAATAATTGACCAATATTATGAGGATTTTCGGAAATAATTTTCAAGTTTTACCCGTTGCGTTTTGTATTTACATGTAAATTAAGTACACCATAAATTTGAAAGCGCGTCGCATTCGATGCACTTTGCGACAAAATAAAACACATCGAACGTAATTTACATCAACACAGTTAAAATACTCATTACAATTACGCATTACGAATTGTCGTTTTAAGTTCCAAAAGTACGTTTATTTTTATTTTTGTTTATCGTTTCGACAAATGTGTGATCAAACAGCGAGGAATGTTGCTCGATTATTTTTCATCTCATTTTAATGTAAAACTAAGTATGGTTGCAACGCTTTATAAATTATACACTTGTAATATGGTACGAGTGTTTCGTTTACTACTTAGATATATATTATACTCTGTTAAATAAATGAAATGGAACCGCAAAACTAAAGCAATGTTTGTATATATAGCATAAAAGATTGTAAAAGTAATTATGTTGTCCATTTTGCTTATTAAGATCTTTTTTGTACATAGTATTATTAGTTAGTGCGTTAATTTTTAATTAAAACCGTTGTTTATTATAGCTAAACGTAATTGTTTGACAATTAATTTTAGAAGTAATATAACGTGAAAATTCAAAATATCGACATCTTGATTTCTTTTCAATGAACGTATTATTAATGAAATGAAGAACATTTTATAAACATATAGCGTCAATAATTTTAACATTTAGCACCCTGGACAGTGAGATGGTATAAACTATTCGCCTTTTATGCCATCTTGATTGTCTCTCTCGCTATCAATGTAAAATTACGCGCTATTTTTTTTTTAATGAAAATCCGAAAAAATTCGACTCTGAAAAATTTTATCTGGTTATAAAATTGTAACATGTACGTGCTCGAGATAAGTGTACTTCTACAAATATTTCGACACGATTCAAAAAACGGACTTTTTTTCTCAAGGCGTTCAGAATCGAGTTTATCGTGTGCTCTGTACGGAGAAAGAGATATTTTGATGATTTTTTTGTGTCATCCAAATTTTGGTGCATTTATCTGTAATCATGTGTTACTATTTCAACACCTTCTTATATTTGTAATATTTTTATACATTGCGCTATTACCACAAAATATGTATTTCTCTATTACAATTATCGTGTAAAAACGTAAAGGTAAACGATGAAAAATAAAAATAAAATTACAAAAAAAAAAGTAATAACAAACTGTCAATTGGTTTTTGTCCTTCTTTTTCCATGGCCAAAAGAAATACGGAGTCGAGAAATGCGATGATCAAATACCATAGCGAGGGCATAAATTAAAAAGGCGATAAGTATCAAGTTACAGGCGCATCAATTCCATTTGAATCGGTCGTTCATTTACTCGCTCGTTGCGAAAAGACAATTGGAAACGTTTACGCGGTGAAGTCGACATGTTGTGCGCCTCGCTGCTACCCTCGCCACGACCACGCACGCAATAATCCAATGCAAGTGTAGCGCATGAATAGCAATATATCGCGTACATGGTGTCTCTATAACCGGGCGCGCGACGGAACGTCGCAGCAATTACCGCATCCCAGCAGAGAGAGAGAGAGAGAGAGAGAGAGAGACAAGATTTACTGTACATCATATACACGGGGCTAGTTTTGTCGAGTATACGAAAAGACGAGAGAGTCGACCGCAAAGTAAATATCGCGTCGGGGCCGTTGTTGCGCGTTGGCCTTTTCTCGAGCGCTCCGTTGCAGCATCGCGCCAGTAATGCATTTGCTATACACGGGCAATACGGACCTTTTCGTAAGCAGCCAAAATGAGTCTCCAGGGTGCTCTCGGCTCGAACGAGCGCGCGCCCGGATCGATGCGCCCTCGCGTGCACGGAGCACCCAGGCAAACGCGCACAAACCCACAAGCCCGACCTATCTCATTATTCTCGGCTTCTCGTCGTCGACCCTTGCTCGCGCCCCGACCCGTTGGCTTTACTCGCGATATATGCATTTAATGGGACCGAGCGTCGCATCGCCAAGCGATGAAACTTGATTGCTTCGGCGCTTTATTTATGTCGTACCGCTCGTGCTACATTTTTTTCTGTTTGCCTCTGCTTTCGTACTATATTATATATATGTAATCTCGAGAATCGACTCGAGCGTTATTGTCGAGATTTTTGGATTCGCGCCAGACTCGAGACTCGTCTCGCGATGTAGCGCATGTATATCGAGTGCAGTGCTGCTGCGGCTTCTCGACGCCCAGCCGCAGGCGTGATCGATGATTTTATAGCGCGATAAAAGTCACCGCGCGCGCGCGACGATGCATTATATTGTATCGCGCGCGGGGCTGAACGCGGAGCTGATCGATGAGCGCCGCAGTTGAGTAATTGAATTTTCATCGCGCGGTTATAACTCTTTTTCCTCGATGATGGCCTCGTGTCACATAAGGTCAATGCTCGTTCGCGGGAGAGATGCTTTTGACATTTATTGCCCACGTGAATACAACGTACATGATGCATCCGCACGAGTCGCTCTCTTGTACCATTGTGAAATCTATTATATATATGAGACGTACAATGTACATCGGATCATTTATCCATATCTCAACGCGACGAGTCTCGAGCAACTACATAGTCTTTACATGTGGTTCACAAATTTTATTATATTTACTCAAGTTCAAACGAGTTCGTATAGCACATACTACATATATTTAATACACACATACGCAACTCACGGGGCTCGGGTTATGGAAAGAGCATAGCACAAAATCACGGCATATACAATTACGCGCGTGTGTATGTATAATGTGTATCGTATATCTGTACAAGTAGGCTAAGAGTCAATGTCTTTACATGTTTGCTCTCACAATGCTAAGTAATTGTAATCGCTAATCTATCTCTATTGAACATATGTACGTCTGAATGTGGTGCACGTCGCAGGTAAGCTAAATCACCGGCAGCAGCCACGGCACAGCGCCTAATAAGACATCGTCTGTTTAATTACTCGAGGCGACAAGTCGGAGGCGATGATTATTAGACGCGGCCCAAAGTGAATTACAACTTCTTGGAAAAACCATTGCCTGTACCGTACCTTATTTGTATAATTAAACATGCCGCGCGGAGCGGCGATTAAACGATGTATTATTGTTATTTTTCCTCTTTTTTTTTCAAAATAGATTTGTACAAAAAGTGAACGACATTTTACGACAGGGTTTATCGGGCGTTACTGTGTACACCGATGAAATAAAATTTTAAAAATGGCAAATTATCGGCGCGCGCGGCTGTTGCAAGACAAAAAAATTTCCGATTCGAAAGAGGTGTATGTTACAAAACACGTATACGATCTGCGCGTGTACAGCAGCGTAAATCATATACGTATGCGTGTAGCAGTAGTTCGTGAGAGAAAACATCGCAGGATACCGAAATAAAATTCAATACGTATTAATTAAAAATCACATAAAATGCCAAGAGCGGATCGCCCGCGAATTACATACATAATCTATAATAGAACGTACGCTTAATTATCCAGACAACGAAAAAAAGCGAAAAAAAGCGCGAAATTATTCTAATTTCTTAACATATACGTGAGTCTACGTGGTCGTGTAGTGACCAAATTGATTAGGATACGGGTGTGAAGATCGTTCACTAATTAATTCGAAAACACGTTTTCACCGATAAACATACTTATGCGTGCTACATGAAGTCAAGCTCGAGTGATGGTATGAATAAGGCGAGTGACCCAAGTAAGTCTAACTTCAATCGATAGTACTTGATCTCTCAATGATTGAGGAATGCACTTAACGCTAGAACAGGCCTAAGCGAGCAGCGCCATCGGAAGCTGTTTTATAGTCAACAAGCCTGTTCGTCGTATGTCATCCTTTTCTCTTTCAATCGATGTGAATTTTTAATTTTTGGTCAGATGTTGAGAAAAACGGAAACCGCTCGTCTGTGGCGCGTGTCAATAAAAACAGATATAGAACAAGTATTCGGCGGCGTGGTATAAAGAAAAAAGAAAGGATTTTTATGGCTTTCCGAAATCGATGCAGCATACATAACTCCTATTCATATCGATGTCGTATATGTCAATGAAATACGACAATTAAAGAAAGTCCTGAAAAGTCAAAACTCCATTTCATGGCCGGATCACGACTCGTCCCCATTGATCGACTATCAGTAAGAAATGTTCTACGATTTTCTTCTCACTCTTATAAGGTACGAGCATTGCGTTTTCAAGACTACGCAAAGTCACACCTCAGAATTCAGAGAAAATATTTAAATTTTACTCGTTATTATTATCTATAATTCTCTTATCAAAATAAGGACGTTAGGATGAGCTTTCAATCGTTCCATTTGTGTAGAAGTGAAATTTTAAATCTGAAGCTTAGAATAAATTATCATATATCATAATATCAAATTACGATCGATTATTACTTTTAGCTACTGCATGAAACCAATAAATCGTAATTTTTTATTGTATCCTTTTTCTTGGTTAAAGCGTTTACAGATCAAATTACTTTAGCTTTAATTGCATTTACAATATGACGTTGGTGTGATTGGTCTGATGACGTTGGTGCGTTTCAATTAGACGTCATCGGGAATGAGCAAATGACGATATCAGACAAAGAAGTCATTTTAAATCGGTGCCAAAAAAAATATTTAAATACCAGCCTAATACACTTTCCTTGTAAATTTAACGATTGAAATTTCTCGTCCAATGCCTAACAACAGCTCAATACGGCATCATGAGCTTATAACAATGTTTGCTAATTTCCGCCCATCGATGAATCAGTGCGCACACAATATTCGCAAAGCCCTATATAACTTTTGGGGCTAACGACGCGCCGGCCGCAGCACATAATAATATTAAAGCGCGCCACAATTTCGCGAATATCTATATTCTTCAAATTTACGATTGTTACTTTTAAGCGTTCTCCCAGTGAACGTGAGAAGTCGCAGCGAGGCACACACCATCGCGGATGCTTTATGGGCTATTTTATTTTCTAAGCCATAATTGTTCGAATAAGATATATCACTCGGTGACGTTTCGTCGCAATATCGCGCAAACTTTAAGCCGTGCATCCCCATGCCACCGACGGTCATGAAAATAAAAAATTTTATCCCGCACTTGTTACGATTGAAATTTATGCCATCTCCGATGATTTTCGTTTCAACGAAAATCCCTGAGACGTTGCATCGGGTGCACGAAAAGGTTTTTCTACGCGGTTACCAAGTTTCGCGTTCAATTATATAAATGTTTCATACGATAACAGGTGCGTCGATCGAGCGGACGTTCTAATGAAGTATATAAGCATACGATTAATTGGCCATTTGACGAGGCTCATCGGCGCGACAATAAAACTCTCATCATCGAAGAACACGCAACTCGATAAAAGGAACTCGACTCGCGAAAGGATTTCGCAGTCCGACGGATGTGCCGCCGCCGCCGCATTACGATCGCGAATACATTTCCAAGCTTCTCTGTATATATCGTGTTTATAAGAAATTATTTCACGCGCGTGTACCGTGTGGAAGTGCGCGCGTATAATATCGTGTGTGGGTATATGGAGAGCCGAAACGTTCCAAAAGCTTTTATAACTTTATTCGTGCTGCTGCTGCTGCTGCTGCTGCCGTCGGACTATTAAAAAGGATCACTGCTGCTGTTGCTGGGGAATTTATGACTATTAGGTAGAGAATATAATTAAACCGCAACACACTGCTGCCTATGTATTATGTGTGCGCGAGCGAATGAGACGCGCGTCGCCCCGGACATCAGTCAGTCAGTCAGTCAGTCGTCAGAACTTGGCGAATTTGATGAGATAATTTTCAAAGTCGGGACGCGAATTTTTATCCCGATTCGGCCCAGGACGAGAGCCATACGCGGCGGATCGGTAGCAATAAAACATCAGAGGATAAAATGCGACGCGTACGCACACATACACGGACAAACGGCAAAAGCTTTTTTTTATATAAAATATATACGCGCGACACGTACGTGTATTTTGTGAAACTCTTTTCGATTGTTTTCGAGAGACAAATAAAAAAAAGAAGCAACACGGCGTTATATGGCCCTATATATACGATGTATTTTATGAAATGGCGATTTCCTTTAATGCGGCCTTCGTCGTTAATAATACATTCGCTTGAACCGAGAGCTTGCCTTTATTCGTTGGTCCTGCATGCAGCTCGGCCGAGGCCATTTTTCGCCGTTGCCAGGACCCTTCATAAAACCTCGATGATTTATATTTATTGTATAACAAAATCATAAAATAAGTTGTTTTCTATATCTTAGGGAATAATGCCAAGTTATATTGCGCTACTATTATTTTATTTTTCTCGGATCGACTCGATCATTTTCTCATGAAACTTTGGAGCGCTTTGGTACGGATCGTTTTTATATGCAACGATCGCTTCTTCATCGTCTCTCTCTCTCTTTTTAAAACCACTTCACAATTTTTCATTTTATCGGCCAACACGCGGCTCTATATTCAATAAAAATATGGTGATTGATGACAATTTTATGATTATGGCACGAACATGAACTGATACAAAATTCCATGCATTTCATTTGGCATGCGAACGTATAGCTGGACGATTCGCGAGTGAATTGAGATATTAATGCCTAATCTTGAATAATTACCAACAATACGAATGAAATAAACACTTCGTGAAAATTTCGATCGACTTTTGAGAATTCGTAGCTTTATAATATTAATACCTGATATAGCTTACGTGGTTATAATTTTGCAAAATGCATTGAATTTTATGTAATCACCACTGTAATTGTCTGAAAGTCGATAAAAAGGAAATTTCAAGCCGTTAATGTCGATAAGTTAGCAGCGCAAACTGCAAGCGGATCAGCGAATCAAGTTCCAAAAGTTTCCACCTCGAGGCGGTAGTGTACGGCACCGGCATTGCACTTTTTTTCTATACTTCTTTCATATAACGGTTACCGATTTCCCTAACGTACATTTTCGAACTAATAAAACGTGTTTTTTGTTGATTTTAATGGCCAACAAAGTCAAAAATGTATCATACTTACAAATTTTATACAGCTCAATGGATGCAGTCCGTATACTCGACATATTCAAGTGAAATACCTTGACTGGATTACGGAAAAAAACAACACACACTGTTGCTCGTCGTTTGTAATCGGTTTTACATGCTGCTGTTATTACGGTTACTTTATTAAAAATAATGTCGACTTTTTTATAAATCTATTTTTAAACGTCACTTTGTATAGTTTATACTTTTTTATCTCGCACACCTTTGCTGAAAAGAGGAAACGATAATGATAAGTAGTATTAAGACTCAGCTACAAGTTGCGAAAAATTGCACTCGCTCGCCGTCATTTCTGGGAGTCTGGAAAAAATTCAAAAATATAACCAAAGACATAGCGTTCGCCGTCGTGCTCGAACTGTTGACCGTTACGTCTACCGAAATTGAAAATGTACGCGAAATTCTACGTGTGCTCGAGCCGTTTTACCAATTTCCTAGTGAAAAGCAACTGCTCGATGTTATCATACCGCAGTTGTACGAACAAGTCAAGAAAAAGGTTTCTACGATAATAAAGAACGATTTGTCAAATGGTAAGGTCGATTTCAGAATTCACTAGTTTTCATCCAATCCTTATACACTGTATTTGTTATTTATTATTTGATGAAAAAATATTTTCAGGCGTTCAATCAATAGCCTTAACTATTGATGGTTGGACTGGAAGAAGTATCACTGATCATATGACAGTTACTGTACATTATTGGACTGCTGATTTTGAACCAAGACATTTTTTATTGCAATTAGAAAGTTTACCGAAAAATTGGAACTCTGCTGAAGATCTATTCCATCTAATACAAAATGTGCTACTGAAGTATGGATATTTGAAAGAAAATATGACCATCCACATTGTCACTACAAATGGTGATAATATAGTTAAAGCTATTTCTATGGATGATAAATGGATCAGAATTCCTTGCTTCGCTCGTCTGTTACAATTTACAATCGATGATGTTCTAAACAGTTTTAATGATTTTAGTAATCTCGTTACAAAATGTCATACTTTAGTCTCCAATATTTGGCCATCTAAATCTGATTGCAAAGAATCAATTATAGATAACTTTGAGAATCAAACTTGCAGCATATTAGATGATATAGTTCCTTCCTGGAACTCAACATTTGACATGTTTGAAAATTTGATCAAACTACGTTCCTCATTGAAAATGTTTTTGAGAAATACTCCTTTGCTACCAGAAAAATTAACAAAATCAAATTGGGAATCAATATCAGTTTATATTAAAATATTTGGTTTATTGAAACAAGCTAGTAACTTGATGAGTAAAGAAGCTTATCCACCACTTTCACTGTATTTATCAACCATCCGAGGCATACTGGAATTAATAGAATCTGAAAATTGGACTGATAAACTTTCAGCTCAATTAATTAATTCAATTTGTTCAAGATTTAGTCACATCAATATCAGCGAGCCAATAATTATTGCTATGGTTGCAGATCCTAGATTCAAAACACATTTATTGTTAGAAGATGAAAAAAGTACTGTATTTGATATTATTAAAAATAAAATGCTTTGTGTAGATAATATAGACATAGAGATAAAATGTGAATCTCTTAAGATTAAGAATACAAGAGGTAAAGTAATTGAATCTATACATAAAATTTCATTTTTTTATTCTAGTTAATTTCTAAATCAATTGTTTTTTTCAGAGCTTGCGTTAGAAAGTTATTTTGTAGATATTCGAAAGAAAAAAGTTTCTGATATTGAAAAAATGGTTGAAGCTGAGTTGACTTATTATTTACATGAAAATTTAGTTCCAGTAGATACAGTTGTTCATGAGTGGTGGAAATCAAATGCAACCCGTTTTCCAAAATTATGCAAATTAGCAAAGATTTATTTGTCAATACCAGCAATTCAGGTGAGCAGTGAACGGGCTTTCATGAATAAACAAGGTTTTATTACTGACTCAAGGGCAGAAAAACTAACAAAAGAAGTAAATGTTTTAGACCTAATGCGAATCAGTTTTTTAAATCAGAACATGAATCAATTTAAAAAAGATATTTATTTTTAATGAAGATATTTTTTTATGCATATAAGTAGATAAATTAATTGTATTCAACAATCATCATGACAGTTAGTTAATCAGAGCAGCAATACACTTATGTCACCATGGCAACAAGATATGATACAAAACATAGGTGTAAGCTGGCACATGTATTTAGATACTGAGTGTTCAAAAATTATAAATTTGTTCATTATGTCCAAAAGAGTGCCTCATTTTATAAGTGGTTTTACTTCTACAACCAAAGAAGAAAGAAAATCTTCGAATCTCAGTTTATGTTATAAAAAAGCTCATTTTCAAAGAAAACTTGAAGATAGTTCAGTAATCGTACTAAGGAAAAACCAAACTAAGGATAATAGTAAACTAGATGTATACAAAGAGGATGGATTGTATTCTTCAATGAAATCACCTTTAACAAACATTGTTGCAAAACCGTATCCTTTAGAACATCAAATTTCATTTTGTCGAACTAACAACCAAATCAGGGGAAGAATTTTAGAAATTGCAATAAGAGAAGTCAAAGTATTACCAAATGTAGGTTCAAGTAGAAATCCTCCTGCAATAACTAGTGTGACATTTTTGTTCAAAAATAAAATAATTTGCAAAACGAATGCTCCTTTCAATAGGAAATTACATAAATTATATATTAGAAATTCAGTGGATTCAAATGTATTATCTATGCAAGTTCAAGCACAAGGATCCACATCAGGAAGTATACCTTTGCCACTTCCTGAACACTGTGTGAAACAGAAAAAAGTTGAAATTGATTTTTCAATTCTTGACAGTAAACGTTTCATTTATTCTGGCATAGTTATTTGTACTTTATCGCTAGATATTACTGGCCCTCAGACTAAAACAGATGCTTCAACTTATTTATTCACGCCATCGACCAATGATCCAAATGATCCAAGAAATAGTGTTTCTATTATGAAATCAAAAAACAATTCTCAAAGAAAGCAAGTCAATTATTTTCTTTTGCAAGATCCAGCTTTAACATTTAATACTCTTTCATCAGATGTTTATAATAAGAAAAATTCAGTAAGTACTATTAAATGTATAATTTGTGCATAAATATTGAGTAAATAGCTTGTATATTTTTATCCTTATTTTCAGGTAAAAAAATTGTTACCTAAGCCACCTGATATAGTTGTAGCTGAGCAAATGTTTTCTTTGTTAGATATATCTCTAAGAAGTTGGTTTCAAGAACGGAGACCTCTTAGACCTTCTTCTGGTACAGCTATAGGACCTAAGCACCATAGTGGTAGGAAACAAATTTTGACAGTCACTGTATTGAGGGGAGTAGAAGTTCCAGTTAGAGAAGAGTCAGCTTTGATCCAACCAATTGTAGAGGTAGAATGGGGAGATATTGTTCGATCAACGTCTACATCCGAGGGTCCAGCCCCTGTTTGGCAACAAACTCTTCAATTTGAAGCTCCTACCAAAAAATTAAAGTATTTAATTTTATATTTTTACATATTTTTGTTCAGTAGTAATTTATTTTCATTTTTTAGTGGAGAACACTGTGTAAAAATAAGACTGTTCGATCAACATCCCGTTTGGGGATTGCAGTGGCTTGGAGAAGCCAGATTTCCGTTAGAATGTCATCGAAATTATCAACAATTGGAACGTTGGATTGGGTTATCATCTCTTTACAGTCCATCACTGTCTTTCGGATACGTCCAAGCAAGTCCGGGATATTCATACACGAGAATTTACGTTCTCATGAAAATGGAACAAATGGGTGCTATGAATCCGATTGACAATAGCTCCATAAACACATTATCCAAAGCTATTCAAAGATGTCTTGTGGTACCTTACAAAATTTCTGAAATCGAAAGTTCTGAAGATGCTGCCAGGCTCTGTATGCTTTTAGCACCGCTGCCAGTCCATTATGGACCTTTGACTCCTCGACAGGCGCTCAATCTCAACAAGGTTGATCATTACGGACGATCGGCATTACTCGCATCTTTACTTCAGGGTCTTGGCTTACAATCTTACGTTGTTTTAGGTAAGCTTGGTGTTTTGAAATTATAAATTTAAATTAATAACTTCCATATTTTACAGGTTCGTCCCAAACAAGAAAATGGGCATCTTTTGCCCTCACAGTTGACGAAAATGTTGTAACTCTCTGGGATGCAGAAAACGGCGAACGCTACAAGTTACAGGACAATAGGTGCACGTTAATTAGCGTTTCACGCTTAATAAATTATCAAAACGTAAGTGATTCAATGAAAATTAATGATCATTCTAACCGTCGATAATTAACTTTTGTTATTACCTTATAAGATTTGGGAAAATACTCTAAAATCTGTAGTACCAGCAAATTTGCGTTACGATCCAAAAAGTAACAAAGATTGGCAAATACTTACTAGTACCGCGGCAGCTTCGAGTTCACGTGCCATACAAACAGTCGATCTTAATATCGCTCATGAAAAAGAAGAAAATGAAAAAGATGTAACACAAGAGATTGAAGAAAATCTTCGGGAACATCTCAGTCAATGGAGAACAACTCTTGAATTACCGACTATTTTCAATAGGCATGCTGATTCGATATTAAGAGAAATCCTCGATAAATCCGAAGATTCAGCAGAGAATCAATTTGATAAAAAAGAATTTCGACAACTTTATAGGGCTTACTATACTCATGGGTTTGTCGTCAACGTAAGATACATCGACATGGACGATCTCATAAAGTTTCTAGTATCAACTAAGATTCACGCAATGACTGGCCCTATTGAATTTTCTTTGGTATGCCGCGTCGTAAAATTAGTTGGTAAGATTCGTTCAGTTTGGTTAGCCGTTGTTATTTTAAGAAGTAAGACTTAAGAGTTGAAATCTGGAATTTAAAATTTTTACTCGGTTTTGCAATGATGTATTTTATAATAATATTAATTAGCCAAATTAGAAACAAATCTAAAGGTAGGAATGAATAAAAATGTAAACGCAAGGTTTTTTAATAAAAGCATTGCGCAGCAATGATTTTTTTTATATAACAATGAGAATAATATTAATTTCAATGCAAGATACCGATTAACAAAATCATGGTACCAATTGATAGTTGACCCACGACAAGTAATAAAACAATGATTGACTGTTTTACAATTAAAAAAAGCCTTTGATGATGAATGGCTTATCGATATGTACGCGCCAAACATTTTTACTAATATAGTTATCGATTAATGGTGTATTCTATGAAACACTATACACCATTGATATAGATAATTCTGTTAACTCTGGAGGTAAAGTTAATGATGAAACCTCGATCCCTATGCGTGTATGTTTATAATATTCAGTAACGCTGGCATATACTTTCACACGAACTTTTATAAAAGGCACTTTCTTTCTTCTTTCACTCTTCAAGTTATTCAATAATTTCATTTTATCATTTCATTTCATTTTTTTTCGCTTCCAAATATTTTTCGAATAAATAATATTTATATATTTTCTTATTCATTCCTCAAAAATCAATTGTATTCTGTATACAATTTACCTTTTGTGAACGTGTATTATGTGTTCGTTACTCTATGTGGAAAAATAATTTCGATTTTACATGTGTCCATATTCGCTTTTTTTTTTTTAAATTATTCATATACTAAAAATATTTTATATGTTATATGCACGTATATCTTAGGAGAAAATGGAAGTTACTTGTCTGTACAACTTGAAATATTCGACCGGCGCAATGATCGATAAAACTTCAAATTTCTAATTTATTATAAAAATTGCCCATTTTTACGAAAAGAACAGGAACAAAATTTTCGTAAAAATGAAACGCAGCCTTCTTCCAATTTAATCTTTTCGATAATGCTTTTGTATAAATTACTCCTCGATTTGCACTTATGCTCTCTCAACGTTGAAAGTGCAAATTGACGAGTACTTTACATAGTCAATACGTATAGTAAACGCGTACAGCTAATGGGCCTATACGTATAGATATTTTAAATTTCTATACAATAATATATATAGTTGTGTGTGTACATAATTATACATATGTATATTAAAATTGAATAAACACATACATATGAATGTACTAGACAGAGGGTAATGGAGGTGACTTTATCGCACTTCTTATCACTCGGCGTTCACGCGTATACATACGTAAAAAATATATGCTTCTACAAATATATATGTCCGTAATTTATATGCAAATGTGTACGTGTTTGTGTAATTGTGTGTATGGGTTCGAGCGCATCACTGGGTCTTTTTCGATACGCCGTTGCTCTGTCCATTGACTGGAACACTAGTTTTGCCATTGCTATGACCGTTGGCGGAACCATTGGTCTTGCCGTTGCTGTGACCATTGGCAGCGCCGTTGGTCTTACCGTTGCTGTGACCGTTCGCCGCGTAACCGTTGCCATTACCATTGCTGTAGCAAGTACCGTTGGCCTCTTTGGCGCACGAGCCGTTGTTGTTGGCCAGAAGCAGTTGCTTCTGCCTCTGCCTCTCCTGCTTGGCCGCGTAAGCTTGCTTGCCCTTGGCTATGTAAGCCTTGGCGTAGAAGTTTCCGAAGAGGACGATGAAGGAGATCATGTAGAAGACGAGGGCGTAGTGCATCCAGAGGGGAAACTCGCAGCCCGTTTTGATGCCGTTGATGCCGAGAATCAGAGCCGTCGTGAACTGGATGAGCTGGAGGATCGTGAGGTACTGCTTCCACCAGAGGTACTTGGACACGGTAGGTCCAAGAGCCGAGAGGCCGTAGTAGGAGTACATCAGTACGTGAATGAAGCTGTTGACCATCGCAGGTAAGAACGCTGTGAAGAAAAAGTTGTCAAATCGTTGTCAGCATTTTTTTCACGAAATTTCCTTTTTAACAGATCGGTAAAGAGCTGAACTTACTGGAGCCACTTGGTACCCATTTGATGCCGATCCACCAAAGAGAAAACATGGTCGAGTGGTGATAGACGTGAAGGAAGCTAAGCTGATTGTCTTTTTTCCGAAGAATAAAGAAAAACGTGTCACAGAATTCGAGCAGCTTGCTGAAGTAGTACCACCAAACGGCGTTTGCGATCTTAAAACCCGAAATTCAGATCGATCATTAGCAAATAGAATGGAAAATGAAAAAAGTCAACTGGTCAAGTAAGGATAACTTTTATTCACCTGTAATTCTTCCGGCCTCGTAATGTGCCTTATGGGCTGGCACACGTAGCTGTAGCGTAACTTGGTCGACGCGATGAACAGCTGTTAAGGAAAATAAGACAAAGTTGTCACGTGTGTTTGGTTGGCCTTTTGCGTATTCCCAACGATTTGACATAGTCGAAAAAGGAAAAGGAGACTCACTTCGATAGCGATGTAGGCATTGAGCGCGGCCATCGCGAGATTGTAGGGCACGAGCAGCCACGTGAGCTTGAAGGGTTTGCGATTCTTCATGACTTTTGGTCCTTGCCAGACGATGAACAGATAGATCATGGTGTACATGAGCGTCGGCGCCGGTGAATCGACCAACGGCCATCCTTTCGTCCTTTCGTCTGCGGGAGTCAACGAACGAAAAAATAACAAAGAATTAAAACGATGCCTCCACATGTACGGAGCGTTTCAAGCTCGAATATCGTCGATGTTGGCAAACGTATGTTTCTGCTTGTTATTTTTTTTTTCTTTTTTTCAAAACGACGAAACTTTCGAAACGGTGTCGAATGCATTAATATCGATTATCATTGACGTTTTTGCAAGACACGCGCGCGACCGACGACCGCAAACGTGTGTGATGAAATGTGCAAAGTTCAGACATATACAAGCAGTTCGTTGACAACAATACACATTACATATGCGACCATACCTGATAAGGTCAACGTCCAGAGATAGTAATCGTAGGCATCGTTGATGATGTTGGTCGTCGAATTGATTATGCTCGCCATGGCCCTGCGTCAGAAATAAGAGAAATATAAAGTCGTCGTTGCGTGGGAGAACGAGGAGCAGCCGCGAGCGCGCCGAGGATTTCTCATCGAGCAGAAACGAGTGCGAAAAAGTTTTACCTTTTCCCCGCGCGTTATAATATATGAAAAAATGTATCATGCGCACGTATATAATTGCTCGCTGCATATAATAATGGCATCCCCGATTATCGATACGACTTGACCGCGCGCGATCATTAGCGCCGCAGTTTTCGACGTCGATTCAACATTCGTCGCTAGAGACCTTCGTGTTGGCGCGCGTGCGAATATAATTGCCAGCATATTTCTTATTAACTTGTACTTTTTCACTTTTATCTTTACGACTGGACGAAAAAACGTCGCTCTATAAATTTACCCTCAACAATGAATGGAGGAAAACTTGCGAGTGCGTAAAAGCGATGGATTATTATCGCCAGATAAATGCAACAGCAGTAACAAATTAGTGCAACGTGGCTAATTATCGCGCGGCAATTCGCTCGCTCGCCGCCCGTGTTTTTTTAATGAAAATTCAACGCAACTTTTTTTTCTTCACGCCACTTTCTAGTCTTATATTACCTCGCGCGCGCATAACTCTTTCGAACGCAGCTGCTGCTGATGCTGCACGCCTCAATGGCCGCAATAAGGTTTTTATCCGTTGATCGCGTGCACAAAAAAATTAATAATATTGCACGCGAGAAAAGATCGAAGAGCCGATCGTTTCGGAGTCATCGGACCTATGGCTATATATACCTGGCCGATGTCTCGTTCGACGCGCTTCTTTCTCTGCGCGCCTATCCAGCGGTGTCGCGTGTTACGGGCGTAAGTAAGCGCGTGAAATATTCGACGAGCTTGCACATATTTCGGGCCCAGAAGAATTTGCCCCCGCATACGAGCTGAGCACGCATTACGTCGATCGCGCTGGTCATTTTTACTTTTTTATTTTTCCATTCGTTCGATTCTCTCGAAACGAACTCGACAGCTCGGATTGCTTCACGAAATTTACGTATAAGTAATGCACGAATAACGTACATCCGTTCTCCAAGCGGCCGTGACAACGCAACCGAGAAAAGTGCAAGTGCTCAGCTTCGCCGCGATGACGACGGCGATGTTAACGAGCGTGAAGAAAGCTAGCTAGTACGCAGAGCGAATCTTCGGAAAATTAAGCCCGAAGATTGTGTGTGCAGCGCAGCACGCGAGCTACGTACGTGCAAGCAAGCAAGCTTGTGTATCTACGTATATTGCACGCACACGAATGCATACGGTTATATATATAGATATCGTATAATACAGTAGAGGTGTTTTATATATATACAAAGGCCTGCTGCAGCAGCGAGCCGTAGCGTACATTGAACGTAAGCGAGAGTTTTCACTTGCGGAAATATTATACACATCGAAACCTTGAGAGCTCTCCGATATGGATAAAACGGCACCAGCTATACGGCATAGCTGCAGCGGCGGCAGCAGCCGTGCTGCAGCCAGAGAAAGTGCAAATTGATGTTCTCTCTCTCGCTCGCTCTTGCTCTCTCTCTCTCTCTCTCTCTCCTGGCTCCTTTCAATGTTTATACGTATATTATACGTGTATGTGTGCGTATAGCCACCACATCTGTCGAGAGGGCCTTGGCCCCCAATAGGAGAGTGTGCATAACACGTATACCATGGCCAAGCCGCGAGAGTCTACGTGTAGTCTTTCTTTTTCTCTATTATAGTCGTCGGATTTTCACGAGATGAAGTCTCTCCCCGAGAGCGGTGAATGCTCTCTGCAGGCGCGCGCGCGCGGGCCCCCGACTCCGACCAAGCGACCATATTACTCGGATCTTGGCTATGAACGGTGAAACTTGCTACGCAGTCACAAGCTCCTTCTTGACTACGTTAATCGCTTTGTTATAGCTACGTTCGAGATTTGCATTCTCGCCGACTTTTATTCTCTCTTTGACTATCCCCATGACGTTAATTGGATTTACAAATAGGTTGCTTATTCAGACATACAATTCAGATTAGATATTAATAATCGATTATTATTGACGAATGGATACAATTATTTAATTGATATAATCTATAGCAACCCGTAGCATGAATTTTTGTAAAATATAACGATCAGTTTACTCATGCATGACCTCGATGTATCAACAATAAACAAAAGCTATTCTAATCATAAATTACGATGAGCAATATGTATAGATCGTCGCCTTTTGTACCGATAATACAGTATTTTTCAACATTTCCACGAGCCGTTTTGTCTACTAAATCGGGAAGAGGATCGTATTTTGATCGTGCCTACGAAGACTTTCGCCGGGGTGTTCAAGGAGACTCGTAAAAAACTCTATACGTCTATCCGCATGCCGAACAATGCATAAAAGCTCGCGTAAAAGTTCGACGCGTTTAAAACGCGCGCGCGCGCGCCACTTTTCCGTCGTAAATAATATCAAATTGAGCACGCACAAAACACGTCAATTCCTCGGTTCTTATTATATGGCTCGGAGCTGCTTCGACGGCACCGCTCGCGTAAATTTTTTAGCCGACATACGAGCAAAATTTACAATCGTCACTGCGCGTCGATTGACCGGTCGCATCCTACTTCGGCCGGCTGCTGCTCCTTGCAATCAATCACCCCGAGAGATTCGCGCCCCGTCATCCTTCTAACGCTACTCTAACGCGGCTCGTCGCTCCGTGTACTCGATTTCTGCGCTGTGTCGGTTTATTTCTCGACGCACTCGGTAAATATGTGGCCGCGGTTATTATCTTTTTTTTTCTTGTATTTTGCAAAGCGTGCGACCATCGCCAAAGAACCCACCAGTACCAATTTATACACCATTTACTCGATTGGGAATCTTGGTTTCCTTACCTCGAAGGATTCGTCGGAGCTGTTCACTGGACGACAAGGCGGTGCAGTTTCGAGAAATCGCGCACTCAATAAAAAAAAGCACAAAAACGATCGTCCCTTTTTCTCCCGATCGAAGGGCCGCCGTCGATCCAAGATCGGCAATCAGCGCTTATTATAACACCTTTTGGCGGCTCGAAAAACGCGTAGCAGCAGGCACTGTTGCAACGATCCGCAACGATCCGCGCGCTCAGAGACGTCGACGATGATGGCCAGGCCTATCGGTCGCGAGCGGTATAAGAGCATATACCTGCCGCTACTTCCAGTACGACCGTGTGTGTATGCTTTCGAATGTGTGTGTGTGTGTGTGTGTGCGCGCACCACCGCCACCGTCGATTGGCTCTCTTCCTCTCCGCGTTGCGGCTGCAGCGTCGCGCGCGTTCAAAGAACACTTTGGGTAAGCCCGCGTAGCGCTCGACGAGGCTCCTTTATAACTTTCGGCCCCCGCGTCGCCGCAGCAACCACTTGCCCACTTATTGCCGCGCGCCTTCCCTCTCGGCTGCAGCCGCACCACCACCATCGCCACCAGCGAGCTTCTCCACGCTGTATACCTATACGCTTTAATACTTACCTGCCATTGTAAACTTTGAAAAAGAGATGCACTGGCGGGGAAGGGGAACCGCGGACCGCAACGATAGATATATTCTGTACGATATAATATGGTTTGGTGGGAGGTAATGCGATAAGGTATGTGCATTCAGGTACATAAAAAACGAAACTTTTGGCATTGGAGCTTCCTTCGAACTTTGAGATCGGCTTCGGGAAAACTTCACCACCTCTCGATTTAGATAGCTTATATCATTCGAACCATTGAATAACTTCGTTCCTTTACATTTTCTATGCATCGTAAGTACTTTACCTAGAAACCCGCTTACAGAAAGCCAACTGAACTATATTGTATACAAAAAACAACAGTTATGCACGTGCAAATGGATATTTTCAAATATTATTATAAATTGATCATGAGTGCACTTGCAGCTGTAAATCAATACCCAACGAGCAAGGATTGGAACGCGGGCTTCGAAGTTTACGACTTGACGTTACTTGTGAAAAGTAGACCATATGATAATATGTGGAGCACAATAGACCGACTCTTTTTCTCTTCGCTAAAAATGCTTCAGAAATTAAATCCAGCTATTATTTTATTTTTCTCTGACTCGTCTATCATTAACGAAAATGAATTATTCAAGTATTTTGTATGCTTTCGTCGCTCGCGAGAGCTGCCTTTATGGTAAAAGTATCGAGAGAGAAACAGGTAACACTTATTTGCAAAAACACTTTTTACACTTACGGCGTACGTACGAGCTGCGCACCTGTGCCGCAGTCGTGCACAGGTGTCATCCGTTATGTCAGATGAAAAATATTTAGCGGTCCGCGTAAAGCTAACATCGTAAAGAACTTGACTTTTTCCCCCCAAAACTTGCGAGTAATCTCGCGCGGTACTTACGTCAAAAAGATTTTAATGCATTGACAAACGAGCCGGTGCATCGAATGCACGAATTTTCAAAAAACCCTATCAAAGCTTTCATTCACGTATAGAAACATATTACATCTCGTAGAACGGTAAAAACGTCATGTTTGTTGGGCTGATGCATCCACAAAATCGCTTCGATATCGCAACTTCTTCATAATGGCTTAGCTTGACTTTTCATGTTTTGTATTATTGCTATTCTACTGTTATTATACGGCGTATGTGCATAATGCAACCTTAATCCCTTTATGCTTTAGCCTAAGATTAAAATCTACACGTGCTTTTTATATCGTTTGTTTCCTTGTGTCCAATTTCATAGCTGGAAGGAGAAATTCATTTTTTTTCGTTCACTTTGTTAAGCTCTCGCTGCATAAGATTGCATCAAACTGATTCAATTTCTCTATCGAAAAATGAAATTGAACCTGTCTTCGAATATCTTAAGCGTTATTAGCAACATCGACTTTCACTTTATCAAAATTTATTTGACCCATGCAGTAATCGTGTTCGAAACGTAATGCTCTAATGCTTGACTATATTTTTTTATTACTAGCCAGGGCGTTTCTTTTTTACTATCCAGTAATCAATAATATTCTTTAATTTCTTTCCTACGAATGCATCTTTATTTTGCCATCTGCATCTATATCTGTATGTGTAGACTAATATGACATGCTTTATATTAACTTGGATTGATTATAGTTTTCTTACGTAAATTGTAAGTTAGAAAAGCATTACAAAGTCTGGCTTATATCCCGATTAAATAATAAACATTTTTCTAATATAACATGATTTATACATTTTTCAACGTTTATCTATGCTTAAAATTATACAACATTCAATGTCAGTGTCGTGTGTACATAGATGTACTTATACGTCGCCTGGGAAAGTAGACGTGGAATGTATCTCGAAAAATTATTATGACTTTTCAACCGATTCATGGCTATTTTATTTAATGGCTGACATATTTCAGCGAATTACGGAATATCAAAAACTGATAAATGTCTGACTGCGTAGGCGTAGAAGAGAAAAAACTCGACTGATTTTTACACACTTAAAATTAAATGTCGTTGAAAATTTTACTCGCAGGATTAAGCTGTATGAAAGAAATTGTCACGAAAACATTTTCTCACACAATAAAATCCTTTTTTAAACGTGCTGATATCTGAATTTCTGAAAAAGAAAGCCATAATTTAATAATTTAAGTTGTTCACGAGGTGCAGCAAAGTAAACCTCTTCATCTAGAAAGTAAACGAGTTAGAGGGAGAAAAAGAGCGAGAGAGAAATACTTGATTAAATTCTCCGCAGGAGCAGAAAACCACATCTCAACTATATAGCTATACAAGCATATTGCTCGCGTCAGTCAACGTACATTGAACTGTAATTGCATCCTTCATTAAATAACAAAAAAATGTCTAATTTTTTTTCAAACGTAATATTTTTTTGTCTTCATTATCAACACAATTACTTCTAATGCCGTTAATCGATATATTTAAACTTGAAATAGACTGACACTATACCTCAGAAATGAAATTGAAATGAGGTTTCGTAATCGTTTGCCAAACAAAACTATAGCAGCTGTAAATCACGTTAGAGATGCGCGCGATGTGTTAATTTCTTAATTAACTAACTCGCACACAATTTGAATTTCAGCACTTGTTCAGTCATAGCATTGGCAAGAGGTGTTAAACGTTTGAGTAAGTTCTTTATTCATCTTTCAAATGTCTACATTGTCTGTAATTCTTTAGAGATTATTTCGCGTTCAAAAATAAACTCTGTAATCAACGAGAATATTTTTTTTCAAACTTTTTTAGATGACGTTCAGTGAGCGGCGCGTGTATAAGTCTTTGGTCTTTTGAAAGAATCGTGACATTAGCATAAGTTGAGCTTTTGTCGCTCCAGAAGCCACAAATCGCAGCTCGCGGTGCAATGACACGGCTGCTTTTGCGATTGAATGTGTGTCATATACCCATAAGGCGATCCGTAATCGAGTGTGAACTTCTTTATACCTAATGCTGACTTATTGAAACATTGCACCTCGGCATTGCTTCATTTTACTGCATGGCACACATTTTTAACAAAAGGCACACTCGTTTGGCCGTTGTTTTTATTAAATGCGACCAGGTCTAGATCTCAGATATTTTTGGGTTGTCATTGAATTATTCAAATAAAATTTTTGTTTCTTGGTAGGAATAAAATAAATTAAAAAAATTATCACGTGGATGTAAATAAATCGTTTTATCAAATAACTATCATTTTATTGAAATTCTTAATGGCTTTCAATTTCAGAGCAGTTGAAATTTTCCTCGAGCTCTAAACAAATCACTTTTTCTTAGCCATATTTTTCCTGTAAAATTTCCAATAGAATAAGTTATTTTACACGTAATGGCATATTATAGTATTTTAATGTTAGGGAAAAAATCTCTGTAATATCAGAGTTGTCAAAATGACTGACACGTGTATTAACTGAATGTTCCACTGGCCAAGTAAGTGTAAGATAATCAGGGAAATGAAAATAAATTAAGCTCAAGCGCAAAAAAATAAGTAGGTTTGATAAAATATTTGTAGTTTTGCAAAATAAAAAAAATCATCATAACTACCTCGCGTACAGATGTATGTGCGTACATACGCAGAGGTACGTGTTATGCGTCGGGATACTGTTGCCATTGACCGGTAGCCGTGCGGCTATACAACAAGTTTCCCCGTCTTATACATATGTAAGACTACGTGCGTGCATGCAGCCGGTGCAGTCGAACGCACACTCGCACACGAGAGCTCGCTGTATATCCACTCCCGAGCTCTTGATCAACGGTTTATTATTATCAAGTTTCGCTTTCTATGAATCTGCGGCAGTATGGCTGCAGCTAAAGCAGCAACAGAAACAGTCGGCCGATCGATGACCTATCAAACGTGCTTATTATCCCGTAGCTTTAGCCGTATATATACGAGCTATCATCGCTGCAGCACCGGCGCGGATTATGGAGTTTTCACACGAAGTACGCGCAACGAGTGAAAAGAGATGCGCGTCTCTCGCGCGAGAAGAAAAATCATCATTTATAATCGCGGAGAAAGTCAATGGATTCGTATACGTTCCGATTATCCAATCGTTTGCACACACACACACATATACACACACTCGCGTATGCGATTCCAAATATTATAATGATCGAGAGGAAACAATAGAAGAGCAACCAAGCCTAAAAATATCATACAGGCTCCATATGCGATTCCGAGTCGTAATAAGAAAGTTTCGCGACTCAGATAGACCTCGTCAGGCATCCTTTTCAGGTATCGCGCGAGTCTCATTATCGAACGTTTATATCAGAGGCGTTTTGCACGTGTGCTGTATCCGCGACAGCCGCGATCCGAAATAGTAAATACTGTTTACAGCCGCATATTTGTTGACAAATGGAAAAGTATTAATTAGCCTCGCGCCGAGCGTCGAACAAGCCCGAGTACAAGGAGTTGGCGTACGTGTCCGCACGCGCGAGCCTCTGCGCGTGCTTACACACAAAGAGACAAGTTCAATTACTTTCTCGAGCGCGCGTACAGCGCAAAAGTATCGAGTGCTGCGCTTATTATGTACGCGCATTAGCATAACAAAAAAGCCCGTGAGATATATGGCCGTTCGCGCGAGCTGCAAGTCCGAAGACAAACAGAACAAGAGAGGAGGACGCGGCCGAAACCGAAGCGAACGAGCCGTTGACAATTACGGTATATATATGCGTGGTGTTGCACAATAGCGGCGTCCGACAGACTCTGTACTACGTAACGAGTGCAAAAAGTATTCGCAAAACGATTGACCGACGACGACGACGACGACGACGAGACGAAAGCTGCGATGCGAACTCATGCGCGAGTTGAACGGCAAATTGACAAAAAGCCTTGCGATGCTGCGTCCGTGTAGCAGTCTCTCTATCTCTTTTCCTCTCTCTCTCTCAAGCGACTTTCGAGGTCAATGTCTAGGTCCAGACACTTGCGAGCGCCTGCCTAGTTGCGTTTTTCGCGACTTTCTTCGCGAGCCCCGCAGCTCGAAGGCATCGCGTACAGAGCAATGGCCGTTTGATTCGCTGCTGTATAGGCGCTTGTCGCGTTTTGCAATATACAGTTTTTTCAACGCCGATTGTTCTTTTCGTCAATTTTTTTCGTCCGCGTTTTACCAATGTGAAATAGCATTAAAAAACTACGATGAAAGAGCCGCATCCGCGTGATCGGCTGGACAATAACTCGGCAACTTTTTTCACTCGTCTAGGCCGTATTGCATTTGCAGCTAGCCAGCAGCTGACTCGTCGTAATTCACGCTAAAATCATTGGCGAAAAGCGCCATTTAACATGCATTATAGTTGTCCGCGAGTAGCTCTAAGAAAAGCTCATATGTTTTAACACATACGTTATAGGCGGCTCGTGCGGTTGCACGGAGTGTCACCGACTGCGCGTACATAGGCGAGCCTATAATTGAACGCGTAAACAACCGATGCCGCCGCGCCGTCCAGTGCAGTTGCCGCGTTTCGTAAATAATTTCGGGTAAAATCCCGTGTGTGTGCGCCATACGTCACCGATCGAGAAGGTGCTCACTTTTTTTGATGACGAAACCGACCGGTCGGAAGGTTTCACTTTTTTCCCCGAAACGTAAGTGCATTACATACGCATGTAATATATAAATTATAACCCGTGGAAAGTGCAATTTATTATAAAAAGAAGAGTGGATCTGTTTGTGCTTCGTATCTCGCAGCTCGAACGTAATACGGCCGCGTGGCGTGCATCGGAAGGATGCAATATGCCCCCGCGAATTGAGATTTTAATAACGGGACTGCATAAACATCTCTCGGTGCATGTACGCATGCACACTGGCTATACGTTCAAGAGAGAGAGAGAGAGAGAGAGAGAGAGACGGAGAGAAAAGGAGAAGATCAGCTAATGAACTCACCTTTCTCCTTCTCGCGCGCCTATGTCTCCCGCACTATAGTACACAAAACCGATATACAGCGCGATTGGACTTGGCTCAGATGCAAGTTCAAGGTATACTTTCCTTGTGTTCTGGGCCATTGCGAGAGAATTCGCAAAACAAACAGCTCGTTAAAATTTATCAATGAATTCAATACCTATGAATGTAGATGATTTTTTTTTTGTTTATTGGACTTGAAGATGTAAGCACCATTAGAACGATAAACAAATTAGATACATTATGGAAGGTGTTCAAAATAAATCATGTCGTCAAAGTGAACCGAGATTAATCATAATTTAGCTGATTTCTATGTACGAACGTTTAATAATTTAGGAAAGTCACTCATGAGAAACCATATTTACGATAATCGTTGCGTATCATAATCGATTATATAGCAAATCCGAGCCGCGCTCCAAGGTTAATGCACTTGTGCTACGCTGCTGTATATGCCAGTCGCGATCGAGAGTTTCTAATCGACGCCGCGCGGCTGATGAAGAAAAAAATGTAGCACCAACAACAGAAAAACTCGTTTTCCGCCGTACGGCGGACGTTTACATATATAGGTTTTTCACGGCTTGGAGCGAGCAGCTAATCGGCGACGATCGTGTCGCGCGATACTATCTCGCGCGCGCTGCAGTCCACATGCCGAATCCGAAAATATCGACACGCGTATCAGCGATCGAGGTAGCAGTCCATTTGGCGCGCATCGCGCGCAGTTCGCAAAGAGATGAAAGAAAAGCGGCGCAGCGCCGAAAAGTTTCCTTCGTTAACAATTTCGAGATCGTTGCACTCGTGCAGCAGCGGCGCAGCAGTGTGCAGTGCTCGCGCGATTTGAGGTGAAAGTGTTAAATTACATCTTCCGCTCGGTCATCGGCTGAGCGCGCGATTATTCTGCGCACGCTATGCACAACGCACGCGCGCTTCTATATACATTAATGCACAACAACACAGGCAATGGCCGCGCGTGGATTTATATATGAAATTATCCGCGCGCAAACGATACGTCACGATCTCGCGCGTTCGGCCACTTTTTGACACATAGCTTTGAGAACCTTTCGTCCGTGCCCCTTTCAAAAAAAAAAAAAATTATAAACGAAAACATCGCAGGATTTTTCGTACGTGCGTTAAGCTCTCTTTCAGGCTGGCGATCTCAAGTACCGCTCAAGGTGTTGTTTTCACATTATATTACGTAAGGTGGATCGCGGGGACTTATAAAACGAATTTTAGCCTGAAAATCCGATACACATTTAATGATGTCTCTCTCTCTTTCTCTCGATCTGCATTTCGCGAGCTCGCTCGAAAAAGTCGGCAAAAAAGCACGTTTCGTTCGCTTCGCCCAATGATACTTTCACGATTGACTAAACTTTCTCTTGCGCGAGCGGTGGTGGCGGCGGCGGCTGCGTCGACGTCTTGAACGCGGTGTAGCTCGTACCTCTGCTGCACAAATTTATAATCTATATAAGTATATTGCGCACTTGAAAATGACGCGACATGCACGAGGCAGCGGCAGCAGCAGCATCATCTCGCGCTCGTCGCTATCGAGATAATCGCGAGCTACGACGATTTTCTTTGGAATTATCCACGCGAGACTCGCTTTTGTACCGCAGAACGATTAAGCTCCAAGTTTTCATTGGCGACGATATGAAAGCGCAATACTTTTTGCAAACGCCACGGGGAATTTTTGTGTCGCTGCGCAGATTAAATTTTATATCGTCGATATTTGATGAGTTCGCTTCACCTATTCGTATTCGTAAATCATAAATAACGTACAGAAATCATCAATTTGTGGTCAATTATAGCTTATACCCAAGCGAATAAAATCAAAGCGATGTAGTAATTAAACGATGTAATCACAATCGTTTACAAGTGATTAATAACCGATTGGATGGCCAATCGACATTTTGTAGTCGGAATTGTCTCGAAACGAAGTTTGAATCGTACTTCGCACTTCAATAAATTGTATTTCAAAATATGGAAACGTATTGTAATTATTTAGTCGCGGTAAAATCACATCACGAATTGAATAGTACAAGTGCGAGAATATAAACTTTAAAAACCCATATATCGATTTGGAAGTTATGAAAGACAGCAATAAAACTTGAAAGAATTCAAACGATCTTGTTGACTTATCTATCAGTCGACTACGATTATCTGATGACTGATATACTGACATCGTTGAATGTGACATGTAGGTAAATTTTACAAATGCTATATGCTCTGGTATAATTGATGAAGGTATTTACAAGAAATCTATGGTCACGTTATATTCGATCATAATCCAAAAAAGAAACAAGCACATAATGCATGAGAAAGTTTGTTGTTAATTCTCTTGATGAAACAATAAATCTATAACAGGTAGACAAATTAATTCGTGCATCTAGGTGCTATCTTTCTAGAATCAAATTCACATGCTATATAATTTCATCGTCTGCTGCCCATGGCTTTTTATATTGCCTTTATGAAATAGCTTTTATAAAAGTTACTTCTTGAAGGAAGAAAATTAAAAGTGTCTCATTTACAGTCTAATTGAAAATCTCACTTGAAAAATATTTCGTGCATATCCCATTGATCTAGCAAATGTGACAGATGTCAATACGTCAATTCTTCAACGTTATAAACGTGTAGGTATCAGCATATACACATACATGCGATACGTCTCATTGCGCAATAAAGAAAATTTGCTTCCGCACAGTCAGGCTCTCTCGCTATTATACTCGACACTTTGCTCCCTCCCTATTAACAAACGATTAAAAAAGTCCGCGGGATTATTATTGAGGCTTGATTGGTGAAAAAGTCGAAGAGACGGATGCGTGTATTGATGAAATAAGTGCCCATCCATGGAGGATGTAATATCGACCGCAACCGCGCGCACGCAGTACAATGCAATACAGCGACCGATGCGGCGTCGAAATTTTTCCTTTTCCTACGCACTGTCCTCTCGGAGATCATACAATGAGGAGCAGCGCCACCGGTGCAACTGCTCTGCTGCAACTTTTACTGTCCGTTTCTGTCCTATCCAACAGGTAGTGTATTATTATTATTATGTAAATTAAAAAGGCGACTGCAGCCGCTCCGTTATACGTGTGAACGAGTGAACTTTTTAATCGATCAGCCACTTCCATTTTTCTTCGCACGTTATTAGCGTTTACGAGCCACACATAGAAAATAATTACACAGCATGGCCAAGAATGGTGCTTCCTCGACTTTATCTCAAAGGTAAGAGAGACACAGCCGTTCTTGTTATTTTTCCATTTCGTTTCATTTTTTTTTCGTATTCGTGTTTCATTATTACCTTACACATTCCGCTCATCAATGCGATGGGTAATTAAGAAAAAAAAGTAATGTTCTCGCGCATCAATTGCCACAGAGATAAGGCCGCCGACTAAAGGAAGAACGCCGGTAGTCGTGGACTTTAATATTTTCATCGTGGACATCAACTCCATCAATGTCGAAGATATGGATTTTCGGTAACTAAATAATGATAAAAAATCTTTTTTTATAGAAAATAACAAAAAAAAATTGAACTATTGATCATCGACGTAAGATGAATTTGTGTCGGCAGAGTCGACATGTTCGTGTCGCAAACTTGGACGGAGGCGCGATTGAGACTGTCTGACGAGGTCTTCGAGGACGACGACGATTACGTGACTCTGCCGCCGGAGTTCATCGACAATCTCTGGCAACCGGATCCCTACTTTCTCAACTCCAAAGTTTCCGGTAAGTATTCCGGAACCATTACTGAATTGAATTGGGCACAGTCGGTTAATAAACCCTTAAAAACCACTTCTGCTCTGCGCAGAGATCGCGACGTTGAATAGCAAGCACTCGTCGGTCATGCTGTTCCGCAACAAGACGGTGCGCTACTCGGCCCGCATGCACGCCATACTCGCCTGTCAAATGGAATTCCAGCTCTATCCCATGGACATCCAGGTCTGTCCGATGCAAATCGAAAGTTGTAAGTTTTCTATAACGAATCGACATTACTCGCGGCGCAATTGACGCGTGCTTTGCACCCTTCAGTTTCCTACGACAGCGACAAAATGAGACTACAATGGGGCCACGAAGGTGTCCAAGTCAATCCGGAGCTCAAATTGTTGCAGTACAATCTGGAAAATCCATTGGAAATAGAAGAGTCCATCAATTACATCAGTGAAAAAAGCGGCACGTTATTATGCTTCCATGAGTACATTCGAATTACATTAATACCGATATATTTTAATGGAGAAATTTTTTCCCCAACGGATTAACAGGCAACTACTCGCGTCTGATCGTTTACTTTCAATTCGAGCGTCAAATTGGCCATCACTTGATACAGACGTTCGCGCCGTCGACCCTCGTCGTCATGCTGTCTTGGTTCAGTTTTTGGCTGGGTCTCGACGCTATCCCCGGCAGAGTCGCTCTGCTCGTCACTAGCATGCTCACCCTCGTAACGATGTTTACCGGTCTGAAAAGCGATATCCCACCTGTCGCCTACGTCAAGGTAGTAGACATACATTACCTGCCATACCGATCAGCCAGCAAGTTGATTTCAATCGTTGCTTTTTCTGCAGGCTTTGGACTTATGGATGGCTGGATGCATGTTCTCCGTATTCTCGGCTCTGGGAGAATTCGTCGTGGTCAAAGTACTCGATCTCCGATACCAAAAGGAACGAGAAGCCTCGAACTCGTACAGGCGACTACCCGCTGTAAATATACGCACTTACCTGCGAGAGCCGTCTACTTACCTGCATGCGCGCGTGAACTATTATCGAGCACGAGGTCTGCTTTACCATGAGATGTCAAGTAAACTACTTTGCTTTCTTCGCAGAGACTGTCGATCGTGGAGAAAAGCGTATCCATTTGGGATTACGAGTCGTCGGTTTATTCGTCCAATAGCCGCAACAAGCGAGCCGGTAGCCGAAATCTTCTTCAAAATACTTGGATCGATCCGGAGGTTTTGCTGACCAGACCAAAGAACCGAGCTAAACAGATCGATGCATACAGCCGAATAGTATTCCCAGTACTTTTTCTGCTGTTTAGTCTTTTGTATTGGCCGATACTGTTGTTAAAATGTGAAATGAAATCTCAGTATGACGAATAATGATATTATAATGAAATACGTAATATTAATTAACTGTAAAAATTTTTTTATGAACGAAAAAAGAAAGTAAAAATATTATAAAACTAAAAAAAAACTCACGTAGATCATCAAAAAATTACCATGATATTTATTTCGTGTAAACACAAGTGCAATCTGATATCTGTTGAATTGATTCTACTATCATATCAAGTCTAAGTTTTTATTCAAACATCGCTTGATGTTTTGCTTATTGAAAAAGAATTCTATATCTATCACTTTTCTGAATGAGAAATAATTTAAAAAATCAATTAAATTATTATAAATAAACCTTTTTCCATTTCATAAAGCTAAAATATAAAATTTGTTTTATTAGAGAGTATAGTATAATTATCCTTTCAAAGCAATTGCAACAATAATTTCATAAGTAATCTATAAATATTCAAAATTGTAAAATCTTAAAAATTAGATACATGAAAAACGCCATAATTTTTATCAATAAGATAATTTATCATTAATTGACTTAAAAATGAACTGTGTCAACTTGAAGTAATTCAACCAAGAAAATTTATTAATCATTTATGAAGAATAATAATTATCTATATTTATTGCAGATTTAAAAGATAGTATTGTAGCTGTTTCTTAGAGATCAAGTCTAAATGTGAGTATACCTCAAGGCATTTTATATCATCATTTAAATCTAAAATTTATTTTTAAATCATATTTTACACTTTCATTCTCCTATATTTATTTTATTATTCAAAGTGTCCACATGTATTATTGTATTAAATATCAGGACTTCAAAATTGTTGTTATAATCTCTATTAAATTTACAATGGTGCTGGGGATATAATCAGGTTAATTATGTACAAAAAGTTTTTATTTGTAAAAAGATAAATCCATAAAAGTGTGTATATGATTATTTTCAAACTGCATCTTCAATATTAAAAGTAAAAGTAAATGTAAGTTAAGGTTAAATTTTTATTTTATTATATAATTTTAAAGATATTTTTATGATCACTTTTTTTAATGAAGTTTCAAAAATGGATCTTGCAACCAATTCATGATTGAAATATCATCTATATTTACAATTTATTTGGAAAATGACCTATTTCTAGCAAATTATCAAATGGCAAATAAAAGTATGTAAAAAAATGAGTTAATAGTGTTTAGTTATGAACGAACAATTTATTCCATAGAAACATTTTATGTTTAATGAAATTATGATTATAATAACGAGTAGATAAAATTATCAGAAAAATCTAGTTTTTTTTTAGTGAAAAAAGTTGTTCAAGTGCATTAAAAACCTATATGTAAAAAGCCATATTTCCGGCAACGATAAGTATATCATGAGAGCTATAAGAAAACCTGTAATTATATTTACCTTGAACATGAACTCCATCTTTATTTTTATAATTTTGCATAGAAATGAACAAACTTGAAATGATTCAAATAAGGGTCTCGTTGCAAAGCTTCTTGCGTGAAACCCCCAAGAGCGAAACTCACGAGTGAACCATCAGATGTCACAACTCATACGTTACCATGTGACTTGTATAATCAGGCCATAAGTTTGCAGACCATCGGCTTTTATTTGAAAAATGCGCGAAATTTTCATATACAATTTTTCTCGTAAAAATGAATCAAAACTTTCGTAAGTATTATTTTATTTGAATTAATGTTTGTTATTGAAAAATTGAATGTAAATAAAAATTGTATCGTTTCTGTTGATGAATGACAGCACAAGAGGTTCATAAAATCATTTATTAGTAATTTCTTAATCATCATGGAAAAGTTGCTGGCTGGTACCAGTAAGTTTCGAAAATTTCTCCCCGTGAAGATAATTCAGAAAAGATACAGTTAAGCACGTGATAACGATGATATTAAGTCAATTAATAATGAATGATAAAGTTCAACTCATTACTAATGGAAATCATGGTTAATTACAATAGACGAACACTCAGCCGAATGAAAAAATTTCCAAGGGTTCGCACAGAAGATCGAGCGGTAGAGGAAATGTTCACAGTGTATAGAGGTAATGTAAATTTGCAGGTATAAAAAAAATCGGCTAACGCCTCTATACACGGAGCCCGCAGAGAATGCGGACGTCATGTGCTTGCTCGCGTTCGACCTAAATTCGCGTTTTCGATCTGAATCAATAATGCCATCGTAAAATGTTTCAATGTTAACGCGATCGAAGCCGCACGTGTCGAGCAACGTTGGTATATTGAATGGATCCGAGTGCATAAAAAAATTCAATCAGACGAGTCCAGGTCGTCTCTCGGCAGGAAGACGGCTATGTCAGTCACGCGGCATCAGCTGCGACTGGCTCTCGTCATGCGCGGCGGTTCTCCTCTCGCATTTCATACATACATACAACAATACACGCAACACGTAACTCGTAACTCGGCGCGATTTCGTGTCAGAAAGTAGCAGAAGCTGCTGCTGGCCGCGTAAATGACGTAGTCTCTGGAACCCGCCGTCTAGAGTATATTATACTCTCGTGCCAGGGCGACGACGATTGGTTGTTTTCGGCGCGACAACGCCGTCACATGACATCACACGCCAAGTTTCGCATCGACTCGCGCATATAAAACAACAGCAGCAGCAGCCTGGCTGCTTCGATGATCGTATCCCCAACATCGAATCGTTTTTCTCCCAAATACCTATACAATAAACGACCTAGCAGCCGTGTGCGTGCAGCTTCGTTATCAATCGAGCAACAGAGAGATAAGGCGCGCTCGTGTATTGCAGGAAGCTCGCCGTCTTCGTCTGGTATACCAGCAGGAGCAATCAAGACTCACGAGTCATCGAAACAATCGTATACTCACACACTAATAGTAGTACATGCTCCGATATGAAAAACTATTAAACACACTAGCAGATATCATTGCTTTTATACTGACAAATATCTCTTTCTAACTCGCAGGTCGCTACGAGCAGGCACACGCACACGTATATAATACGGGAGTCCATTAGTCGGTGTGTGTGCAATCGAGCAATCGCAGTGCGCGCGCGCGAAACCAAGCAGTCGGTCAAACACTATTCGCTACGAGCCGAGGAGGGACGTATAGCGACTCATTACAGTCAGCGAGCAGCAGCAGTCAGCTTCCAACTTCGGAGTTCAGTGCTTGTCGACCAGCCGCGAGAGACAGTTATTTGTCGTCCACTTGGTGGTACTGTACACACATACACTTTAACACATTATAATATATAACCCAGTGTTCCCATACGTTATACACATTTTTAGTATAATACTTTAACGAGTAAGCTTCACAACAAAATCAACAAAAATGGTTGCTGATGAAAAAATTCCAATCTACGCGCCGTTCTTCGGTGTTATGGGTGCTGCATCGGCCATCATTTTCTCCGGTAAGTACCACGATTCTCCTAAATTTCCTACATTTATTGAATGTTCACGATCCCTGAGCGATCACGAACACCTGGAAAATTGATTCTAATTCGCGGGTGCGGAATTGTATCGAGCGAAACTCGCAAAAAAGCGGAGAGCATTAGTAGCAGTGGCAGCAGCAGTAGCAGTAGCAGCAGCAGCAGGTCTCGTGATCTCCTCTGACTCGATTTGCTGGGCGTCGACCGGAGCTTTGTTTTATCATAGGCTCGTCGTTAGAAAACCATTAGTTGGCCTAGGAACATCCTCGGCTACGCGAAAGGGCATAAAATGCATTTCTACGATCGGCTTTTGCCTTCTTTTTGCCAAAAAGTCGTCGTTGTCATCGTTGACTTGGTCGTCGTCGTCGTCGTCGTGCCGTGCGCTGCGAGCATAATCCTTCGGTGATACGTCTGGCGCGTGACGCTTTTTGCAGCGGGTGTCTCGCTCGCTCGCGTATCGTTGCCTATACCGCACACAGACACACACGCACACACACACATTCGTAATTGAGCAACTCGCGTATGTTTGTCTCGCTCGCTCGTTCGCGATTTACTATACTACTCGGCGGATAAGCGCCATTTTCCCATTCTTGGCATCCCGGGAGCCAAGCGGCGCGCGCGCACGCATGCATATTCACTCTCGACGGAGCACTCACACACATACGCACGCATACATTCATTCGTACGGGGAGACATACTCGCGAGGCTCGAAATCGGGACGAAAATTATGGTTTTTTTTTGCGCAAAAGTACTCGCAGGAAAATTGATCGAATCGGCTGCTACGTGGACGGTAGACGTGTTTCGCCAGAGATACTCTTGTTGACTTATTTCTCCATTTTTAAAGGGCCACTGGCTTCGGAGTTCGGACCAGTTTAATGCCGCGTATACGCACGCTCGAGCACGCACACATCGACGTAAACGATGTGCCTCTATATACTCGCGAAAGCGAGAAAAACAGAGACAGATAGACACAAATCGCTCCGTGTGTATCCCAAAGTACTCGTTCGTTCGTTGGTAGAGCTGCCAAATCGTGCCAAAGAGTAGCCAGAGCCAAGCTCGAGGCTTGAACTATATAAGACATGCCTGCACGATGCATACACACATACACATACACGCACAGACATATATGTCACCCAGACACCGACGAGTTCTCTGTTTCTTTTCTGCTGAGAAACATCAGCAGTATAGCCAGTAGCGTATACGTTTGATCGTTCTGTCGGCGCAGACATACTTACCACACACACACACACACACACACAAACATGTACACAACGTCAAACTTGACAAACGAATCGAAGTATGGAAGGATAGTATATCCCATTACAATGACTATATCCTATAGACCGATTGAGTACTTTCTCGGGACGGAGTCGAGGAAAAAAACCCATGTACCGAACTGGCTTTCGTAAATAAAATAACGTTAAAAGCTGCTGCTGCTGTTGCTGCTGCTGCCCCTGACTCACGTCGAAGGCTTTCATTGAATTTCAGCGGAGCGTGCGTGTGACTAACTTCGAAGCGACCAGCTCGATAGATCCCGTGATGTTGGCCGTGCAACTTTTATGTCATTATTTGTTGTATTATTGCGCGAGCTCTCGTTTGATGAAAAAAACATATGCATACAAGTTGCACAGAGAGGCCAGTGCTTGTGTGTATGCACGTCTGTGTCTTGTATGCACGTCTGTGTGTGTATGTGCGCATATACGTTCACGGTTAACTCTCGATGTTGTACTCCGCGTTATAACATAGCAGCGCGGAGTGTAGGTGTGCGCGTCAATACTCGTGCGGCGGTCACATGGTCAGCATCGCGCGCCGCGAGCGAGTAGCAGCAGCAGCCTACTACACACATACGACGAGGCGCCGTTTTACAATGAAACTCGATCGATTCTTCTCTCGCTCCGACTTTCGCAGCTCGTGTTTTCCTTCGGCTTATCCAATCAATCTCTTTTTCTCTTTCTGATGCAGTCTCTCTCTCTCTCTCTCTCTCTCGAACACCAAGATGCTGTTTCTCGTTTTTTGGCAAATCTCGAGTAATTTTTTATCGGGGCCTTTGCCCCATACTCTACTACTAACCAGCCATTCGATCGTCTCGTAGGACGAATATTCGATCGCTCGCGCACACGAGGAAAGAAGCTCGCGCTCTGCTTTGGGGCGGCGCGCGTCGTGCTTTTTCCTATATTCCATCCACGAGCCACCCACCAACCAACCCGATATAGCTTTCGACTACTACTACACACTGCTTCTGCCTACCTACACGTTAACTATGCTTTAATAGCTACATATCTATATACATTGTAAAGTACGCGAACAGCATAAAGTAGCTCTCACTTTCGAGAGCGCGTGTGTCCCTTTCCGGCGAATCAATAAGTACCCAAGAGAGAATCCCTCAGGACGACGACGTCGACGACTCGATACTCGCTAGAGAAAATCTCCTCGTCGTTGCCGCTCGCTTCTTTTTCGTTGACTCGCTCGCTGTACGTCATCTTCTTCTCGTTCTAATTGGCACGGCTATATTGGCTGTTGATCCATCTCTCGCTGTCTCTTGGCTTGGCTAATGGCTTTATTGTCGGCTGTGTGGCATTTCATGTGACACGAGTATGTGCGCCTCGTGACGACCGGAGCACGAGCTTTTACTTCCCATGAACGCGCCGAGTGGGCACACGCGCATTATCGTCGAATACTCAGGTGTTCGGCCATGTGATGCGCGCGATTTATATCAACACACGTACTGTACACACGCTTACGCGTTTTAACCTTATCGATTGCTCGTTCGGGTCGATTTATCTTTACCTAATAACCTGCTTCGTCGGAGGGGAGAAAAACGATTAGAAGCAGCCGCGAGTCAAATTGAAATTCTTTTATACCGCATGCATTGCGGGACGCAAAAAATTTCCTGGAAACGACCTCAGCTGATCGAGACAGAGAGAGAGAGAGAGAGAGGAAAAATAGTTACAAATGCACATGGTGGACTCTTGGCGTATTCGACAGTTGTCGATACTCTCGAGCGCGAAGCTTACTCCAACATGAGGTCGTCATGTGATGTGCGACTACCGTGCAGACTACTCTTTACCAACCGCAGAAGCAGCAACAGCAGCAGACTCGCGAACGCAACGCCACGAACGGATAGATGGAGGCGCACACGTACACTCGTGCAAACACTCATCTCGCGTTACTTTGATAATGCCGTACACACATACGTAATCGTCGTCGTCGTCGACATCGCATCATGTGACTTTATACGCTCCGTATACGGGGCGTGTGTGCCGTGTAAACGAGAGTAAGAGACTCGCCGATGCTCTTAAACTCGATGACACGAGGAAAAGAGAAAGATACGAGGACAACCTCGAATGCATCGGTGCAAGTATCGAACCGACACAGCGCGAACGAGGCTTTTCGCCTTCGTTTTGGTGCACGCGCGTATATGACTCCGCTTAGGCTGCTTATAGCTTCTTGTATATAATAATGTAAGCTGCATGGCCGGATCGTAATCTTCGTAGGCGCGCGCGGATGTGGCATGGAAAATATCTACCACGCAGAATCAAGGTGCTTATGCTGCTGCCTTTGCTCGTGCTTATTACGTAAAAGTGAAGGAAGTTGTTTTCTTGCGATTTTCCAGCGACTTGAACACGTTATGCGATGAATTTTCGTTAAAAAAATCACGAAGAATTCGATAAACTATCGTAATGGAACCAAAATCTCAACTAAAGATGTCGAGTACTCGATAGCTGCCGAAAATTGTACGAGTCGCTTGGTTCGGCGCAAGCTCTGACAGCAAAATTTACTTGATACTTGAATTTATGCAACAATATAACGAAACGTCTTGTTAGTATTACTTTTACAATATGTTCGAACGAGTTGAACTAATCTCGGTTGTTTTTATCCATAGCTCTGGGAGCGGCATATGGCACGGCAAAATCCGGCACGGGTATTGCAGCCATGGCTGTGATGAGGCCCGAACTTATCATGAAATCCATCATTCCCGTTGTCATGGCTGGTATCATCGCCATCTACGGTCTCGTCGTAGCCGTACTCATCGCCGGTGACCTCGCCGCGTCCGGGGCAGAAAAGTACACCCTCTTCAAGTAAGTAAACGAATCTCAACATATGCATTCTCCTTAATATTGTCCTCTTGTCCTGACCTGCAAAAACCCCTTTAAAGATCTCTAGTAGTGTACGAACGATGATTGAGGCTCTAATGTTTGCAAACTACCAGCGAGCTTGCATGACTTATATGTTTTAATAGAAATATACTAGTCCCATCTTGATTCCTCCTCCTCCTCCTCCTCCTCCTCTTTGTGCTTGCACTCCTCTACCCATGACAGTTAAAAAGGGGCAAGCACTTCTCTACAACGACGCAATTTATCTGTATTTGATAATTTTTTTACCAAAAACTTATCGTTTGATTTCTTTCAGGGGTTTCATTCACTTAGGTGCTGGTCTGGCCGTAGGTTTCTCCGGTCTTGCGGCCGGTTTCGCCATCGGCATTGTTGGTGATGCCGGTGTCCGAGGTCAAGCCCAACAGCCACGTCTCTTCGTCGGTATGATCCTCATCCTCATTTTCGCTGAAGTATTGGGTCTCTACGGTCTCATCGTTGCCATCTACCTATACACTAGCTCATAAATACTGCGAGCGGGCGAGATCAACGAGAAATATAAGAACAGCTGCTGTGAGAAAGGAGAAAGATCGCGACGCTCCTTGCTGAAATATAGACCATTGAAAAACACAATATTATTATAAATATGAAAACAAAAACAACGGGAGAATATCTAGAGTCATTTTGACATCTTTTTGATTCGTGATTTCTACGCTTATATTTAATTATTAATTATTAATATTATTATTGTTGTCATTACGTTTTTTTTGTGAAGCTGTCATCGTCGATCATCTCTCTCTGCATACTTCCTACATTACGAAATGAAAAGTAACACATTCAAATAGTTCTTGTAATTAAAATCAGTTATAAACTTTTTGGATTTGATGCATTTAACTTTTAAGAGAACACATGTTATTATCAACAAATTAATTACATGTACTGTAAAAAGATTATTTATTGAGTAAATTTTTAACAAAAATCATTAATTCGCATCAAAAGTTTCAAATTGTACACTATAACGAATATTTATGTTTTAAAAAAACGCTAGATGTGTAGATTAAATTTTAAAAAAGAGCCGTGTTGTTATAATGAAATTCGGGCATGATATAACCACTGGATCTGATTATTGATCCAGTTGATGAAAATACAATTGTTATCGATAAATTCTTGCTAAATGGTTTACTAACCCATATCCCATATTATGCTAAGACCTTTCTCTTTCATCATTGTATAGTAATCATTTTAGTCTAGTTTGACATAAATTATCAATTGAATTATTGGCTCTATTAAATGTATAAAAGTTAAAAATTGCAAACAAATGATTAATTGATCAAAGAAAGTGGAGATTGTGAAAAAAAGTTTATTGATAAATGAACACTTAGCACAATATATTAATATATATTTAAATATATATAATATATATATGGGTGGATAACAAAAAATTGGCAATATTTTCAATGGATTTTCGACTCATTCCGAAAATTGCTTAATTAAATTTTTTATCTTTATTACTCACAGATTTTAGGGTTCAAAATTGAAAACTGCATACAAAAAAATCAAAAAACAAAATTGCACGAAACCTTAGTCATTAAAGGCGATTTTCTGCTTTTGACCGTTTTTCGATGTTTTTTGCACGTTTTTCAATACCCTTGGACTTTAACTGGCTATTAAAATTATCGGATAGTTACAAAAATTTGACAGATATTTTCTGATACTTTGAGAAAGTTCTTTGTTTGGTTTTGGAAATTTTTGATGATGTCCAGGTGAAGCCCAGATCGAATTCGATTAGATTTTTACTTCTGTGTCTCTTTTTATGGAAACAAGACTCTAGAGTGCTTAGAATATTTATAGAGTATTTATCATTTGAATATTTATCATTTTAGAATATTTTTTTTTCTGAAAATTTTGATAATCTCCTACAAAAAAGTTCTCTTGCACTTATTCGTTTAAATAACTCTATACTGAAATAGAAATTATTTTATATTTGCGATAATCATGAATTTCGGAAAAATTCCACCTTTGGGCCTCTGAAAAAGGAAGATATATCTTTATGGGCGGCCATCTATGGATGGGTCTATAAAAAAACTACAAGAAATCATTGTTCAAAATTATAAAATTTATATCTATTAGCATTTTTAATAGCAAGACATGAAAATTTCCAATTTTCTGTCATCTACCCATATACAACAAATGTATGTATTCATACATAAAATGAAAGCGATGCGGCGACGATGATACAATACTGTTTTTAACAAAAATCTAAGTCGAAGCTAGCCTGAAGTAGAGAAAAAACGAGAGAAAAAGTGTGATTGTGCGCGAGAAAGATATATAGAGTGAACGAATTTTGAAAAAAAAAACAAAAACAAAAATGAGCATAAATTAATCGGCAAACTTTATAACATGTTAATGATACACTTTAATTTACAAACAAAAAAGCGTTTATTAAAATCAGCGTGGACAAAACAGACATCAATACTAATATATACACATATCCCACGAGTGACAAGACAGAAGCACGCGAAAATGTATAAACAATTGTGCGAGCTGATTAAGAGAAGTTTTTTTGCTGTGTACTAATACAGCGCATGTGTACGTAAATAATGGATTTGCTAATGAAAGGTGCATTCATTTACGAATGCTTAAAATGATTTACACTTACAGAAATATCTTACATAGAGATATACACAGAAACAGCAAACGTCTAGCTATATGTACGAATCGTCAGAAGGGGTAAAACGAACAGTTATTTAGGTTTAAATGTCATGTTTTAGAAAACTTACTATTATTCGAGTAAGCAGTTATAGCTGGCAGTAATATTCGGAAGATACACATTAGTTAAAAAGCAAAGGCGCACACGAAATCTTATAAGATGTATTATTTACAAGGAAAAAAAGAAGGCAATTTTTCAAGATGCCATTCGTACAAAGAGCTTTTCAGTGCAGTGCAAGAAAAAAAAGGATCATGTTCGGAAGTAATCTTTGAAAGAAGATGACATATTTGTACATTCCATAAAAACGAGTTTGCTCCGTCAAATGGAAAGAGTAACGATCGGAAAAGTGAATCCATGGTTACGACGACGGAATTTTCAGCTACTGCCTTAGAATACGTGGTGAGCCCTTCGGCGAAACTGCCAGCTCGTGGCTCAGCTTCGCCAAAGGCCACACGAACTGACCGGATACGAGCACGAAAGCCTGAAGCTTCTTTTGTCGTCGCAACGAGCTCCACGCCATCATGCATTAGCAAAGATCGCCAAGGGACCAAAATTCGACATCGAAGTTCCATGGGCGAGCAAAGAGAAGTAGCAGCGATGGCGTACGAATGTCACCAGCTAGTTTATTGTTGCCTTGCGTTCGAGACATTATCAGTGCAGTATTTCTTAATCTCTGTAAATGTTTAAAATTGATAAGCGAGTAACAAACGGACAGATAAGACAGGCTACAATTAGCTACATACTCGCGCAGGTGCATTTCTGAGCGATATTAAAGTAAAGACGCGGAATAAAAAAATAAGGCGTTCACTCTCCCACGTAAAATGCGCTTTTGCCACACGCGATTGACGCGAGTGAAAACAATCAGAAACGGAGAGAAAAAATTGACAGCTTCATTGCACACAGAAATGCACATGCGCGAATGAATGAAACAAAAAAGATATGCGTACAAGTACGTGTCCTATGTACACGTCACTTATATGCGACACTTACACGATACTTATAATATGTATATTATTACGCCGACTGACCGACGAACGAGTGACACTCCGAAAACAATGAAAAAAAATGATGAAAAAAATGCAGAAAAAAAAAGAAACAAAAAAGTTAATGTATAAACGAAAAGTTATGATGTTTGAGGCTCGTTGAAATCTTTGTGCTACAATGAATGTTGAAGACAAATGTGCAATACTACTAAGTGTGCGGATCCTAAAAAATCACTGAGACCATCCGAGAAAAACCTGAAAGAAAATACGCGAGTATGAAAGAAAGTGGGCATCGAGCAATATCTGGACGAAAAACAAAAAGTAGAGCATATTTGGTATTCAAAACGGAGAACATCTAGCAAGTAAAAAAGTCTCATGACTAGGAAATCACATTGGTATTTAGAAAGATAAATTGAAAATTCACCAAGGTAAGGGAATTTCGTGCTTTACCAATTCAATATTTAATTATTATCGATAATTGTATCAGTATTCCCATTAAAAGGAAAAAAAATTAAATATAATGAGGATAAAGTTCAGAGTCAGAGAAACAAGCGGTGGCGGGCCGATAACGATGACATTCTAATATATTTTTGGTGTAGCTTCATTGGAACCGTTTAATAATCTTGAAAAAAACGGAAAGCGCTTAGCATAAATGTGTTCAAGTCGTCAACTCAATATTTAATTATTATTGTTATAATAATTTGTATTTCTCATGATTATGACAAAAAAACAGAATATATTGTGACAATGAAGATATGACCAATGAATAACTCGTGTCGACTTCTTTTTCGAGAAAACTAAATCACATGTCTATGCTTCGGATTAACTAAGTCAACCAACCTTTCTGATACTTAACTTTGTATGAACTAATACAGATTCAAGATCGAATTTATTCACAAATTGCGAGGCACGACGAGCCCCGTAATGGTACTAAATGTATGCTACAGTATTATAATATGTATTATGAGGTACTGATCGTTGGCGTACTCATTATGGGCGAGTATCGATCGAATCACAAAACTGTAATATGAAAAAAATGCAGCATCATTGTACGATGCCTCGTCCGATCTCTCTCAATTCATCTCAGCGGAGTACATAACATTTAATCGAGAGATCTCCAGAATCACGCGTCGCTGTTAATCGATGATGATGTGCCAGTGTATACATTTCCGATGACATCGGGCCTCGCGTGTCCATACATACGTGCGCATAAATGTTATACTACTTCTTATTCGAGCGTGACAAATTAAATACGTGTGACAAACACGGCGGGTAATAATTGAACTTAAAAACAACATTAAACATGCACACACATTAATACTACATAAATATTATATATTTGAATAAAATATATACCATATGAAGTATGTATACAAATATGATGTATGAAGGGGCGGGTGCTAAGTACTGAAATTTACGAGGATAAAACGATGCGTGCGTTACGAATGTCTTGTAAATAATATGACTAGCTGATCTTGGATTCAGGGATATAGGTACAAATCGAGAGTAGCATTTACGGAGTCGATGGAGTTTATTTACTTTTGAGCTGACATTTCAAAGTATAAATGAACGATCGAGCACAGAGAGATGAGATAAGCCAATCGTGTATCTGCAATACCGACAATACCGAGCAAAGCCATCGAATCGAACGAGCGAGCGAGCGAGTGAGTGAGAGAGAAAATTGGCCGAGTGTCCTGTTCCGCTTGGACTCGTGGCAAAAGAATTAAAATCAATGAGAGAGAAAAAAGGGTGCATACGATAATATACCTATAGTCGTTATTGTTTTATCGTTGTTTTCTCTTTTTTTCTTCAGTTTTGTTTTTATGTATCATCATATTGATGAAAGAAAAATCATGAGTGAGCGGAATTAGCGATTGTTATTGTGCGTTCACTACCGTTTATGCGATTCTGATGTACAAGCCTGTATGTGCATATACTGTATAAGAAAAAAAAAGTAACACAAATGAATTTCAATACGTTGTTGTGCTGTTATTAAACAATGTTGAACTTAAGAGAAAAAAAGAGCTGTTTTTCGCTTGTACTTGAAAAAAAAATTATTATATAGCAGTGAAGTAAATTAATTGGCCGATCAACGTTTTACGGAATTCTTTGAAAGAGTTTGCCTGACAAATATATACTTATAATGTATCGTCAAAAAGTGTTGAAGTTCTTCTTTCGTTTCTTCTTTCTTTCTTTTTTTTTTCAAATAAAAACATCATTACCGCCACACGTGCCGATCTGTTCTCTTTTTTCGTTTCGTTTCAACTTTTTTGATACAATAAAATATTATGTACACAAAATATTTTCACTGCTGGATCGATGATGATCGGGGAAGCCGCCGGCGCAAAATCGTCGACGCTGATTTATCCATCGAAGCCCCCCGGCGGAGCACACACAGACATACACACACATGTATTATGATCGATGAACATACGGCAATCCCGAAGCGAAGTAATGGCACTGCGTGGATCAGATATCGATTATTTTTTTTTTCATCTGCTGTACAGATTTTAGTGATGTTTCTCAATCACGGCAAACCGCTGCGGTTTACTTTGATTAATGTACACTCTTTTTGTTTCCTGCACGTGGCGATCGCGCTATCTTTTTCTCTCTTTCTCTCTCTCACACACACGCCCTGTGTCGCTCCTGAAATAACGAAATCCTGAATGGGGATGGAGCGATCGTTGCGGCTTTTTCCTCGTGGTTAAAGTGCTCCGTGGGTATAGGTAGACGAGGGCGTCACGCCAGCTGAGAATTGGCCTACACACGACAGCACGCACACTCGAACTCGTGCTATGCGCAGCATGCGGCTGGATCGAAGCCGCCGCCGCAACAACGATTTCGATCGGCAGCATGTCACAATCGCAAGAGCATGTAGGCAATCGAGGGTGTTTGGGCTGAATCCAATGAGTCATGTTGTTGGCTGAGCGCGTGCACGCGAACGAGGCGCTTTAATTCTAACGATTCCAACTGGAGAAAAGCCAGAGTACTCGTACTCATTTATGCGACACACACACACCCACACCATATCACGATGTACATATTATACACTCGAGTACTCGCTGACTCATTATTTCCACGACTGTTTAAAATATGGATCTCGTCGTTACATAGTCGATAAAGTACAACGGAAAAAGTGCAGATCACGAGATAAATGTCATTGGAAAAAGGGAAAAATTATTATATCGTGTGAATTTTTCGAGCCCATGATTTTTGGCCGCGCCGCCGCCGAAGCGTATCAAACACAACACTCGAGAGCTCATTATACTACAATCTCCCCCCATCAATGCAGTATACATATGATTACACAGTATAATATATAAATACGCTATATCTTCCGCAGTGTTGATGAGAATAACCGAAATATAAAGAAACAAAAAAAAACTTATAAAGTAGATTCATTGTTGAGCGCTGAAAGTGATGTATAATAATTATATTATATCTTATATACCGATCGATAAAATTTTTTGTGTTGTATTGTATGACTCGTCCTCGATGTTACCGAAAAAAAATCAACAAAATCGTGTTTAATAAAGATTTTATTTGGACAATTTTTGAATTCTTTTCTCTAAAAATTTTCATTCTCTCCTACGTGGCTGTATCACATGTGCAACTCGTTACAAGTAACTTCGTTACGCCACTCGTCGAGAAGTATATGCCGGTCCCTCATTGAAGTTTTGAAGTTCATCATCGACATCGAAAGGCTATATAGATATTTTTACCAAACTTCTCAATTTTCCCCTCAAAAATAACTACAATTTTCAAATCTTGGAAGTTTCTTGCTTCGTTTGCTATTTATATAATCTCCTCTTTGCTCGCGACTAGGCGTATCATCGATAACCCTTGTTATGGAAGAATTTTTTTCTCTCGGTCTCCACGCGTCATTGTATTGTGCGCGTTATCTCGCCTAACTAATCTCGTATCTCGACGATAATGATGAAAATTCGGTTACGTTTTTTCGAGTAATATATCGTATAGACCATCGAGGCTTACACAATTTTCGGATGATCTGGCAACGAAACGAAAAAAAAACGTTGGATTACCTTAGTGAACGATTCGTGGGGCGTGGGCGGTTACGCTCGTGCCTTTATATGGGTGCAAAGGCACATAGGCAGTTAACTCTCTGGCCATCCGTTCGTCCGTCCTTCCGTCCGTGTGCGGCCCTTTATTTTGCGCGTTGAAAAATTGTCGAGTGGGCAAAGAGAGAGAGAGAGAGCAGAGAGACCCCCTTTGCAGTTTGCGTATACACACATAATATTATATTTATAATACGCGTGTGTACCTACGCGGCGAATTGTATTCACTGAATCGGAAAAATCGGGAGGGGAGGCGTGCGCGGTGCATGACCCAAGCCGCGCTCCGAAAGTGTGAAAAAGCCGTTGGATATTGTGTATATATTTGCACTGCCGACCACTCGACGAGCCCCTATGTGATATTATCGCGTAGATACAATATGTACTGTACGAACCGAAAAATCCGTTGATGATATTTTTGAAAATTCGAACGTCGAACTTGGAGCTCCGACTGAATAAGCGGCCAATAAGCGACGAGCGCGAAGTAGCGGCTTTGCTTTGGCTTCTGATTCAAATGAGTACAGCATTTGAAATAACGAGATACGCGTCAATAAAAGAAAATGAGAGTATTTTCAAAAATAAACGCCAAAAATATCTGCATCGAATAAATAGCTTTTCAAGGCATTCGCGCGAGGAAAACCAAAACGAAAGCTGAATTCGTTCGGTCCAGCTCGATCGTTTCATCGTCGACCAAAAACCACAAAGCACGCACAATCATCGTCGCAAGTTCAACTGCTTCTCATTGCAAAGTAGGTACGACGCCCTATAGGTATTCTCGAAGCAATGCGCCGCACATATATAACGAGTGCAGCGCGCGAGGCTTTTTGGACGAACGACGGTGCATACCTATAAGCGGTATGGGTAAGTCGAGAGCGCACGGCGCGAGCCTCGCTAAACTGCTGCCCTACATGTATCGACGACGGTCCGCGCTTTCGTGCTGCTGCTGCTTTCAGCGCGCTGAAAAACACGCGTAAAAAGATCTGCCTCGAGCGCACCTAAACCATATGGCTTACTATAGGCATCGCGGAAGTCTAGTCGATGAATTTTCGATGCGAAACAATATACCGTGCAATCTATTGGAAAGAGTCATTTGGCCAAAAAAGAGAAAAGGTCGCTCACGGAGAAAGGCATTTTTACCTCGCCGATACATCTGTATGGATGTCGTTGATCGCGTATAGCATATCTAGTTGTATACATAGGCAGCTGCATTTCAAAGTTTTTCGGAGTCGTCGCTCGGATCGTCGCCATGTTATTCGTATCATAATATACCCGCAACAGTCGGAGGCCAGCGCCTCGAAACGACTACAGCAGCGCCGCCATGAAGCTTCGCAGCCGAATTCGACGCTCGGCACGGCCGTGTCTGTTTTAACGCGTTACCTTACCCTTATACGCGCTGCTTGCTTATCGCCGCCGCGCCACGCCACGCCACACACACGCGCGCGCGACGCCACACACCGACGCAGCAGCTAGGCAGTGAGGGGCCAGACAGAGACAGACGCGCCGCTACGCCTCGCAATCGGCCGCTCTGCTAATACTACGCGCTACTCTATTCGCCGCCATACTGCGTCCGCAACGGACAGGCTTGTCTCTGTGTGCTGTGCGACTAGTGACTGTGTGTCTCGCCAAGAGTGAGAAAAAGAGAGAGAGAGAGCTTTGTTTTCCTGTTTCCTTGTTGTTAACCAAGTTTTGACAATTAAAAAGTGAGTCGAAGTGGCAATAGAATACTGTAATATGAGTGCGCGAGTGTTAAATCAAGCCGCGATGATGTCCGAAATGACCAGGATGGCCTCAAGTGCAAGCAATTCGACTAAGGTTATTCCCTCCAAGTATCGCATCTCTCCCAATCAAGCAGCTCTGGCCAAAGTGCGTCGTGATTTGTTTGGACCCGTGGATCATGCTGCTACCCAAGCGCTCGTCGACCGCGAGCTCAAAGCTCAGGCGGAACTCGATTCCAAGCGATGGGGATTCGACTTTAAGATGGAGAGGCCCCTCAAAGGCACCAGATACGATTGGAAGCTCATCTCAGACAAAGATTATGTTCCAGAGCCATATGCTCTTAGAAGCATGAAATGTCTCACTAAGCGTAGGTCGTTCTACGCCAGTAAGTTGACCAAACCACAGTGCTCCTTGAAGCTTACTCCAAATAAGCTCTCAAAAATTATTTCTGAAACAATCATCAAAGAAGTTGTTGCACCCGATTGTCAAATTTCTTGCACAAGCACATGTGAAAAGACACCACCACAGCAAGAAATTAGATCAGCGCTTGAAAGTAAATCACACAGTTTGGCAAATATTAGCAAATATTCACAGAATGATGAAAGCAGTTCACCTAAATCTAAACAATCTTCTCCAGCGACGCAGAAACAAGTACCCATCACTGGTTAGTACAAAATTATTATTACCAAACAGTATTTTGCTTACGTAACTTCCTATTTCACTATTAAGAACTCATCTATCTTACTACGTAATCAAGTTTTTAACTAAGAACTTAGTTAGACAGTGGAGTTCTTTTAAATTTTTTTAAAATCTTTCACGCAAAGATTTTATCAATCTTCCGTTGGAAATTCACATGGTTCTTTTAAATACAAATTTTTTTAATACTTGAAAACCATTCTATTATTTGTTTGTATTAAGGACATCCGGATTCTAGTCCAAAATTCAAATTGCCAAACACATTTTGTGAAACTTCTACTAAATATATGTCTACAAAGCTCAATTAAAACCTTAAGAACATGTAAAAGATGTTTCCATAGAGCCTTGTAGATATATATTCTGTAGAAGTTGTAGAAACTTGTTTGAAAATTCAAATTTTAAAATAAGCGATTCAGGTATTTTTAAATCAATCTAATAAGGAAACATTTAATAAATATAAATACTTACATCTTATGCTGATTTATTATCAATTTTTAGTTATATTTTGTAACAGTTAAATACTAGAATAGTATTTTCTAATATTTCCTCTTATTTTTCAGAATTTTTGAAAAACCGTAAACGACCCCTGTCATCTAAGAACAAGTCAATAGAACCACCACTAAAAATATCAAGAAATACAAATGTTCTTCAAAGATAAAAAGATCTTCATCTTCATAATTGTCTTGATATGTATATGTATATCAATATTGTATCTGCTTGTACAATGAAGTATATAAAATTATAAAATTAGTATACAAGAAATGATATGTTCTACAGTGTTAAGGACTTGAAAAGTTTTCTACGGACCATTTGCAGTGCCATTGATTTATAATGTGCCAATTTAATTGGAAAAAAAGACAAATTTCATGTGCAGTGAAATGAAGAAACAAGATTGAAAAGGCTTTAGAATGGCCCATGTAGAATGATTTTCAATATGTAATCCTATCTTTTGAAGTTTGTGTTATAAGTGATCAATATTTTAAACTAAATCTATTGTTATAATTTAGCAATTAATCACTTATTTGTAATCAAATTTCTAGTAATTTTAGAAAAAAATTCATTTGCATACTTTCAATGCTTCTTAGTTACTCTCTTAAAATAATGACAAGCTGATCACGGGCTGTGCAATACCCAATAGCTATATTGGTCGCCGTTGCAAAATTTTGCAAGATTTTTAGCAATTTTGAAATGTCATTGTGAGACTATAACCAATATGTACTGGTTTGAATAAGAAATGAAATGCTGCTGAGGGTGCAATATACCCTAGAGTAACTAAGAAGTGTTATTATAAAAAGGTGTGCTATGGTTTTTATTTAATGATCTCATCATTGTTTAGACTTTTGTTGATTGAAACTAATAATTTGAATATGTTATGCGCGATAGATTGTTTTATGTAGAATCTTAATAGTCATTATGAAATTGGAAGAAATTATTGCAATTACTCTTTCGTCATGGTGGCACTTAAGAATATAAAATCTATTGAATCATTTGTGATGATTTAAAATTTGCATATAACATGTTCCATATTGAGCAATGTCATAAACAAAAGTTCTAGATCAGAAAAACTTTAGAATTAACTTCTATATAATATAACTGTATGGCGTAATTGTTATTTGTCAAGTGCCCGTGTGCTTTACTTTAAAAGATTAATGTGCAGATGAATTAATTAATAGATTCTATTATTAAATTTATAAAAATAGAGTTAGTTTGATTCATTTATGCACTTGATTTATGGTGGTTGATGAAAATAGATAGTTACTAGTATCAAACTTTGGAATCATTGTCTTTCGACGAATCATGGTCGTTTACTTTTTCAGTATTTTGTTCCATATACAACTAAAATTAGTGTTATTCATTACTAATTATCATGTAATATTGTTTTGTGCATCGAAAATTTAAGCATTCTCTGTATTACTGCATTACTGAGTACTACATATGAATAATTTAATCTTTTGAGCAAAAAGTTAAATTTGAGATCAAATAGTAGTTATCAAGCTACAACAAATTTCAACTGTAGATCAATAATGTATCAGACAATGTTTGATGAATAATTTATTGTTTATGACCACTGTATATTTACTGATTTTCTGACTTGATCCTAGCAGCATGGTTTATTTGATTAAATAGTAATCATTTACAATAGAATTTTCTATTATCAATTGATCAATAGTTTTCAATTAACTACTTTCCAAATAGTTTTGATTAAAGTGCGCCAGACAATTTGTAGATTTTATTTAATAAAAACTTATTCTTGTAGTAATATAAGATTACAATATTATTGTATTTACTCTACTTCTTGTAAATAAATCTATTTTATTAAACTAACAAAAAACAGGTTGTTTTATTTAAAAAAAACATTCTATTGAAGCCATTGTAAAATTATACTGAAAATATCGGAATACATTCAACGATGCTCCATCAAAACCGTGGAGCACTGGATGAAAAAATGTATGCAGATCTATTCAAGTTTTATATTTGCATTATAATCTATTACTGATTTACAAAGTCACTTGAAAGTTATTATCAGCATCAAGTTAGATCGCCATTATTCAATTAGAAAATATCATTTTATCTGTTCTATGAGAACAATTTTCACTTCTGCTTTTAAAACATATTAATAGTAAAAAATATCGAATTATAACAATGTACTTGTTGAGTTTTACAACAAACGTCTTGTAAATTCATAACAATCGGCCATTATAGGTCAGTTCATTATCCATCGTAAGTAAAAAAATAACTTACTCCAATTCATGTATTCAAAACATGTTATGTTTTTTTTTCATAATTAGATTATCGAATTATAATTTTTATCATAATATTATACACGGAAAAATTTGAATTAATTATCGAAAGAAAAGTATCGCTAATGTTGTAGGACACTGGTAAAACAAGTATTTGTAGTTTGCAAATGCATTGATATTTATTTCTGAAAACGCATTGTTATCAATTCAATTTAATACTAATATTGTAAAGCTGATCATATGATACTTAAAAATAAAAAAGTAAGTATTACTTGGAACTATTCAAAATGATGACATTTTAGGTAAAGTATGATCTGAAATGAATAAGGCTGGCTGTAGTTTTCAATTAAATAGAAAGAAATTGTTTTAGTAAATTTATCGATTTATTCTACCTGACCATTAGTTTTAAATTAATATCAAAACACTGATAATTTTTTAATTACACTCTTATTAGTACTAAAAAAAATGATAACGAATTCCGATGAGTGTGTCCTATTTATTAAAAAAAGTATAAAATTTGAAGAGTCGAAGAATGAAACACTAAACTATTGGATGGCTTATCTTCTGGCTAATATTTATTGACAGGCAGCAAAAGCTCAAAATACCTCCCTTATCATCGTTAGAGCCGTTAGAGGTCGTACCGGCGCGCGTCACGCAAGGAAAAAAAAATCGCGTAATTCATGTGACACACATCGGCAGAAATGCAGCATAGCTAATAGGTTTGGCTTCGTCGCCAATCATAAAAATCGAACGCAGCGATACGCGAGCGCGTTTCAGTGCTCGTTGTGTATAGTGTACACTTTATATTATAATACACTAGGTATACTGTATATACTGGCAGGTGCTACTCTGTCTCGCGGCGCGTATAGTCTCCCGCGCAATATAATCTGTATCAAGTGCAGTTATACACACAGGCGACGACTAATTGGTGCAGTGCAGGTTGTGGTATATACGGACTGCTGCTGCAGCGCACCGTGTATAAATCTGTCAAAACGGGCGATCCCGCGCGCATCGAAGAGAGACTCGATAATAGTCTGCAGCAGCAGTCGTCGGTATAATTCGCAGCAGTAGCAGCAGCAGACTCGGTGCGGACGAACTCATCGTCGTCGTCGTCGTTGTCGTCGACGCGCACAGTTTTCGCATTGCCTGCGCCTCTCGATGCTGCTGCGAAGACGGACTAAGTAATAATAGCGCGAGGAGCAAAGGCGCAGAGCAGAGAAAGGCGTTGACGTAAGTGTGAGATTTTCGCGTATATGTGTGCGCGTGCTGCTGCTACGTCAGGTGTCTGAATATAGTGAACACATACAAACGATACATAGTTTCATTTATAGACCCATTGGCCACACACTGGATCACAGTGTCGTGCTCCTCTGGCTGCTTATTCAGTGATCAGTGCTTTTCTAGTCACACTCATATTAGCGCCCCGACGAGCTGGTTTCGACCGTGCGAAACTCACTATATAGCTGTGGCGAATATATCTCTTGCATGCCGTTTGCTTTGCCACGGAATTAATCGTTAGACAATATACTTTTTCAGCATGGACCAGGATCAAGAACAGACTAAGGCTAACTCAAGCCTCAAAACTTCTGAAACACCCGCTGACAAACCACAAGTTATCGAGGACAAGTACGGCTGTGAGCATTATAAAAGAAAATCAAAATTTGTGGTTGGTATTTAAACATTTATCAAAACTCTTCTGCTCTTAACCTATAATCATTTACTTTTGTTAATAATTTTTCCATCAACTCTTTTTAATTAAGTAATGTTTTATTGTTTAATTTACTCTAGACTCCTTGCTGCGATAAGGTTTATCCATGCAGGTTCTGTCATGATGAACAAGAGGCTCATACAGTAAAGCGTAAAGAAGTCACTGAACTTATTTGTGTATTATGTGATACTCGTCAACCTGTGCAGGCAACCTGCCAAAAGTGTCATGTGAGATTTGGAAAGTATACTTGCCTAGAGTGTAATTTGTTTGATGACGAAGATAAAAATCAATATCATTGTGATGGATGCGGGATCTGTAGATTAGGAGGCAGAGACAGATTTTTCCATTGTGCTAAGTGCAATATGTGTCTCCCAGTTGAGCTTCAAAATGGACACAAAGTAAAAAAGATTTATTAGATATTCTCTAAATTCAACTCTGTTGTTAATTATCATTTGCATTTTCAGTGTGTTGAAAATGTTTCCCATGCTAATTGCCCAGTATGTTTGGAAGATATTCATACAAGTCGAATTCCTTGTCACATTCCCAATTGTGGTCATCTGCTTCATAGAACTTGTTTTGAAGACTTGTTACATTCAGGACACTATGCTTGTCCAACATGCCAAGTATCACTTTTGGACATGAGCGATTTGTGGAGATTTTTGGATAATGAAGTGACTATGACTCCCATGCCCCCAGAATACAAAGACTTCAAAGCTGAAATTTTGTGTAAAGATTGTCATGAGGTAATCTTATTAAATTAATTCAGAAAAACAATGTATATTTTGGTTACATGAGAATACTTCATTATAATTTTAATTTGATTTGCTTATTTGTTAGATGAAATTGATGAAAAGTTTTTGTATACAATGAGAAACTTGACAAATTAGATTATAATAAAATATTTTTAGATTATTTAGTATTTTATGATAATAATTTTTTATATGATTGTTACTTTAATTAAGAAATTGTCTACTTGGTATTGAGAATAATCATTATTGGGTATATTTATAAATTGTTAGCATATAATTAATCATATTATGAATTATTTTGCTCTCTAGATAGACACTTTCTTTTATTGGTGTGTTATAAATTTATGAATTATCTACATTTAAAAATTCTAGGAATCCACTGTGAAATTCCATGTTGTTGGACTGAAATGTTTAAGCTGTGGTAGTTACAATACATGTAGAATCAAAGGATCACCTTGTCCTGGTAAGCTAAATTAATCTGTAAAAAATTCATTTAATTTATTCTAAATTATTTTAACAGATCCAGAATCTTTGGACGTGGCTGCTAGTGGTAGTCATTCAGGAAATGATGATCATCAACCTCAAGGATCACAAACACAGTAGCAAAAATTATTAAGATGCTGGAAAAATGTAACCTTTCATTCCTTGTGCATGATACTAAAATATTTTTTTTTACGAAAATAAGATTTATTGCGTTTTGTGAGTACATATAAATCATTTTAGGTTTATAAAAAGGTGGCATCTATTATCAGGATTTTTCGACAAAGTTTTTTATGAAGTTTATAGTCATTCAAAAATAATGTGCAAAATTTTCATAGACAATCATTTAAATCATCTAGTTACCCAACATCTATATACATACTATACTCATCAATTATAATAACAAAACTATTAAAAAAGTTTTGAAAAATTCTATATACATTCACTATAAAAATTTTGTAGGTAGACAGTTTTATTGTATTCAACATTTTTGAATGTATTTTTATTTTATTATTTTAGAAAAAAATTTGAGATGAATATTTACATTTTTTATGGATTAAATATTGTTATAGCATAATTGAGTATGAAATAGTTACAATGGCTCTTTTTCCAAGAAATTGTAGTAATTTTATCAAAAAAATAGTTGAAAATATTATTGCATTGTTGAGTTGATCTTTAGGTTTTCTTAAAAAATTATCATATTACCTATACATAAACACGTAAGATTAGATATTTTAAAATATATTTAAATTTATAAACTCTTTAATCAAATCAAAAATTGGTTGTATTTAAGAAGTAGACGATTAATTTTGTTTGCTATAAATCAAATTACAATGTGTATTAAGAAAACCTATTATATATAATCGAATAACCAATACCAAATTATTGTGAATTACATCTAATGCTTTGATTATAAAATTTATATTTATGTCAAATAACTACCGTTTTCAGAGATGAATAGGCACTTAATCAATTTTTTGTTATTATATAACTTCGTAAAACAACGATACTTTAATTTGTACAAAATATCATTTTTGATTCTCAATAATAATTGATCAACTGAAGTATTCGTAAAATTGTATAAATTATTTTAAAACAGATCATTTATCTAAAAATAAATGTTTACTTATTATGCGTTTTATCTTGACAACTAGAAATGAGAAGTAATTGAATAATTGTATACAAAAAATATAATACATTTTCTAAGATTTTTCAACAAAGATGAAATTTCAAGTATACGATCGAGACCTAAAGGAATTTGAACTGAAGAATATCTCAAAACCGTAAGTTTGGTTCAAACTTTTGGAAATTTTTTAAAGTCAACTCATTCCAGTTAACTCCAGAATAAAAATGGAAAATAATGAACTTCATTTTCTGAGACTTCTACTAGAAAATTTTCCTACACGACTTTACGTCATGTGAAGTCCTGTAGGACTGTCGAGCTTATAAAAATAATACAAGGAGACCACTTCAGCTCTGCAGAACTTAAAGACAGCCCCATATGGGGCAAATCTTTCCCAAAAATTGTTTGTGGTTACCTGGTAATGATAATGAAGCTCCCCTTGAGGCCCATTTTTAAAAGCATTTTCTATTTTATATAAAAATCGTTGTGATTCTTTATCTCGAAATAGAAGTACTTGAACGAAAAACTGCTAGAACCAAAAATTATAAATTTTTCAAAGAATCTGCCTAAATTTTATCAGAATTTTTGGGAACATCTAGCACACTTTTTACGAAGTCCTAAAAACTTAAAAAAAAAGGGTAATTTTGGGCCTCGCAAATTAAGTAATAAATTGTCTCGAAAGTTTTGGAAAATTCTGGCGGATTCTTTGAAAAAATTTAATACTTTTTTGTTCATTGCATTTCTTCGTTCAAGCGCTTCCATTCCGAGGTAAAAAATCGCAAAGATTTTTGAATAAAATAGAAAATTCTTTTTAAAATGAGCCTCAAGGCTCATGGGATACAACAAGAAGACCTTCCCACCTTTGGATCACATATCCTTCCCAAAACTTTTTTGGAGTTTTGTGGTACCTATTAATGAAGCTCCCTGTGCTTAGTTAAACTCCAAAAAAGTTTTGGGAAGGATCTGTGATCCAAAGGTGGAAAGATCTCCTTGTAAATATATGGAGTTTCATTGTTCGACCAGGCGACCCCAAAAATTTTTTGGGGAAGATTCATTACCCAGAGCCGAAGTGGTCTCTTTGTTAGTTGACAAGTTTCAGAAAACAGAATCTAAAATTTTTACCTTAGCTTCATTGTCGAGTTACAGTACTGTGCAGATTAATTATTTCTAATACCGTTTTATAAAAAATGGAATCAATTGCACTTGACAAAAATTTTTATTAAAATAGAACTTGGTGCGACGAAATATTGAATAAGTTGCCGGGAAATTCTTTATGTATCGTTTTATTCAATTATTAAGTTTTAGGATTTGATAGAGTGTTATATAAAATAAGACATGCGTCGAAAATTCATTGCACAGGCACAGCTATAATACAGAGGTTTGACGATCTGAATACATCTGGAGAGGAAAATTTTCACTGACCACGCAGATATTTAATCCTTGACCGCTTGTATTCAAGCAAGTTAGAGAAAAAGGAAGTATTCTATAGCATATCATGTAGATCGCGTATGTAAATGATCAGACGTTTTCACTTTCTATAAATTACACCCACTATTTTTTCCACGATTTCTCAGAAAAACACGATGATTCCGTTTCGGCTGTAGAACTAATATTTTTGCGCTTTGTCTGTGCGAGTACTATAAATGATCGTCTTATTCATACAATGCTTCAAGTTAGTAAGCTATAGAGATTCATATTAAAGCAAACTCACGAGTTATGATTTACTTAGAATAGCTGCAATTAATTTTTTATATTTTATCATTCATAACCCGAAGTGATTTAAGATTTTAGATAATTACTTTCAGTACGTTTTCTAAGTTTAATTTTAAAAATTCTTAAGCACACGGGTAATTTCTAGATCTAAATCAAATTGCGGTATTCGGCATTGATTTTGACCTGCGCTTATTTTCTTTTTGTTCTATGTGTCTAAATGATAATGACGTTTGCACATGCACGTGCGACGAAGCACACCCGATGAAAAGAAATTGATCACTCATGCCCTCGACTCAAGCGAGAGAATAGCTGAAAAGCGAAGATTTAGTCAGGTGCAGAGCAACGCACGAGGTTTTGTTTATAACGTCGCTGTTGTTGTCTTACGTCTGCAGAGCAGAAGGAAAAGCTTTCGCGCAAGAAAGGGGATTGTCTTCGATCTCGGGACGCCTCGTGTGTTTATACCGACTGGAAGTATGATTTGGACATTGAACACGTAAATATCGTGTATTTATCATAAGTGTAGATATGTGTGGGTTAGCGTTCATAAATAATAATATCCCAAACTCGAGCTCATACATTTTCACGTGCGGCCAGTGTGTTATATGCAATTAAAACTTCGCGACGTCGAATCGTGCTTTATTCTTCAGTACGTGTATTTTTTCGGCTTTTACTTCCATTTAAATGGTAAATAAAGTAAATAGAAAACGTGAGCCAGGAGCAAGTGCACGACAGACGTCTACCTTGCGTCGCACTTTCAAGTAGATTGAGTTCCGAAAACGTATACAACGTGTGAGAATGAGAGAAATTGACTAAGAAAAGATGAAGAGAAAAACGCCTTAGAATCCGATCTGTGAAGAAAAATCTGTGAAAGTCGAATTCGAGTCGAAAATCGTAAAAGGTGTGCGGAGCTTGTCAGGGTCATCCATCGAAGTCGAACTCGGGGCCGCGTGGGCGCACTTCGGGTTCGATAGATCGGCGGTGTCTGGGTGGGACCGAAATTCAATCGCGGACGCGAGCGAGAAATGGAGTCTCTGACATTTCACGGCTTCCAAAACGAAGACTGGACATTGCCGTTCGAACAGTTGCCGGACTTGATAGCCGTCACCACTGTACCCCTGTCTGCAGTCTGCTACTACCATAATAACAAGCGGTGAGGAAAGTTCGTTTGTTTATTTTTTTCTTGTCCCCCTGTCTTTGATCTGCGAAATTCGTAAGCGTCGATTGATTGAATCATCGCACGTAATTCATCCGGTCGAAATCGGAAATCGAGAGGGGTATTGCAGACGTTTCAAAGGTAAGTTGGTATGATGCGTTTGTTTGCACAAAATACAAAAAAAGAGGGCAAAAACATGTTTATATGCGAATGACGTAATTACATGGTAGCGGGGCGGCATCGCATCGAGATATTGTGACTTGCGAGAGGAAGCCGCGCGGCGTCGGCGGCAAGTTTGAGAGAATTTTTGCCGGGAAACGACGGGCCAATTGCGAAGCGCCCAGGAGTAGTGGGTGACTATATGTACCTCCACCACAAATAATGAAAGGTGTGCTGCGCTCCCGCGCGCGCGCGCGCGCACCGACGACGACGAGTGCCCGAAAATTCGCGCAAAATACGCACGCACACGACTGCTTGGCCGAGTGCATAGTCGTGAAATAAACAAAACACCAACAACAACGAAACTTCCGCAATCGGGGTGACAGGGTCTTTCTTTCATTCATTTGTTTGACAAAGATGATTTCGAATTGATGGTTTGGACTCGCGATTTTTGCTGGCGATAACAATTACTCTTTTTTACATTTCAGATTTATAGCTCATGTGATTAATAATTTTGATAAATTATTATAATGGTAAATACAAAACTTATTTTGTACTGACAACTACTCGTAAAATTGTACTGAAATCAGCTAAAATAATTTAGCAAAAATGATCGCACTCGATAGACTTAAGCAAAACATAAATCGCTACAGGGAAGTCAGGTACAAACTCAACTTTCTTACGTTGCATTGTTGCACGCTACGTGCAAATCCCCGCGCTTGGCCCTTTTCGAATTGCGCTCGACAGTGTATCGCTGCATTCGCATGTATCTCCGAAATTCCACTCTACGCTCATAAGTATATACCGTACCCAAGTCTCAACCTTTTGTTTCTTTTTTCATTTCTTTGTGCTCGGTCATTCTTGGAGGGAAGTAAAGAGTCAAGGCGTCGAGTTCATCGTAATAAAACAAAAAAATAATAATAACAATCGTAAGGATGGTCGAGTCGTGGCATTGCAGGCGGTGGTAGTAGTAGGAAATAATGCATATAAGGGATATAGCGAAGTACGCGCTTATATATTCCGCTCGCGCGCCTTATCGATAGCGACCATCCTCCCCGTTATATTTTCTCTCTCTCTCTTTCTTTGCGTGTTGGGGCAGGATGCGAAGAATTGCACACACAAGCGGGCGACGATACTGTACCCATATTATATACATAAGAATCGAGGCGCGCACATATTGCAGAACTTTCCCCCGGCTCGAGAGTCGCATGTTCGCGGTAGTACCTAAGGTAGTGTATATGTTTGGTGTATATATATAGCACATGCAGGACTGCACGTACATATATAGTACAAGGCAGCTGCGTCTCTCTCTCTCTCTCTCTCTCTCTCTCTCTCTCTCTCTCTATCTCTTGCGAATATAATGTGTTCGTATGCTGCTGTATGTGCATATGCGCGCGCGCGTATAGCCCATGGGTTCTGGCGTTCGTCATTCCATGGGTGTGCGCCATGGCCCTGCACACAGCCGTCGTCGTATATAAATACCTACTGGCGTGTACGTATAGCAAGGAAAGCGCATAATTCTGCGCATGTGTCTGCATGTGCGTGTTTGCCCTTGCCATTGCTGATTGCCAGCAAATAAAATATGTATGCTAGTGTGTGCGTGCGTGTGTGTGCGTGTCTGCGACTGTGCAAGAGAGCTTGTTTACACACACGCACACACACGTATTCGGAGCATTTCGGAGCATATGTATTAAAAGATCTTAATGCCAACATCAAGCTGTATAAGCCGGCGCGCGGCAATTGGCCTGTGTTATAAGCACAGCATAGCAGCGCACACACGTGTCTCGGGCGGTCTCTTCCTACTTATATTTACGTACTTGTATGCGTGCGTTTGGATTGCCTACTTATTATGCTTATGAGATGGAAACTGCAAGATTCATCTATATAAGCCAGCATAGCGTGCCGAGACGCGATCGTGTTATTCGTTCGGGTTACTCGCGAGCCGAGAGAGCCGCGATCTCGAGGCTCGAGGAATATCGCCTATTTGGATACTCTATATACGACTTCTCGGTATACCTATATAATATATCACTGTATATAAGAGAAATATGTACATGAGTCAAGCTCCGGCGCTCGCGAGACTCGACTTAAAGAGCCAAAAGTTCCTTTCCGCGTCTCGCTTTGCCACTCCGCGCGCACGAGGCCTACATTTATGTATTGTGTGTGTGTGTGTGTGTATTTTTCTCTGACTCTAAGCACACATCGATAGACACAACACGCGTGTGTATAGCGTAACATTTCATTGAGCGCATATGCCGCACACGGCTGCTCGCTCCGCTGCTGCTGTTGTTTCTTTAACGTTCTAGCCCCCGAGGCACAAGCTGCTGTATATATATATCTGCTGTTATATAGTACTCCTATATAAGCTTGTGCAATGAGTTGTCGGGTGACGAGAGGTATCGCGCGAGAGAGGATCTGTATGAGGAGCCCGCGCACAGCGAGAAAAATATGAATCGGATCTGGGATGGTGGCTCACGGCCGCGCTCCGAAATGCATCGTCGTAATTCGTGCTCGAGCCCGCGTCATTCGCCTCCAACAGAGAAAGCTTTGCAGGCAGGAGGTAGAGGAATCTTCCTCTTTTATTGTACATTAAAACGAGCCGGCTCGAGATTCCATATACAATTTTAAATGGCCTTACAGCGACTTGGAAAGTGAATGTTAAAACACGCGTGTCCAACTTGGCTCGAATCCAGGGGGAAATCGCGCTCATTGTCAATGTATCATTACAGTACAGATGCGCAAGCGTGCTTTCTTCATTAACGCGAGAAAAGAAGAATAGCGCGCGAAAACAAGGCGAACGCTCTTGCGCGCCTACATATATCGCGAGATTGGAATATCAGACAGCGGTGTACGCAAAAAAAAAGAGAACGAGAGAAGGAAGAAAAAAAAATTTCCAACCACCCGATCGCACGTATGTATATGTGGGCATATGCATTTTTAAGTGTGCTCGTATATACACACACACAAGAGTCGAAGGAGCGCCGAAGCGTGCGAGGCAAAGGACTGCACCGGCTGCGTCGAGCTGCGTGCGCCCGCCGCAAACTACGGCGCGAACCAATACAACTTCAACGACGACGACGAAGTATGTGTGTGTGTGCGTATCGTATAATATATACCGAGGGCGCATGTGCATCACCGGCATGTGTATGCGAAATTTTACCCGCGACGACTTACAGTCGGCACTCGGCACAAGCGGGCTTTGCTCTCGTGTATTATAAGGCATACTCACACAAAGAAGCTATTATTACGAGCGCTCACCGACGCGCAGGGCACCTTTAGGCGTGTATGTATATACATACTGTATAAGGTATATCCTGTGTGTGTGCGGCCACTGTAAGACGAGGACTCACACACACTCCTATAGACGAACTTTGAGCGGGATCTCTGCCTGCTGCCTGCCACTACCATCGCGGATTATACTCGCAGTGGTCTTGTGCTTTTGCGCCGGCTCATCTAGCAGTGTTCGGCTGTCTGCCTGCCGGGTGTAAAGGCCCTCGCGTGCCGTCTCGAAAAGACTCAAAGTGTATATACGTACATGTGCCGAACGGTATCGTATGCGCGCGTTTGTTTCTGTGTGGTGTTGGTGTGCTGCTTTACATAATACATTATAAAATTCTTGCAACACCGTGTATAGACACACAGCCAGGGGAGTTCTTATTTCGACTCTTCAAATATATATTTTGTAAAAATTACTGCGTCTACACGAGGAAATCGCGCTTCCAAGAGAGAAAAAGCAGCGCAGTTAATCAGTGCAAAAAGGTTGTCTCTCGTGCGCCGGCAATCTCCCTTCTCCTCAGTGTTCTTCGCAACTCCGAGTCATCGCTATAGCCAATCCGTAACTCGAGCTGCAGCTTCCTTCATCCACGTACATATACGAGATGCACCCGTACATGTATAAGGGAACGTTACGTCGGTATAACATTTAAAAATCAACGATGCCAACTTTCGAACGCTTCGAACGCAGATTTTCCGCCCTTTGAATTTTCGCACTGACTCGGTGAGTCAAGCACGACAACGTAACGGCGCGACGACGCCGCAGTGCATCGCGGTTCGCGAGTTGTGTGCAGTAGGCGGTATCGGAACACCGGCAGCGCAGGTCCAACGTCTCTATATATAAATACAACGAGTGTCAGTGTGTGTTGTGTTGGCGCGTTGGTGTGCAGTAGTGTATACGTGCAGTTTCGAACTTGGCAGCAGCATTATAATACGTAACATTCACCGGCGGTCTGCATCCTATATGTATACATACAATACACGTTCGTATTAAACACATACACAGACAGAGGCATGCGCCGCCGCTCGTGTGAGAGAGCAGGACAACAAGAGTCAGTCTCCGCGCGGCATCTACTGTCTCTGTCTGCACTAGGCTTCACTTCGCCATAGTCTCTCTCGGCTCTCGAGCAGTATACAGTGCTGGTGTGTTAGTGCGCGCGCTTTCGCAGCAGCAGCAGCAGCAGCAGCAGAGGGTCTGCGTTCGCTATATTATAGCGCTGTACAACCCATGGTAGCAGTGCCCCGCTGCTTGTGTAAAAAGCTTCGCGCAGTATATAGCAGCAGCAGCAGCACATAAGTATGCTTTGCTAACAGTGCGCGTCTGTATGTAACCATACACGAGTCCGACCGGTATCACTCACGGGACTCGAGGACGACGACGCTATGGCAAGCATCTGCCTCTCTGCTTTCCGCGACTGAAACTTCCGTCTCTCTCTATCTCTCTAACTTCATCTCTTTTCTCTCGATCGCGTTTCGTCGCGCACAGTGCATTTATGTCATTTATATACACATACGTTTAAGTGTGTGCTCGTTCTACGTGTCCGTGTGTTAGTGCATACCAAGTGTTACCAAGTGTTAGGTGAATTGCATCTTGACCATTGGCCATCTTGCGAACACACACACGCGCATATTCGCACACATAAACTGGAGCGCCGACGCATTTTAGTTGTTGCTACGTAATATACAACGACGTCGAGAGACCTTGGGCACCGAGAGCCGTCCACTGGGTTATAGGAACAGAACCCCATCGAGCTGATATACCCGTACCGGCGTCTATCTCTCTCGCTCGCACCGCATTATCTTCTTGCGCCTTTGTTTTTGCGCGCCGAGAGAACGCTTTGACGCTGCTATACTTCTGTTCTGCTGCCGCCGATGCTGATGCCGCAGCAGCTCAGGCGTCTATTTAACAATTAAAACGCCTCTACGAGCCTCGAGGGTCGACTTCACGGATCACTTCGACGACGCTTCGAGGATTCGTCCGAATAACATGAAAATATGTAATTATTATTGAATTTATTACATTTTTCGGTTCTTTTTTTTGTTTGCAAAATTAGTAAAATTAATTTATCGATTTATTAATGGACACAAAAATACTAAACATCGCGCGCTTTTAACAAGTTGAATGATGCATTACAACCCGACAACCGATGTGCAATTCATGGCGTCAACAAACATCGTTGCCAACAAGTTTTTTTTATAGGCGTCCTTGAAACACCATTATCGACCGATTATAATGACACCATGAATATTTGAGATTTAGCAATTCGGTTTTCTTTGCTTTGAAAATTATTTGTACACAGTAATGTTGATGAATTATTTGTTATTTAACACAACATTAGTTTAGTCATGGAAACATTTATTGCTTCACTCAATATTTGAGAAATTTTTGTCATTCAAATCGTAATTTCTTTTTTCACTGTACAAACGCTTTCGCAACTTTCGTATGATTGGTTTTGTGTACATGTTTTCTTAAAATTCAATAACGCTTGCAGATCGGAGCTTGGGCGCGCAAGGAAAAACCCGAAGTGTATCCCTGTTTATCCCTGTTTATCCCCCGTTTATCCCTTAAAAAAAAACTGCATTGCACGAAATATCAGAATGCTCAATGTTCAAAACAAAAAATGTCAGCATTGAGCAAGTGCAAGGTGTTGTACCAAATTAATCGTATGTAAATATGTCATCAAACATTTAGAAGCACTTTACAAAAAGTGTGTGAGAATTATAACCTACTTTTTACCGCCAGTTGTATTACTTTATGTTATACTTTCGCCGCGTTTTTCCGCACTCTTCGTTGCAATAGTGGATTGACGGAAATCAATCGTTTACTCGTGGTTTTAAAGAGCCGCTATTTATACAAAGAATCTCTTGAATACTACAATCTCGGATTGATTATGTAATGTGCTATTTCAAAATTAGCCTATTAAGGAATGTTGATTTTTTTCTTCTAATTTTTATTTCTCCAGTAATTCAGATGTTACATATTTCATTGAATCACAAAAAAAGATTTATTTTTTACTTGTAAATCATTTAAATAATTATTAGATTATTGAAGAAATTGAAGTTTATCTGGTAATAACAATACATCAGCTTTTGTTTACATATCTTTTCAATACATGTACCTATACAAATCGCCTTTGGTATAACTAATCAAACTTTGCTTATGTTTCTTGTATTTTACATTTTGATGACAATTATCTCTCAACTTAAGGGTATATAATACATGCTTGTCGAGACTTTGTATTTACAGATATATGGAATACATTTACAGGATTATTGCAATTTATAAACTTACAGTTTGCTTGCATAGTATCGACCGATTTTGATACGATTAATCGTATGAATTAAAGTTTTAACTATCGCTTACTTTTTTAACATTGATTATATTATACGCGCTATTAATTTTTTTCGAAATTACGCTTGGTAAAGCGTTATCCATTCGAGAATTGAACATAATTTTTTTTTCTCTTCTCGTTTATTGCAGGGTCCACTTATCGCGCGTAGAGTCGAACAGCGAGATTGAGTCCGACGCAGAGACCAAACATGCTGTCGTCTTACAGCAGCACCAACAACAGCAGCAGCAGCAATCGTCGCAGCTGCCAGCGGTGCAGCCGCTACCCGACTTGGTGGAAATGGAGGTGATGCTACCGACGCACGCACAAACGATCGAGATATCGGACGTCTCGGCGGACGTACCATTAGTGGTGGCTCAAGCGACCAAAAAAAGCAAATCCACAGCCAATGGAAAACACATCTACAAAGGTCGATGGAACAAAGACGAGGTGCGTTTCGACTACTCGTTCGCGAGTTGTACTCGTTCCTCTTCCATGCGCTATGAAGCCTCTAATCGCTCATGTAGTTTATCGCAAAGTCGGACAAAGATTACGTACGTCAGAAATGTGGATACCAAAAAAAAAAAAGAAAAAAAGATGGCCCTGTAAAGAATCACACTTGGAGCGTGCTCGAAAGAGCTACACGTTGCGCGAGCAAAAATCGAAAACGTAAAAGAAAAGTGAAATTTGGTAAAGCACGTGTTTGCCATTAATTTTTCTAATTCAAATCAATAGTACAGCGTCTCTACTTTTACTTTTATTTCACGCTTGCTTAATATTTCGATGTAATGATTTTATGTACGCACGAACGAAGCCAGCAGGCATCAGGGGAGTGTTTGAGTTAGTCATGTCGTAGTGCTGTGTATGTATATTTTGCACATACGCACACAGACACGCACACGCGCGTCACAAATACAGTACACATATATATATAAAGGCACGCCGTAGATCAGGCATATAAAGGGTCGTGCGGCAACCGAGCGGGTGAAAGAGGGTAAGTTTTGCGGCATATGCGTATAAGGTTGGCCGTGCAAGTATACATACACACGAGTGAAAGTACGTCTGTGTGTGTGTGTGTATGTGCGCGCATATGTATTAACGCGTAGCTATCCGACCAATACACGAGCAGGCAGACGCGCACACACGCACATGGATACAGACTACGCAGCGCGCATAAGCATACATAACATATACACATGTATGGTTTCCCATGGGAAATGCACGCTCGCAGCGATCACACGTTCTTTCCTATATTATGCTTAGAGTATCTGCGCGGAAGTATATATATGCCTAGACTCTGCAAGGGATGACGATGCGCATTCTCATTTATATATAATAATACATATATACTCTACGTCCCGAGTGTTTAGCATTAGAATTCGGTGAAGCTCGATGACGATTTCCTGATTTCGTATGCGAGATAAGATAAGAGGCGGGGGGCGCCCCCTCGCCATATTCGCAAGGCCTACGATCGAGCGATTCTTTCTTTTTTTAACTCTCGTTCGCATTTTTTGCGGTTTTTTTGTCGAGCAGGATGCTTTGCTCAAGGAGCTAGTGACCGACGCCCTGGATGCGAATATGCAACCGAGATGGGAAATGATCGCGGAACACTTCAGAAATCGAAGCGACGTTCAGTGTCAGCAGAGATGGGCCAAGGTTGTCAACCCTGCTCTCGTCAAAGGTCCTTGGACCAAAGAGGTAAGTCCTGATCGCACGTGCGATTCATAACTTTTTTCAATTATTCGATTCTCGATTTGAAAAATATTTTTGTTTAAATCTTTAAATTTGTATAAAACCAAACAGACGCACCCTATGATATCGAAAGAAACATTTGCGAACACGTCACAACTTGTTCGTGCTTTGTACGTACTTTCTACACGGACAATCATCCCTAGCAATTCGAACCCCTCTCGGATTCAGTCATCGTCCCGACCGTTTTTTGTGAACTGATTACAAAGTGAATTCGAATGAACGGCGTCTGATCTCGAGGACAGTCTGAAAAAATATCTACTTTGATCCGCGCACGATCGATCCCACGAAATAGTTTTCATTTTGAAACTAGTCAAACTCGCAATTTTATTCCATCTCTACATAATTACAGTAAAAAAAAAAAAAAAACCACCAAAGACATGAAAAAAAAGAAAAAATGATTGCGTCAGATTTGCTTTCCTGACCGTCACACGTGTGGGGTTGCTACTCGTGGAAGTAAAGAGAGCAGGTGGTAGTTGAACCATACCATTTCAAGGGGGAGACCTAGGGTAGAGACCGTACAGGATGTTGCGCTCGCTATATAAATTATAGTTCGTACTTCTCTACGCCGAGCGCAGGAATAAGTGAAGAATGTTTTAATTTACTACGAAATTTGAAATATTCCCTATCGTCGAGCGATGCACGCAACTATCGACATTTTCGCTCAACTTATTCGCGCTTTGATGGCTTCCGTTTCGTGGGATTTCCGATTCAACTTATCGTCGTCGCCTGTGATGAATGACTTTTTTGAAATAATCTACGAAATTAAGATCTCGTACACAGAGCAGTGTAGCAAACCTTAAAGTCTGAAAATTACAGCGACACGTGTAGAAGCTATACTATCATAAATTGAACTTTATCGATTAAACAAACGAATTTAACGCGATTGTTAAGCGCGAATCACTTACCCGATGCATATCGCAGTTTTGGTATACGCAATGAGCTTGCACCGCGTAAAAGTACTCGAGACACATGTCAGAAGCTTACTCTTACACGAGGACATCTCTCTTTCTCCGCCTCGAGTGCACGTGCGCACACATCGATCCGAGGGGCTTGACCCTTCGAGCAACTCTGCAAATTTTTTTGTTTTTTCGTTCAAACCCCCTAGTAAAATACACCGGTGCGTATAAAAATCTTTTCAAAAAGTTCGCGAAATCCCAACGCATGTACAGAACCACTGCGCTGCAACAAATATATCATACGTATCTAAACATTGAATACCCACTATAGTTTTACATTCCTACAGTATGACGGCACTGTATAAGCGTTTCTCATCCCCACTCGTGTCACGCAGTTTTTTTTTATACTTAAAACAGGCCTCTATATACGTTGTCCACCTGGCACGAGGTACTCGATGCTACTTTGCTTCTTCCGCAAGTGTTACCCAAAATTAGTATGTCACGTTTCTGGTGCGTTCCTGAGAATATTTTCCCCGCGTTTTTTTTTTATTGCTGACTGATGCACTTACCCGTATACAAAACCGAGTATTGAATTATAAGTTTTATTTTACTGTAGAATCCACGCGGTAAATTATTTTTCTCATGATGTACTGACCATGAAACCTTCGAACTAACCAAAATAGGATATGAACGAAACATAAGAAGGACTTATTTGACCACCAAGTATGGCGGAAGTCGCTTCAATTTTTATTGAAGGTTTCACCTTATTACGATCGGTGTTACTTGTATTTGAAAATTACGATTATTGTTTCTTAAAATTATAATAATTGACATTAATTTCATTGATCAATAAGCAAAACAATGGCATTTAAAAATCATTTCATTCGTGAATCGTTGATCTTTGAAAAAGAAAATTTGCTTTCCCAATAAAATCGTTCTGTCAAGTTTTAGCAGCGTTGTATCTAAAGAAAGAATATTTTTTTAAAGATTCACAGTGCAGCGCGCGAGGTGCATCAAGTTAAAAAATGTGTGGTACCCTTTAAGGCAAAACAAACACCAAGAATAAAACCGGTTTTGATTTCTTAGAATTAGGTTACCTCTTTCGAATATGAATACATAAAACTTACACTTGGAATCATCTTGTCTCCTGGTACGTTCTACATCGCTATGTAGTATATACATCATCTCATTTGCACCTTTTGACCCAACTGTACATCACATGTTTCGTATCATTTTTTACTGTGCCGCATCGACCGAATAAATTAAAAATGCTTTTTTGAATTGTGCCTATCTGGTGTGGGGACGATTAAGGGAACGGTTGTCTATGACTGTGCTGCGTGTATGTTCTCAGTTGTACATGTTTCAATCGAACGAACCAAATAATATATTAAATATATTTTTTTAATTTTGACTGAATCAAAGAATACAATTATCACTTTATAGGTTTGCACTTCTAACATAATAATGTTTATAGGAGGATCAAAAAGTTGTGGACCTGGTGCAACGCTACGGAGCGAAAAAATGGACACTCATAGCGCGTCACTTGAAAGGCCGGATTGGCAAACAATGCCGAGAGCGCTGGCACAATCACTTGAATCCTATTATCAAAAAGACTGCTTGGACGGAGGAAGAAGACCATATAATCTTCGTTGCTCACAAGCGCGTTGGTAACCAGTGGGCTAAAATAGCAAAACTTTTACCCGGGCGAACGGATAATGCCATCAAAAATCACTGGAACAGTACGATGCGAAGAAAATACGAAGCCGACGATGGCAAAAAGAGTTCTCGAGGTAATATATTTATTTTTACTTGATATTAAAATCATTTTTCTCGCTTACACTGAATTGGACGATTTTCTCCCGTAGGTCGAGGTAAAAAACGAACTAGCACAGCGCCTGCCAGCACCAGCACGAACTTGACAGGAGTGGCAGATAGATTGATGAAAATGGAGGTTGAAACACAAAATGAGACGAATTCGAGTGCACCTACTGAACATGAAACAATGGGTGAATGGTCACCGCAATGGGGTTTTGTGGACCCACAGCAACAAAGCCAACAACAAACATCTCAAAGTCAGCTTGAACTAACGTATTCCGATCGTCAAATAATCCACCAACAAGCATACCAGGAAGGTTTACAAATAAATCGCTCTCCGATATCAACTCAACATCAGTTGACTATATCGCCGTTTTCAAAGCTGTACGGTTACTTTCGTTCTATTTTTTTCCGACATGATTACTTGAGTTAATGGTTTACTTTTTTACAGATACTACGATGGTTTAGAAGTAGCTCCTAATTCGAGGTCAAACGAAATTAACCTCGTACCTATGCCTGACTTTGAAGATGCGGATACATCGACCATGGAGCGAGAAAAAAGTAGTACTCCATCGATTTTGCGCAAGCGAGCTCACAAAAATCTTGAGAATCAAGATTATTTAATGACATCGTATCCAGACATCGAATCCGCGCCTGGTGGTTTCCTAGGCAATCCTTCAACTCCAATCAAGCAGTTGCCTTTTAGCCCGTCACAATTTCTGAACAGCCTGTCTTCAGATATGTCATCTTGGCCTAGAGCAAGCACGCCTAAAACCAAGCAAGAGAGTCCAGCATCATTGACGACACCTCAACCATCGATCTTGCGTCGTGGCACTATTGCAGAAAGCACAGACCGAGTCACCCCCAGAACTCCTACTCCATTCAAAAATGCTCTAGCTGAATTGGAGCGTCGAAGTCCAATTGCCAAAATCAATCAGACCAATACACCTAACAGGCTGGAAGCTCTTTCCGAAATCATCAAGCAAGAAGCAGATCGTGAAAGTCTTGCCGGTACGAGCAATGACAGCCTGCTTCAAGATTCGGGTTATGGTACAGGTCGTCGGCGTGGAAAAGAAAACAGTGCACCAGGGGGAAGAAAAGCTCGCAAAGCACTTTGCCAAGCTTGGCAAGATAGCTCCGAAATGAGCTTTGCCGTCGAAACTCCAGTGAGTGATAAAAAGATTCTTAAATCGTTGATTGATTTAAGATTGAATCATCGATACTTTTTACATCATTGAAGTTGGATGATAAATTCAATTTCTATTTCAGAGCAAAAGCATAGACTCTTCAGTTCTGTTTTCTCCATCTGGTCTGGCATTGGATGACAGTTTTCTCACGGCTGGTCCAAGTCCACTAAAGGTACATATTGATGAACCTCTTTGCGATTTGTTAAATCCTGAACAACCTGCCATGTCCTGGACATATACCCGCAATTCTCGCCTTTAGACACGCTAGCCGGCCTTTTTTCACACTTTATTTCTTTCTTTTCTTTTGTTTCTAACTAATTTCTGTTTTTAATTCCATTATCACAACATACAACATTTGCACGTTTTTGTGTTAGCTACATGTGTAGTATTTTTTATTTGTTATTTCAGACCTAATAGATTCATTTGTTTATGCAGTGACGATGAAAGTTCCCAAAAAGACTTAAAACCATTTTTTTAAACTTAAATCTCAAAAAAGTACTTCGAAAGAATGTGAAAATATATTTTATACGCATATTAATAAATATATATGAGGGGAACACTTGTTTACCAAGAAGCATGGAACCTTGTTACTAAGCTTCTTTTAGTTTGCTTGAACCTGTATAAGAAACACTTCGTTGCTATGACCCTTTCATACGGCCATTAAACGAAATTTAAAGAATCTCTACGAGTTTTGATACTGATTTGAAGACTTTTTGGTTTCTGAATTTCAAAAACGACTTTCTTATCTAACGCATGCTAGTGGTTCTATAAAAGGGTCGTAGCTATAGGTTTTTCATTTTTAGGTTCAAGCAAACTAAAAAAGTTTAGGAGAGAGATTCCATGTAATTTGGTAAAAATGAATTCCACCCTAATATATATTAATATATATTGTATTTGTACATATTGTATATAATATGAATATATCTTGCTTAACATTTTAAAGCACAACTTTTTAAGTTGCAGACGAGATATAAGCAAATAAGATATGACTTACCTTGGATTTATTATTTGTAAAAATTTTGGTTATTTTACCCTATACCTATGAAATTTTTAATAGTTATTAACATTACAGCATATAACCATATTAAATTTTCAAAGTACAAGTTAGCTTTAAGCTTCTAGCACTAACAATTACGTAATCAAAACTCGATGCATTTATTTCATCGTATTTTACTAAATTTAATAAAATTGCTTGCAGTAATGTCAAGAGTAAAAACATTTTTTAGGAATCAATTAATTGAATCGTCATGAATTAATTTTTCTAAGTGGAATTTTTTTGTCATAAAAATTATTTTAAATCTTGCTTCTTTTTGAGTCGTAATTTTTAAACAAAAATGTTTTACTTTTATGTTGAATGAATTTTTATAAATATATATAAATATCTATTTATTAACGTTATCTTTATTAATGTTGTCTTTTTTTTAATTAATTTTGAGTTTGTAATAAATTTTTAGTCATCATGATTCATGTAAAAAGCATGCCTTATACTGAAACACATCGGTTTCTTGTAAATAGGCCTGGTCTAGCGTACCAAAGCAATTCCCGACCACAGAATCCTTTTTCCTTGCTTTTTTGTAACAAGCAATTCCTTATATCTGGCCCTTCAAATTTAAATATGATACGTTGTTTATTAAAATAAATTCAAAAATCAATTGAATGCTCAGTCCCAAAGATAATAACATAAAATGATGCCTTAAGGATGCAAGTGTAATTTATGCGAATACACGTTGTAATCAAATATATAAAATATATAGAGGCCTAGTCACTCCGATTTTTTATCAAAATTATTCAAAATAAAACGATAGAGAATTAATAAAATAAGGAAGGTGAAAAATAAGGAAAAATAATTTTCATTACTTTGTCTTATTTCTCCCAGACTTATAATTATTGTTATTCTATCGTGATTGTTAGAAAGTAATTAAAGTATACTAAGATTTTCTAATAATATGGGAACCATGTTGAGGAAATGACTCGATCAACATAAAATAATAAAGCGATTATTAATGATCGCGTTTGAGTAGCTTAGTCATTTTCTTATTAATAAATTTTAAGGAGAGAATAAGATTGAGAACCAATTTCTAAGAAAAATCTCTATTTTCTGTACGAACACATTTTCTTTACTGCATTTTTCCGAACTATGAACTGCCGGCTGTAGCTAGTGTGTCAATTCCTCTTTCCAGACTCCTCACGACTCTGCACCTATGCAACGGAGGCCTAATGCGAAGAGAGCCATTTCATTTGATACTTTCGATAGTCCAAATAGTACAAGTGCAGCGCCATCAAAAATTCCGAAGGTGAGCATTGATGATTATTTTTATCCGATTTTTGTATTTTTTAATAGAAATTTCTCATTATAATGTTCACTATATATTTATCAAATAAATTTTAATAATTTTTTAAATCATTTTAGATGAACTTTGAAGTGCAATGGGTTGCTGTAGCTTGTGGACGAACTCAAGACCAGCTAGATATGACCCAGGCAGCACGGAATTTCCTCAACCTACACGGTTACACGCCTCTACGTCCGCGGTCTCTTAATTTCTAAAATTTCTGAAAGACTGTTATGACGTTGTCAGTCTGTTTCAATGTATAAGTAGTATAGAATCAGATAGTACAAAGATTGTACTAAAAATTTTCTATCGTAAAATCGAAAATAGTTTATTAGTTATGTATATGTAGAATGTTAAACTGATACATATACAATATATATGTATGGGGTTTTGATACTCACGAGCTCATCGTGATTTTCAGTGCAAATTGTAATATGAACCTAAAATAAGTGTGTTTAAAGCGTATTTTTACACATTTTTATCTAAAAAAAAGTTTTAAGACATTTTTTTGTAAGAAAAAATGCAGTTTGTAGTGGTGTTTCTTGCAGTAAACAATGTATTGTATACTTGAAATATCCATTTACAAGTATATGAATTGTCAAATTCACCAATTAGATTCTATCAAACTTTTTATATCAATGTTTTTAGATGAATTTTCACTTTATACTGTAGTTTTATTCTTTCCTGCCTCTCTTTTTCTTAGTGTATACAGCTTTTTCAGGAAAATAATTTTTATAATTTTGATAATAGAGGAGATAGCATTACGAAAATATATTATATTTACACTTTTTTCATTTTTAGCATCAAATTTTATGAATTTTAATAGTACTTCGTCTATTTGATGTAACAATATATGAAAATTTGTTGTGACCATTATGTACAAATCAATAATAATTGGTTCATGTTAATGCAATCAACCAATAAAGTGTCATTAATCACCGAACTTTTATCGATGTTATTGTTTTATTTGAACATTATTGTCAATCTAACTATTGAATCACAGAGCTTAAAATAATTAAAATAACAATTCGCTATCGACAAATTAAAGAACCCATTTTTTAAATAATCTTATTATTTATTCGTGTGTAAATAGTTGTTTCAAGCTGCAACTGTTAGTCCGGGCGCTGGTGACATTTGAGTGAACTTGCGAGATCCCCTCGGCGAGTTGACGGATTTCTATGTTTTTTGGGTCGCTGAAACCGAATTTGAAGGTCGCCAGGCCGAATTCCTGGTAAATTTTTTGTTATAAACAAATTAATTGTTTAAACAGCCATATCTTGAAAAATATTGAAGATAGATCAAAACAATTTGTTTTTATTTCATTCGTCTTTAGAAAACAAAGAAATTCCATTAAATTAATTGAAAATCCGTCCACTAGAAAAAAGTGGACGGATTGGACGGACGGAAAAGTGGGCGTCTACAGATTGCATTATAAACAATTTTACCTACATAAAAATTATGTTACATCATTCTGTAGGTTATTACCTTTAAAATGAGACGTCCAGGAGCTCGATCGCACTAATACGAGCAAAGTTACAGAGGTTGAAAGGTGAAAAAAGACGTATTTTACACTAATTATTGCATAACTTTTTTTCTAGTGGACGGATTTTCAATTAATTTAATGGAATTTCTTTGTTTTTTAAAGACGAATGAAATAAAAACAAATTGTTTTGATCTATCTTCAATATTTTTCAAGATATGGCTGTTTAAACAATTAATTTGTTTATAACAAAAAATTTACCAGGAATTCGGCCTGGCGACCTTCAAATTCGGTTTCAGCGACCCAAAAAACATAGAAATCCGTCAACTCGCCGAGGGGATCTCGCAAGTTCACTCAAATGTCACCAGCGCCCGGACTATGTAGTTTGACAGAAATATAAAATTTTTGTAAAAACGAAGTTAGTGATGGTTGGTCATTTGAAAGTTGAAAAATGAAGATGACTGATTACCAGATAAAAAGTTTTGAAAAGGTAAACATTAAAAAGTATAATTGATTTTTATTTTTTTATCATATTCAACCTTTCAAGATTTAAAATGAAACCTCATATCATAATTTTCTAAAAGTCAAGTATAAGAAAATAACAAGAAAAGTTTCTAATTTTGAAAAAAATATACGTAAACATCAATTCACATTGTTTTAATCTTTACTTTTCCGTTTTCGTATGAAAAACAACTGGTTCAGCTTTCCAACAAATTTTAATTTGCACTTCTTTGAAAATATTTTCATTTTGAATGTGTATTTTTACCGCGACGAGGCGCACATGTAGTCCGGAGACTACTTGCGAGTTGCGACTTGCGAGATTAAAAGTTGAACGTAACCTTCTTTCATCGCGTGTTAACGGCGGTGTGTTATTCCAAAGTTGATTAGTGTATAAACAAGTTCACAATCATGAAATTGAACGTCTCTTACCCTGCCACAGGGTGTCAAAAGTTAATAGAAGTTGACGATGAACATAAACTTCGCGTTTTCTACGAGAAGCGCATGGGCATGGAAGTGCCTGCTGATTCCCTTGGAGACGAGTGGAAGGGTTATGTCGTACGCATAGCCGGTGGAAATGATAAGCAAGGATTTCCCATGAAGCAAGGTATCCTGACCAATGGCCGAGTTCGTCTGTTGTTATCCAAAGGACATTCTTGCTATAGACCTCGTCGTGACGGTGAGAGGAAAAGAAAATCTGTCAGAGGTTGTATCGTTGACTCCAATTTGAGCGTGTTGGCTTTGGTCATTGTAAAGAAGGGAGAGAAAGAACTGCCAGGACTTACTGACAACAACATCCCTCGTCGCTTGGGACCAAAAAGGGCCTCCAAAATCCGTAAGCTGTTCAACCTCACCAAGCAAGATGATGTGAGACGCTTTGTTGTAAAGCGTCCTGTCCAGAAGGAAGGCAAAAAAGAAAAGTTGAAGGCACCAAAAATCCAGCGACTCATTACACCAGTTACCTTGCAGAGAAAAAGACATAGGGTTGCTTTGAAGAAGAGACGTTGCTTGGCTCGTAAAGAGCAAGCAGCTGAATATGCCAAACTCTTGGCTCAGAGGCACAAGGAAGCAAAAGCCAAGCGCCAAGAAGAGCAAAAGAGAAGACGCAGTGCTTCCATGCGCGACTCCAAATCTTCCAATCCAGTCAGCAAGTAAGAAGTAAGAAGAATGAGCTCAGCTGTTCTGAATTAATCAGAAAGTTCATTTCTGTACTTATGGTTAACTAATTTTGTTATAAATCATAATTATAAGAAACAAACTATTATTCAAAGATTCTTCAAAGAAAATTGAATAAAGTGTTATAAATTATACATGTTGTGGTTTTTATTTCTTCATTTATTTATTCATTTTATTATACTACGATATGATTATCCCATTCTTGTTTCATTAATTTTATTCTAAATGATCATAATTGGAAATAGATTAACAAACTTGATAAGCTTTAGTTTTTGTTCTATTATGTATTTCTGTATCTACTTGAACAGTTTCATAATTAAAACAGTTTGCTTATTATTTGATTTAGTTCAAGCTGTCAGAAATTTGAAAAATCTTAATAGAGTGCTTCAAGGAAGTGGTTTTTCATGGGAACATTAGTGTTAATTAAATGGAGAACAAATTGAAATAAGTTACTGTAAGTTGAATATAATGAATGAGATATTTTTCCAAATGCGCATATTTTCAAATTTCAAACTTTTTTCTATTGATGCAGAAAGGATATCTTCTCTCAAGCGTGGTGTTAATTTCGAATGATTTTATTCTTCTAGTTATCTCATTACAGAGTTACTCGTAATATTAAAGTCATGCCGATGACATTTTGCACCAAAAATAAATACCTGTCCCATGCAAAAGTTTTATAAAAATAAATAATTAACATTTAATATATGACTAATAATATTGTGAGGTTTATATTGAATATTTACACAATGAAGGTATAGATGTAGCTTAAAATAAATTTTCTAAGGGAATTTTGAAAAGTCTAGAAAAGTGTCAAATAATTGGGATTATATATACGTTATTCAGCATGAGAAGTATTTGATATTTGTTCACACTTAATTTATCTTAAGAATCATGTAAGTGCTTTCCTAATTTGTTTGAAATAACGAACTTCATAAGAGCATCTCGTTTCTTAGATATCACCGTGTTATAAATAGCTGGATTATCACGTGGATTGACTTGAATTCCCCGTGAATTTTCAAGATGACTTATACGTGAAAATCGAAATGAAAGTTCACGTAAAATTCAATCTAAAAATTCGAGTAGAAATCGACTCATAAAACTAAATTTTTACTAGCTTTTGGGTCGATTTCTATGTAGATGTTCAAAAAAATTTTACCAAACTTTCAGGTAGATTTCCGAAAACTAGAATTTTTCGTGAAAATCCACTTATCCATATGTAATACCAGGGCGACTCCAGGTCTATGTTCACGTAGAGATCTAGCTATTTATTTTAAACAGGTGTAATAATGAATTAATTAATTTGATCCACCAGAGGCGAATGACGTCATAATGTACCTTTGCAACCTGATATCTATTTGAGTAAGTCGTAACTGAAAGTAGAGAGCATGATTTTTAAATGGATTTAGGTACCATCAAATAAACCGAAGACGCTTTTGCGAAAAAATAACAACCCCTTGCAAATGCCACTTAAATTTGATTCGCAAAATTCAGAAATGATTGCACTGAATGCTTTAGTTCCTATATAGTAAAATTTTGGCCATAAAGGTCCTCTTATTTGTATCTAACAGTTCCATTCCTCAAACTAGAATTGAAACTTCTAATCCTGACGCCAAAGCGTTTTGTATGAAACACATCTGTAGATAATCAGTAATAAAAATGACTCGGCTCAAGCTGTCAAAAATGTATACAACGTTAAAAACGTGTTTTGAAAATATTTGAAGGATGCTATAATCACGTGGGAGAAGATATTCCAATAAGTTACAATAAGTTTAATTTGTAAGAAATGTTTTCAAGTTTTCATTGGTTCGATTAAAATTACAAATCTCAAGCGATTGATTCGATTTCAATTTGAAGCTTGATGTCTTATTATACAGCTTATTCAGTCATAAGCTTTTACGCAGGTATATTATATATGTAAACAACGTAACGCCTGTGCGCGCGCAACCATCTGATCCGCTCGTCGTACTTTCATTCTCAAGTTTTGCAGTGTGTACTGTGTATGTGTACATTGCAAAGAGCAGACTTTGCTGGTCAAATGACACCTTCTCTGCACTCGTATGTGTTGCTTACGTCGCTTCAATAACATTAAAAATCGCAACTGGATGAGCCTCGTCTCGTTTCGGTGTAAAATAATTAATACTGCTAGCATTGAGGCCTCGCGTCATCGTGATTTGTGCTTATTGGAGCTTTCCGATGTGGGAGCATCGCGTCGTCGATGATTAGCAGTCAAATCTAATGCGGACAGCGAGAACTGTTTCATCGAGCTGATTGATACACGAAATGTTGAAAGATTTTTGGCGGCCAGGCTCTAGCCGCCTCAGTCGTCTGAATGTGTCGTCGTTATCGGATCTCATCAACCCTCTCTTCTGCGGATCCATTTGCACTACCCCGGCCAAAGTGCGCAGCGGCGTCCAGCTCTGGAAAGCCACTATCCCGATTGTCATGATCAATGGCCCTGTTTCAGCAAGTTTATACGAATAAAGTGCTGCTCGACGACACCCAACTTCTCACATGTTGCATTGAAAACGCACGTCCTATCGACGGCCATACGGTCAGTTGATTCAATAAATTTCATATCCTGTGCTGTATACATTCTCATGGCACAGCACTCATTTATCAGTTAGCTTTTATTTATGCCTTTCTCATTGGTCAATTATCTTGTATTTTATAGGAGTACGTTATTAAAGTACAAAGAGGACCATTGCCTGACAATTCTTGGCGAGTCAATAGACGATACAATGATTTCATTCAACTCCATGCTGTGCTTTCTACCTCAGGCCTCCAATTGCCACTGCCTCCAAAAAAAATTATTGGTAATATGGATCCAGAATTCATAGTTCAAAGACAAGCAGCCTTACAGGTTCATAATGTTTAATATTTTATTCATGTATTAAACATTAATGTATCTAAAGATCTTCATTTTAATACTTTGCAGAACTATTTAAACATTGTACTCATGAATCCAATTTTAGCATCTTCACTGTATATGAAAAAATTTTTAGATCCTGAAAATTACATAGCTCCTCTTCATGGTAATTATTAATATTAGATTCGATAATTGATTTATTTATTTAATTCTTTTATCTTATGCAACAGAAATTGCTCTGCAGCAAGTGTCACTGGCTTTAAGAAGCGATGCAAATTTTGAAGTCGGAAAAGCTATTCCTGATATGGGATGGCGGCTTCGAAAACATTACTATACAGTCAAAAATAAACAAAATCTCAAGCAAGAATTACTGCTTGCATGGGTAGAGTTTGGACCAGATAAATTTCTTCAAGATAAAGATATGATAGGTGTTTTTAAAAGTCTTGGAAATTTAAAACATCATTATATAGAGCCTATTATACATCTTCATGCAACTGAAAATGGTGCTTTGAGCATTCGCAATTTTTATCCAGATGGAACATTAAGAGATATTTTATGTAACACAAAACCGAAACAGGCTTTTATAAAAAAATATGGGAATCCAAAACAATCAAAGTCATTAACTACATCTGAAATATCTACTTATGCATATCAAGTATGTATGTCCATGTCACTTGCTTATTATTTTATGGATTATTAAAAAATATTTCATTTTTTCAAATTCACATTAACATCTTTTGTTCATACATTTATTGAAAAAAACAAATTATTATTTTTTTGCTTGTAACTTAAACTTTAATCAAAAGATTCTATTTGTAATGCAAATGAAATATGCACTGATTTCAGGTATTAGAAGCTCTTCAGTTTTTGCATGAAAAAGGTTTACCATATGGTCACTTACATACTGGAAATATTGTGTTGACTCCTAATGGCATAAAATTATTAGATATAGAAAATGGACTTTTGGGCTTGCCAGCATTTTATCGACCTTACGTGGTACAGAGAAGAAAATTATATGCTGCAGTAAGAGTTGACTCTTTGAACTTTTATGTAATGTTTAATTGATTAAATTTTAACTAATTTATTTTAGCCTCAAGTTGATATATATGCTTTTGGGCATGTACTTTATGAAATGGCATTTGGACAACCTCTACTTGAAGCTACATTTGAGAGTTTAAATTTACCTCATTGTGATGCAAAACTGAAAAATGTTTTGGAAATCATCTTATCTCATGAAGCTTTGAAACACGATCTCCCTACTGCTGCTCAGTTAATGAAACATCCATTTTTTGAAAGTGCTCAACAAAATGCTAGTGCAATTGAAAAACCATATTTTAAACTCAATAGTCATTTGAAAGATGCGCTTTTGGAAGCCATAAATAAAACTGAAGCTAGACTTAAAGATGAACAGAAAGTAGCTAGACACCAAAAAAGACTCATCAGAGTTCAAGAAATGATGAGTTCTGATGAAGAAATGAAAAAAAGGCGGCATAAATTGGTAAGGAAATTTCAAATAAAATAAACAAAAAAATAAGATGAAAAATTGATGTAAAAAATTTTCATAGAAAAAAGAACAAAAATTAGCTCAAGAGCGTTTGTCAAACCAATTTTGTAAAAATGATACTAGAAATACTAATGGAAAAAGTTCAGAAAGATCTGACAGTCCTACTAGCACATCAACTGCAACTAGCATTGGAACTTTAACACCACCATCACATAGTAAGTGTAGTTTAACACAAATGATTATTCATAATTAACTTTGACTATTCAATATTTAATCTCAATTGAATTTTAATTATAATTTAACAAAAGCTGGACATAGGAGTTGAAGCAAATTTGAATCTAATCCATGGTATCACATAATTTATTGTCAGTTGTTTAGTTATATCATTTGTCAATTTTTTGACTTTACGAAATTCTATTATTTTCAGTAGAAAAAATTCAAACTAATTCTTTATAATTTTATAACTTAGTTATCATTTACACCTTTATTTTTTCGCTTTAATACTCTTTGTATAGTTAGCTGATCCCATTCAATTTCCACAATTTTTTTAATGCTTTAAAAAATAATTCAAGGTGCACCAGAGATGATACATCGTTCCAGAGAGGTAAAAGAAGAGTTCAAGCCTCCGCCACCTCCGATGCCAGCAATGCATGCTGAAACTACACCAAATACACAAAACACAAATGATCGCGCTTCGTTACTAAGAAGTATTAGTTCGTTTAACAAAACAAATTTACGAAAAGTTTCTAGGGACAATTGTTAATATTGTGTAATAATATGTTCAAAAATATTATATTATCTTTATATAAATTAATAAATATATAGTTCAACCTTGAACATTCCATTTTTCGTTGTGAACGATATATATATAATGTACGAAAAATATGTTCATGCTGAGTTGTTATAATTTTGAAATTAAGATTTTTATTAGAAATATTTAGAGAAGAAAGATGTTATCCAAGTGGAAAATTCATCACTGTGCTGTGACTTTCGACTAAACATAATTTTTGTGAAAGTAGAGCATATATAAATATGAATGCATGGTATCATGTATATTTATCAGTGAATGACTAGCAAGCGTAAATCAAATAATTAAAAACGATTCATTACTTAACGCGTTGTTTTGTAGTCCAAAAGTATGTCACTTTTCGCAAATATTTGTCCGCGAAATTTCTTAACGAACAATTTAAATATAAATCAATATGCTAGGAGTACATAATATTTCTCGTGATGTTACATTATTTTCGTACAAATTAATTTCCCTTGAAAAAGTATACCGAGAAAGAGATTGTGCGTTTCATGCTCAATTGCAAGCATAGTAGCAGTTATGTAATGGCTTTGGAAAGTAGTGAAGGAAATAGACATAGAAACATAAATAAGCACTTTCCATAATCATTGCATAACTCAAGTATTTCATCATATGCACTAAGTCGTCTTTTCGTACCCCAAAAGTGATTCTCGCGTCACGATCAAAAGTCTATGAATTAATTTGTAATTTTACCCCGTAGACACGCGATATACATTAATTGCCGAAAGTATAACAGTTATGGCATTTTGATAATCATCATAAATGTTTCTAATATTGAATGTACATACTTAATCGAATCGAATATGTAAAAAAGCACAAGTAACATCTTCATATTCATCAATATTTGCGCATGCTACTATCATACTCAATAGACTCATGTAGAATTAAAAAAATTCAATATATTAATTGAAAAATGTGCAATATTATACTTCCATTGAAATAACCAATTGAGTGCATATGATTCATTCGCGAGAAAAAAACTTTATATTTTTTAAAATTTTTTGTTTGAAAACAAAAATATAACAATAAAATATTCTGAATTATTTAATTATATCAGTACAATACCCGATTAAGAATTATAAGACCGAAATGAATGACAAGTATTTAAGAATGTTTTCAAGTTAGGTAATCACTGATTTAAATATCACTCACCTAGCATGTCATCGTGAATTTTTACGTTTACTAATAATAATTTAGAATCTAACTATTGAGGCTACGAAAAATCGATAATATTTGAAAATTTTGAAATGACAATGTACATAAAATCTCAATTTATAATGTTTTTTTAATTTCATTAATTTTTTGTAGTAAATATAATTTTTAAATTGAACAAATTCACAATGATTACTTGTAAAAATATTCTATTGAAATATTGTTTTTTCATATTAACTTAATTTCATCTATGGAATCTCAATAATCATGCAGGGTATACAATTTAAAAAGAGAAATTTTGCCATTTATTGATTAATGCTGTTTGGTATTTTTTGTTTAAACAATAACTTGAGATTATTAATAAATATAAATCAAATTTGAAAGAGAATTTTATCGTCATAATTATTATCCTTGTATTCAACTATTAAAAAACAATTTTAATGGTTTTCCAAGTTCATGAGATATACTTCGTTATTGTAATTATTTTATTTTCAATAACAAAAGACAGTAGTTGTCTATACATTTTTAAACTAATTGAATAATTACAAAATGATGCAGAAATAATGATTAATTTGGTGATCATTTAAAAGGTATGTTTCTACAAACTATTACTCAAGAAAATATTTACATAGTAATTTTTTGCATTATTTACAATAATTTTAGTAAAAGTACATCAATCATGTGACAAAAATTGTCTGCAAATTTGAAAATGAATTGTTAGAATTAACTTTACAATAATTTTTTGATGTTTCATTACTTTCATAATGTGATATTGAACGAATTAATTTACTTTGCGTTGACGTGGAAATGTGGTAAAAAGAGTAAGTACTCATAATGTACTATTTTACAAATTATTGCTTATTTTATACATTAAAAATCAAATAACTATGAGGAGTTATTTTAATAACCTTTTATGATCATGCACTATCTCAAAGTCATTCAGTGTTAAAAAATCTTTACATGTTTCAGTTTGTTTACACATTTTTTGTCAATTACACAAAAGTATTTGCGTTATTATGATTGTACTTTGTGCTTTAAATTTTTTACTAAAGCTGACATTACTGTCAGCCCTTACATCTACGTCAGAGTTGCGCATGAAGTTCTTCTGTAGTAGTCTTCAATCTAAAAGAAAAAATAGATATTTTATACCAAAAATCTAGTTTGTCAATAAATTTATTAGCTATTCAATTAAACAGTGAATTTACCTGAACATTTCGTTCTGAATATGGTCGGTAATAGCTTTTCTAGCTTCTTCTTCATTGGCATTTGATTTTTTCAAATTTTCTAACATTTCACTTAAATCTATTGGTTCTCCATAATACATTGTAACTTTTTTCTTTGTTTTTATCATGTATGGTTGTTCATTTGGAAGAATTTGATCCATACCCAAATGAAGAATTGGTATAACAAGAGGTACCACTGGAGATTCAAAAATAAGTCTCCCGATGCCCCATTTATATCTGTAAAATATTAATTGTTTCATGAAATTTCTTAAAATGAAATAAATATGCTCAAGTTAATTTCAATAATATACCTCATATTCTCTTTTTGCATATTGACTTTACCCTCTGGAAAGACATGAACCCAATCTCCTCTTGCTAACTTTTCAATACAAAAATCTATGGCTTCTTGGTAAACTCCATTACCTCTAACTACAGGAACACATTTTCCAAGCATGAAAAAGTAAGAACACCAGAAGTTTGTAAAGCATATGTCATGAGCTGCCAAGGACCATCTCATTTTTTTTCGATTCAGTAAATATTTGAGATCCAAGGTACCTAATCGAGTTCAAGAAATTGGGAGGCATCAGTCACTTATTCATTTTATATTATTAGATTAAAAAATTTACGAAAAAAAGATTTACTCCATATTCCAGGATCATCAAAACAACTATGATGATTAGATACTGTTATTAAGGGAACCTCCTTTGGCCTGGATTTGAGGGCATTTATCATGATGTGTTTGTTATAAATTGTTGTTTTGTTCAGCCATTCTGTAATAGCACAGTAAATAAAAATATTAAAATTTAATCAGATTAAATTGTCAGGAGTGAAAGTAAAAAAGAATTGAATTGAAATAATAACGGAGGGACCGTTTCTCGAGTCGACGCAAATTCGGTACGAATAAAGAAACGCAATGAATGAACGGCCATGCGTTTATTAGCCAGCAAAAATGGTCTGGAGTCATGATGTAAACACATTGCATAGTAGCAAGCGAAAATAAACAAGACATTGTTTTTTTTTTTTTTTTCAAAGCACGAACGAGCGCTGAAAGAGAGGCGAGGGTCAGAGGTAAACGAATCAAAATGCAAGGTTACATCACGATGCAGAAAGAGAGAGAGAGAGAGACAGATAGAAGAGAGACGTCTGCACAAAACCATAGTGCAGCTATAACGGGGACATGAGCAGCTCTAGTTTGGCTCGATTAATTTGCTTCTTCGCAGCAGCGAGCCAGCTGCAAGCGTGCGGAGGAAAGAAGACGTCGCGGATTCAATAGTATAGACATATATACTGACCCATGACGATTTTGGAGAAGATGCCGACGAGGGCGAAGGTGAGGCTGCTCGCGACATTCCAGAGCCGGGTCGGCTGCCTGAGCTTCGGTATGATCCACTTGATGTCGTAGCTCATGTTGACGAAGGAAGAAAAAATCCGACTGGTCGTCGTCGCTGCACACAGACGGCGGCGCGTGCAGTTGGGCAAGATATCAGCAGCAGCTGCAGCAGGGATGAGCTTCGATATATATATCTATATATATAATAGTCTCGTAGAGGTGACGAAGGAGCCGCCGCGTGCACGATGTTGCAAACGTACACGCAGCCGAGCGAGGCACACGCAGCAGCAACACGCAGCACACGAGGCCTTAGCGAGGCAAAAGCTGAAGCGGCTGCAGGTGAACCGCCACTACTTCTCCAGACAGCAAGATTGGAACGTCTTCTGCTCTCATGTTACGACTCGCACGACGATTCGAGAGAGAGAGAGAGAGAGAAAGAGAGAGTCGACCGCCTGGCCAGTGGCCTGGCTGATGGCTCTGGCCTAAAGCTGCAGACTGCTGCTACTGAGCGCGCGCGCCCGAGCCTCGATGATACGTGGAGACGTATTCGTGTATGCGCATTAAATCGCAAAGCAGCAAGACTCGAGGCTCTATATAATATCGGCCTGAGCGCGCACTATTGCAGGCACAGCAGCGCACATTCGACTGTCGCTCGGGCACAAGAGAGAGAGAGAGAGAGAAAGAGAAAGAGATTATATTATGTTATGTACGTGTACTGCGCGCTGCACGCGTGTGCGTGTATGTCTAATTATGCACGGATGGACGGCAAAGTTAGTCGTACTCGTTACGTGCTCTGCTGCTCGCGCCGCGCGCAGTCAGCAGCAGTCAGCAGCAGCGGCGGCGGCTCTTGTATCGCGCGAGCCTATCCTATACATAAGTTAACATAATGCGCGCGAGTCGTCTAGAGCGCACGCCTGCACTGATTATCATGCGCTGCAGGCTACAACTGTCCGTCCGTCCGATACTCTGCAGGTGCATATATGTGGGCAATACTAGTAATGTATCAGTACAGTCCGTATACGCAGCTCTCGATCTTGCTCCGCTCTTGTAGTATTATGTGGCAAAAAAATGTTACGAGCTGCGCCGCTGACTCGGCGGAGCACACGCGAAATTATCGGCTGACGATTATTGGCTGCACTGCTGCTGCAGCCTGCACAGGCCATGCCGCGCGCTGCGGTGCACACACAGCTCTCTCGAATCGCTCGAGTATTCTATCTTGCGCACTCGCGAGCGTCGCGTACGCACAGACACTCGCACACTCACGGAGTGTGTATATAGGCACTGCGAATTTCCGTACGTAATCTCAATGCATAACGCGTCTTTTAGGTAGAGCTGCACCGAGTGAGCGAGTATGCGTGCACTTGTACTCGCCAGACGTGCGCCTCGACTGCGCCGCAGAAAGAGAGACAGCTCGAACGGCGCGGCGCGAGGGGACTCTCGAGCTGATCGCAGCTCGCTCCGATACCTACACTAGGCTTATGTTATAATCTCATTCGATTTGCCTCGAGTATTAGAGAAAGAGAGAGAGAGAGGCTACAGCGATTCGTATTAGCTTATTGGCAACCTCGATGCTTTCTCGCAGCGCGCATCCTACTTACCACATCTTACTTTGTATGGAATTGAATATTTTCGACTCGATTGTGGGTCGAGAGTCGTTGGCCCTGGCTAATAAAGCACAAACGACGAAGGGCGACCCGTATCGTGTTTTTTGTCCAAGGAATCGCGTTCGATCGTATTCAGTGACAAATCAATTCTTCGTTCAATTTTATTGCGACTGTCAATCGACGTGCTTTACACAATTAACGGTATGTATATTAGGTGCAGCTTCATCTGTCTATTCGAATGAACTTAGCCCTTACGGGCCGGCAGGGTCGCAGCACGAAATTCGCCTGGATTTTTATGTCGCTCGTGCGATCGATCGCCTGCAGCCGGAAATTGTACAGGACGCGAGCCATCAGCGACTTCAACTCCATCATGGCGAATTTTTGACCTGCGAACAAGAACGAGACGAAGGAAAAATAGATTATATCGATGACGCGAGTGCCGTGCTGGGCCGTTGCGTCGCGCGCTTCCTCACCGATGCAATTGCGCGGACCGGCGCTGAACGGCAGATACGAGAACGGATGCCGGCTTCGCACTCGTTCCGGTAAAAATCGATCCGGCTCGAATTTCTCGGGATCCGGCCAGAACTCGGAGTGTCGGTGCGTGTCGATGAAGTTTAGCAAGATTTCGGCTCCCTTGGGCACCAAGCAGTGCTCTGTGGACAAAATGTGGATTTTGTACATTGCAATTTTGACTGAAATCGTGTAAACCTAACTCAATTGTATGTCCTCCAAAACATGCCGGGAAACCGAGGGAACCGACGGAAACAGTCTGAGAGATTCTTTGATGCAGCATTCCAAGTAGGTCATATTTTGCAGATCCGACGTTTCTAAATTGCCATCTTTGAAGCTCAAGATCTCCTCTACTTCGATCCTCGCTCGATTCTGCAATTTGGACGCATCAATGAAATTTAAAAAAATAAAAAATAAAATAAAACGTACAAGAAAAGAATATTAATAGTCACCCACCTGTGCTTCTTCGTTTTCTGCGAAAAGAAGAATGGAAAAACACATGGCCATAGCCGTGGTATCGTGACCCTTAAATTAATTCATAGTTTTTTTCAACCGATTTTCTTATCTTTCGTTGCACAAAATATACAAATACCAACTTCAAAAATGAACGTTGCCACTTCTTCCTTGATACCATCGTCGTCGATCAATCCGTCTTTCTCGGCCGACAACAGAAGATCCAGCATCGCCATTCGTTTCTTTTGGTCTAGAAAAATGTTAGTTCTTTTTCAGATGTAATCCGGAAAATGAATCGACAAAAGAAATTTATATTTACATAAAGATTCGTCTTCGTTCGTATCGTTTGATTCTCGATGTCGAATTTGACGCTCGTAATATTCTCTGCGCTCTTTTACGATCTGTGGCATGCATAATAGGTAATGATTTAAATCATTAGCAATTCATATTCGCTCCGACATAATACTTTTAAGCAAATTTCGAAAACTTCAACAGTTTTTTAATGTTACAAACAAAAATGTTCATGTAAAGACCTTATGCGTGAATCCGTGCAAATTTTCTAAAACGCTCCTTATTCTGTTGTTGATTTTGGGAAAAAATGGAAGCATCCAATCGTAAATGTATGGCCTTAGCAATCTGTAATGCGATAATAATTTAATACGATATTTTGCCTAGAAAAAACTTCTAGTTTAACGTCTACCTGTAGAGAACTATTCCGCTCATTTTGTCGACGGATTTTCTGTAATTAGCCGAAATCTCTTTATCTATTTCTCCATCTAGAGCAACGCCCATTGCAGATTCTATAATTTAAAATAACATTCGAATGAAATACGATTGCGGTTTTGACGAAGCAACAAATTTAGATTACCACAAATGATGTTTAAAGTATATTTCGAACAAAAGGATAAGAGAGGAACGTCGTTTTCCTTCCCTGCAGCTCGACTCTCTTTGATAGCTTGCTTGCCTTGCTCGTTAGTTATTTCCATGTATTTTTTCAAAATATTGAAATGGAAAGCTGGTGTTAATATTTTTCTGCGCTGATGCCATTTTTGCCCTGTAAATTATTATTACAGTGTACTAGCCGCATTGAGATGAAAAAAATTCAAACATAACTACTCACCAGAACTAGTTAAAAGTCCTAATTTCAGCCATGGTTCAAGATTATTATACACGAACTTTTTATTAATACACTTTGTGCTACTTAATACTACCTATAAATGAAAATAACATTAATACAGGTCAAGTTGAATAATTATAATCCACAATGTTCTTACCTCCATGTCGTCGGGGTGATGTATGTGAATAGTTGGTCTGGTGCCAAACCAAAATCTGAACACTGGATGATAATTTTTGCACCAGCCGCGAAACAGATCGTTTATTTTTCCTGTGCAAAATTTTATCCAATGTAAATCGAGACTTTTTCAAAATAATTCAATTGTACTGAGAGCAGTATCAATTCGAATCTTCTTTTTTCGATTTGACTAATTATGCTTTTACCTAAAGGAGCGTAGAGAAGCAGTAAATTTCCCAACAATGGAACAGCTGGTGGGCCTGGTATTTGGTTCACAAGCCGACCTCGTCTGTTGTACCATGTGTAATAATGGTAAACAGCTGGCCCCAAGCAAATGATGAGTAATAATGTTAGTAAATGAATCATTATAGTAAATGTTTTTAAATTAGAGATTTTGCAGAACTTCACTAGATTAAATTTTTACATTATCTTTGCTAGAGAACGTTTTGACACTTTCTGAACTCAAGAGTCGTTGAGTTCTGAAATACTGCATCTTATTGAAACAGAGATAGCTTTGAAAGAGTACTTATGCAGGCGAAAAAAAAACGAAGTATATGCAAACCAAAACATTTATTTAGAATTTTTTTCATTATTTTTCTAGCATTCTTAATAGAAGAAGACTTTCAAAGCATTTTCCTGTAATTTGCGAAGCAAATATCGATTCAAATAGTTTTACAATAATTGCGAGATTGACTTTGCTCAATTCGTGTTATCAACAGTTAACATGAATACTTAGCTACTTCGAAATTTTACCTTTGTACTCAAAAACAAACTAAAAGCCGCTAAAAAAACAACAAAAGAGTTTTTGATAGGCAAAATTTATAGACAAATTTTTTTACATAAACTCTTTGAATATATAGATGCTCTAAAGGAACAACTCTGATCAGGCTTTGTTATATTATAGACGTCTTCTTTTAGGGGCAAAAAAATGGAAAATTTCAATGATTTTTGTTCAAGAAGCTTTTCGGTGTATAATTCTGAAATTTTTACCACGGTTTGACTATACAATTACAAACATTTTCCGATTCTTCAATCACTAATGAAAAAATGACGATTCAAAATCTCGCCGCCAAGTTTTTAACTGGCATTGAGCGCCGTCTATGCATTTGCACTCAGTCTTGATTTTGACTAACTCAGAATTCAAATTTCATTATCAAATTTTAGGAAGTGGCCATCCGCTCGTTGAAGTCGCCCCCGTCGAAGGCCAGACTCAGATGCAGCTGGGCGTGTCTCCCGTCGCCGGCACCGGCTCATTGGGATCCCGGCCGAGCTCGAGGAACCCCTCAACGCGATCGGAGAAGAACCCGCTGTAGGCCACGCGAAAGTGACTGTAGCCGTGCTCGCCGACGTAATTGCACCTGTCCGGGTACATGGGAAAGATGAAACATCGGAGCCGACGGACCAGTGTGTGATGCCGTTCAGCAGTTGCCTGCCTGCTTCGCCCAAGTCGGGCTCATCTCTGTACCCCCAACGCGCCAGCATGTCGACGAATTTGGCCGGTTTACCCTTCCGTAGATCTTCCGCGAGAAGTCAATTGATCTCGCGGGCTCGAAAAATTTTCCGCAGGTTTGGCAATCGTCTCCAATCGTCCATCAGTGGATAAAGTTTATCCAGCAGTTGGCGTCGCTCCTCTTCGATTTCCCAATTGACGCTCTCTCGTGAGTTCTTCAACTTTACCATATTGACTTCGTCGAGCTGTTGAACCTTCTAGGTGCTTAAAGTGGCAAACAAATTACGACGTTTCGACCTACTCATGGTTCAGACACACGATCAATTTTAATATATAAAATAATAATTTTCCACTTTTAACATGAAATTGACTTTGTTGCGCGATCTTCGCCTCTGTTTTGTATGCTGAGGCGTGTCGTCGCGTGTACTACTGATCTGTAGTAGATTAGTAGAAAAGTAGAAAGTGAACAAACAATACCTGGCCGAATCTTCAAAATTTCAATGCACGCACGAACACACGTATAATGTAAGGCGTGTGCCGTCTGTCCGAAAGTCAGTGGTCAATATTGCACCTCGCAGTACATAAAGGGGTTCAACAGTCGAACGATCCCGGATCGCTACCCTGTTCGCCACATCCACAAGATCGAAGAACATCGGAAGATCGACTATTTTCTCGACGATCGATTTGATCGAGGCATATCAACGGATACCTGTCAACCCGGATGACATCTGCAAGACTGCCATAACCACACCTTTCGGACTGCACGAATTTTCCTTCATGAAATTTGGGTTGAAAAACCCTGGCCAAACGTTTCTAAGAATCAAAAAATCCTTAAATAAGTCAAAAAATACGTTTAAATTATTCAGAATTTTACGAGGGCATTTTTAAATTTCGAAATTGACGTATTCTTAGCTACGGCATTTTTAATCTTGATGTTTACAAGAAAACTAAAATGGGTCGCAAGCGAGGTTCCATACAACTTTGTATACTATATTTGGCCCCGAGGGAATGAAAAACCGTAAAGTCTCGGAGTACGTGGAATTCATCAGCAGAGGCGAAGCCGAGGCAACACACACACTCATACAAACATACATACAGACATCAGTCACAAATTTTGTCTAGTTTACAAATATGTAATCGGAATTTACCTGACACAAAAATTGACCAAAGTTGATTTTGAACCTATCACAGAACTTCCTCGATGAGGAAGCAAAAGGACATGTACCATAGTATTTTGTCACCTTATCTATTTTCAATAATTATTGACTTGAGTCTTGGTCGTGAAGCCATTCGGTCATTATCACGATTTTCAATAATAATTATTGTATTAGAATGTTTTATTTTGAAATAATAATTATTTAAATCGGACCTTTGGCCAAATTCTGGTCAACGCTGCGAGGAAACGTTTCAAGTTGAAAAGACGAAAAAAAAACAAAACATCATTGTCATACAAGTAGCTAAGACTCGTGCACGAAATTGATACGGAGCGGACACGAAATTATTACATACATCAAGAGATGAATTATCATTATAGCGATGCCTCGTGCTGCGATCTGCAGTCCAATAGCGCCGCGCCGATGCGAACGACAACGTCGCGATCAAGCTCGAACGCTCGTGTGTCGGTGCATGCGATGAGATATTATATGTATATATATGTACTATTGCAAACTAATCGCATGGCAAAAATTTGCGCGCATTATTGTGAGTCACGCACGACTGCTCTGTCAGTGTCTGTCCGCGAGGTCGGCCAATCTATCAGTAGCCGCATTCGTTGATATTCACCGCGACAATAATCACACGCGTCTCTCTGATCCGAATAGTAAACGAAAATTTGACACCCGGCTTCAAAAGTATCGATTTAATTCACGTACGCGAGATGTGGTTCTACGTGATCTTGGCCTTGGTCGAGGCTGCCCTCATGATCATGTTTGCTCATTTTTATTTACACATGAGCAGAACGGGCAGAGCTATCGACGCTCTACCTGGACCCAGGGCTATACCGATTTTGGGAAATTTGCTGCAGCTTCACGTGACGCTCGGTAAGTTGACTTGGTAAATGTCTGTCTTTTCATTTTCTGCTCGTCAAGGATAGAATTTTTATTACGATTTGGAAAAAACATCGTTTGCTACTCATTATTCTTGATGAATTAATTAAATTTGAAACCTATTTATATCGATTAGGACAAATTATAAACGCACATAAAATGAAAGTGCATTGATGAAGTTGCTGACAAACAGTGAACTGAATTTCATGAAAAGCTTTGTACAAATAAAAAAAATCTTTTTCAATTAACAGCACTAAAATCAAAGTATGCATGATGTAAACAGGCAATGTACAATCGACGTCTCTTTACATTTTATTTTGGTCTCGAAAATCTTTGCCATCTCTTTAAGTATAAAACCCAGTATTTATTTATTCATTTTACCGACTAAGTTAATTTAAAATAATTCTAGTGGAATTGTTTGGATTGTTACGTGAATGGGGAGCTAAATATTATCCAGTTTATAGACTATGGTTTAGTATCAAACCGGTCGTCTTCATTCAACACCCGGACGACATCGAGGTTAATTGCTTTTATATCAAAAAAATTATGTCAGTAAATAATGAATGAATTAATTATAGATTCTTCTAATGAGCTCAAAACATATCAACAAGGAAATGGCCTATGAGCACCTCTATTCGTGGCTACAAACTGGACTATTAACAAGCGGAGGTAAAAACCGTAAATTACCCGCAGAGTAGAAAATCCTCGTGAAATATTTCAAATTTTTGTAAATTATTTGTAACAGATAAAAAATGGCATCAAAGAAGGAAACTTCTGACTCCGGCTTTTCACTTCAACGTATTGAAAAAGTATATGGAAATCACGTTCGAGCAGAGTAACAAAGCAGTCACGGATCTAGAATCGCTGGGAAAAGAAACCAACGTGAACTTGTTACCCTACTGTTCCAAGTACACTTTGAATATCATTTGTGGTAAGAACTTGGACTATACGATCTTACCGAATTTTCGAATTTATTCAAGTTAATATGCATCAGAATCGTCCATGGGTGTATCGTTGACCAGCGAACAGGATAACAACGAAGCTAAGAAATATAAAGATGCAGTTTACAAAATAGGAAATATCATAATTTACAGGTATGCACAATAAGATTATAAAATTTTGCTTTGATTTTTAATTAAATTTTATACGAATTCATTTACAGATTGTTAAGGCCCTACATTCTAGACTGGATGCTCCATTTTATGCCTCAACTGAACAAAGAGACAAAAAACACCTTAGGCTATCTTCACAGGTTCACCAGCAAGGTAAAATTTATATTTAAGAAAGAATATGATCAATAATTCATGAATATTATTCAGCTCAATTGACACATTCCTTAAAACGTAAAACAAACAAAAACTCGTCTGAGGAATGTTGGAGCGCTATAGTAACTGCAAATAATATATTGTGTAACGCATTTTTATTATATTTTTTCCAAGAACTTGAAACCGAAATATTTATAAATTTTTTTTTAACTGTTTATTTGTACTAATATTTTTGTCTCGATAGATAGTCAACGAACGTCGGGAGTATCACATAAGTACGGGATACCAACAATTAAACGATTTGAATCATGAGGCTGACGACGACACAGCCGTTTACGGTATTCTACACGATTTTCATTTAAGAATTTTGAACCATTTTACATTCATAATTTTGTAACATCACAACTATAAACCAGTTTGATTTTTGCAGGCAAAAAACGAAGACTTGCCATGCTAGATCTGCTGCTCACGGACGAAAAAAACGGATTGATAGACGACGCTGGAATTAACGAAGAAGTGTCCACGTTTATATTCGAGGCAAGACTATGATTTTCTTACACATAGTTTTTTTCTTAGTCAAGAATGACATTCTAAATTTTTTTTTTTCATTATTCACTGGCAAAATATGTTTTGCAGGGACATGATACAACAGCTTTGGCAATGTGCTACGCAATATTATTACTCGCTGAAAACAAAGAAGCACAAGTAGGCGAGGATTATCTTTTCTTTTCTTTATCATAAATGCTATTATTAACCTTGTTTCTTTCGTATTAGAAAAAAGCGCGTGAGGAAGTGGAAGAGCTATTAAAACCTAAAAATGGCGCGATGGATACGTCAGATCTGCAAAAAATGAATTATTTAGAGAGATGCATCAAGGAAACTATAAGATTGTACCCCTCGGTTCCGATGATAGCGCGTCGAATAGACGAGGATTTGCAATTGAGTATGTTTTTAACATTTATACATATCATTGTTGCATATCATTAAAAAAATGATGGTCAACATTTTTTGCAGAACATTGTTTGGTACCGCAAGGATCCAACGTGTTTGTTCACCTTTTCAATTGCCACAGGGACCCACACTTTTGGTCGGAACCAGACAAATTTGATCCAGATCGCTTCTTGCCGGATGAAATAAAGAAACGACATCCGTTTTGCTACGTTCCTTTCAGTGCTGGATATCGAAATTGCATCGGTATGCGTGAAATAGCATTATATTTTCTAAAAATGATCCGATCAATTTTGAACGTAAATTTACTTTTCTTTGCAGGTCAAAAATTCGCCATGATGGAATTGAAATCTCTGATAGCCCGAATTTTGTATGATTTTTATTTGGAACCGATTGATCACCTGTCTGACATCAAAATACAATCCGATATAGTTTTACGTCCAGCTACACCAGTTCAGACTAAATTTATCAAGATTGATAGATCGTAATTTTTTGTACGACTAATTTTTTTTACGTAATACTCAATAAACCGAATTGAACCTAATGAAATTTATTTGAAATATAATAGATAGAAATAACAATGATTACCATTGACAACAATGAAGTAAAAAGTTGGTGTTAAAAGAGCTTGGCTTGTTAGGAAACTTGTATTTTAAATTTAAAAAAAATTATGTTACATTAAAGTTTTAAGTATTATTATCTGTGATACTTTATTTATTTTTACAATATCAAGATTTTTCTAGAGTAAAGTTTTAACCAGAAAGAATTTTTGTATGAAATCGTTTTACTAGTTTTGTATGGCAGAGACTTTCCGTATGGCAAATGTACTTGCCTATCGCATTTGCTTAGGTTTTTATTCTTTATTGCCAGTTGTTTATTTAAAGGATTGAAAGATAATAAAAAATCAATGACTCTAAAAATGAACTACAAACAATTTTTATTTCGATATGTTTTGATATGACAATCGACAGTATAAGGAATCGCAAGTTAGTAAAACTATATCAACAAGCTCACTCAAATTTATACATATGTTGTTTATATACAAGCTACGAAAATACGGAACTTCGTGTTTTTCGACTAAAAAACCAAACAAACAAATGTAAATCATATTATTTCACCATTTCTCTCGCTCGCAGATCGCTTACTCTATTCCATTTTCATAGCCCCATTTGGCCAAGATCAACTTTGCTTCAAATTACAAATTTATACCTTATAACACTTGCCCTCTTTGAACGAGGGAAAGGAAAAGGTTTTGCAAACCCATGTGAATTATGAAAGTGTAAAAAATTAAAATATAATTTACATGGGCTAGGCTTGAAGTAAAGGCTATATCAAAAATAGAGAGCAAACAAATTGTTGCTTACGGTATAATATTTATACAAATTTGGCGTGCGAACGAAAAGTTTTTTCAATCTCTCTTATGGAGGTACGGCACTGATAAAATTAGCGTAGAACGCAAAAATATTCATGATACAATATTTGGGTACGCAAAAATTTATGCGACCGTACCTAAGATTATTATATTCGTTATATAAGGCATTTCGTCAATTTAAAACTAAAACTTTGACTTAAATATAACTAATAATTGTTAACGCTAATAACAGGAGGCGCATCTTTGGTGAAGGTAGCACTGGAGAATGTACGGAAGCTTCTCATTATAAATCGCAAAAACTTCTGTACTGTAAGATATTTTATTCCATAGGAGATTCTCTTGTAAGTTACTAATTTCAATCATTTAAATTATGGGTTGAGATTTTCGCAAAATTTATAAAGTCTACTGACCTGAAAGACTATCAAGATATTTGGTAAATCTATTAAAAATTAATGTACTCAGCGGAATGTTCGTATGCTTTAGATACACAGTATAAAAGTACGAATTAATTATCAAAACTGTAATTTATGTAACTCGAGCTTAAAAATGTTTTCTTTTTTTTTAAGCAGGTAAAAAGAATAACGATTTTATGGAAGCTTCCCAGTTTCTCTTTTGGTGCAATTTTGGTATTCTTGCATAATATAAGTCCTATATATTTTGAATTACCAATTGTAACATTAATAAATCAATAGATTTTTAAGATAAAAACAGTACTTTCGTACGTATGCATCACAATAAAAAAGTATTTTGTGAGTTTTCGTATTAACATCTTTACGATGAATGTGAAATAACAGCCTTTTTAATGCGAGAAAAAGTGTGAAATGAGTTTTTACTTTATAAATTATAAATACTATATTCAAATCGCTACTTTGATCATTTGGCAAAAGATTGATGTAAAACTACTCGGAAGAGAAAAAAGAGATTGCAAAAAAAACTAACGTAAAAACTAATACAGATCTACAAATGCACATTTTCAAATGTTTTTATCAATACAAATCAAAAACGAATAAAAGCTGCTAATACTTTTGGTCAGCTGTTACAACACAACCAACATAAAGCTGTATTAATGAAAATTCTTATTATGCACACAGATCATATAGTTTGTATAAAATTGATTTAGAAATTTTTTGGCAGCTGTAATTATTTAAAATGCAAGACTATCAATGATGCATCACCTAGTGCGCAATATTATGAAAACAGCATTATAAATGACAAAAAACCATCAAGGTTTTTACATTCTCGCTGCTCCAAAATCCATTCAATTTCATAACTTATGGAAATAGGTGAATATTAAAAAATATTCATTACGGCACATTATGACATTCATTACAACGAAATAAAGCTTTTCTTGTTTATAGATTAAGCCAACGAAATTATAACACTTACGACTGTTTCGATTCTACAAATAAATTATATAACTATACTCTCATAATAAATATTAGTAACGATAATCGTTTTTTGTCTCTCGTATATGAATTTATACGCGAGCACAATTGTCAATTACTGGGACTTGTCGCAGATTTTTCTCATTTATCAATGCTTACACACATCTTGGTTCGATGCGTCATTTTTACACTTGACTCAAGTTTCCAATCACTCGAGTTATAATGTTATGGTTTCAGATAGTATACACTCGTGACTTCGTGAGGAGTGTAAAAAAAAAAATATCTTTGATGTGAAACATGTAAATATTTGCGTTGATTTGACATGCACGTCATTATAAGTAATTAAATATATTAGGCAACATCAATTTGTGTACTTTTTCATAAAATGTATACGTTTAAAGACACAGTATAATTGACAAGTGTCGATTACACTTCAAGTTTCGGTTCTCATTAAAGCGAAAATTCAGAATTTAACAACGTTATGAGTTTAAAAATGATAATACGCTCGACATGGAATTTTTTATTGTTCCAGAAATTAAATATCCATTCGAATCAGTTCTAAACGGGGAAAATTCCGAAATAAAAGTTACATTTGTACTTTTTTCATTGGTGTATAACAAATCATTGTCGCGTGGAATAATAAAAAAATCGATATCAAACGCGTATCATTCTTGTTCCAATCGAGTGCGTAGTCTGTACGCATGTACAAGGAAAATAATCGACAAAGAAGGACAAATACACATGTGCGCTTTGGTAATGACTAGTGTATAACATAGATAAAACTACTTCTCGACTTTTTGAGCGCGATCGCTCAAAACTGAATTCTGTAGTTGCTGGGTCTGGGTATGGACCTGGTTCCAGGCTTCAACATGCACGTGCTCAGAGTCGAGTTGGTGTCGCTTTTGGTACTCATAATACTACCGGTGCTCTGACCACGCGACGAGCCGATGGACGACTCTTGCGACTTTCTCGGCTGCTTCGCGTCGCCGTCGCTCAGCCGGCCGTAGTCCATCATTCGCCTCGACGAGGGCGGCGGCGGTATGAGAGACCTCGCCTGGGCGTCTCGGCTGCTGCAGTGGTGGTGCTTCTCCGTCAGCCGCTCGTACTCCAGCGTCTTCTTCATGATGCTCTCGCTGGACTTCTTGCGACGCAGCACCTTGTTGGTGTCGAAACGGCCGAACTCGAGCGTGCAATTGCCCGAGTCCCGCGGATCGCTCGTCGTCTTCTTTCTGGTCTCGGAGTCGCTCAGTCTCGCGTAGCGCGTGTTCGAGTGGTGCTTCAGGCTGGACTTGGGAGGCCTCGGCAGCGACGAGGGCGGCAGGCTGCCGGCTCGCCGCTGCTGCTCCTGGCTCGCCTCGGCCGACGACGGCTCCTGCATGCGCTGGCGCTGCGAGCTGCGCCCCTGCTTTTCCAGCAGCATCATGTCCTCGGGCTTGTTGCCGTCGGAGAAGCGACTTTTGAATCGCGACGTGGCAAAGTCGAGCAACCCCGTCGACTCGCTCGAGCCGAGCATCTGGTGGTGATGATGATGCAAGTGGTGGTGGTGGCTGTTGTCGTCGTGCTGCAGCAGGCGCGACTTGGAGGAGGTCGTGCTGCTGCCGCTTCCGCCGCTGCCGCCGTTGTTGGAATCGACTACACTCGCCAATAGTGGCTTGGGTATTTTTCCTTTTCGCGACGTAGCGCCTGGATTAGAGAATCCTGGAAAACAGCATAGTGCACGCTGAAAACAGAAGAAAAGAGAACACACCCACGAGAGTGATGGCTGGATAGACGATGGATTTTTTAATCCGGGGGTGTACTCTCTCTTCTTCATTATGAGGGCAATGGAAATTTGGGCTTTAGAGCTCGAGGATGGCTGGCAAATGATATGAGGAAGAGAGGGTTAGTGGATCAACACGCGCACTGCACACGTGTGAGAGGCAGTTCATGCGCTTCAAATTTCGGCGAGGAAGTTGGAAATTGTTTGGATTTTTATTTTTAATATTTTATTTTAAAATAACGACGTCTAGTGAGAGATGTTAATGATAGTACTCATTTTGATTTAGTTACACTAAAAGTCTAGATTTTTTCATTGCTTATACTTGTAATTTTGGCTAGCACATAGCACCAATAATCTTTTTACGCCATTTCTCACAAACACCTCGTTTTCAATTAAATAGAACATTTAGAGACAAAAGAATTTTAGTAAGAATTCAAATACAATATCAATAAATCTAATGTGAAATTACTAGGAATAATGATGACGATTATATGACCATACAACCCATACTGACATGAATCAGAATGATTAGTAATTTATGCATAAATAAAGTTGTAAAGTTGTAAAAGAAAATCAGAGAAAAAGAAACAAAAGACACTGAGAGAATTTCAAATTACATTATAATTACATCGAGAATTTATAACTGATTATAGAACCAAAAATCTCTAAAAGTACAGTGTAATAAGATTTTTTAGTCAAATCAACTACGAGAGAAAAGTTTCGTAAAAAATGAAGGCTACCTTTTAAGCGTAAGAATATTTTTGTAATTAATTACTTTTACTTACATTTGTGCGACAATACAATAAAACTACCCTCTTTGATATTAGGTTGCTTGAAGTAGTTTTTGAGAGTAAAATGATTTGTAATAAAACGTGACAACTTCATTATTATTTTTGTAATTAAATTTTTTATTGTTTTTATTTTTAATTTTTAGTAACTTTGCTACTAATTGGCATCGTAGCATTATAAATGCATCATACTTTTTTGTATAAAATTTTTTCTAAAATAAATAATACTTTTAATTCGTTCATTTCAATTTACATCAATGATAACGAACGTAGTAGGGTAGAAAAAATATTTGTAATATTTTTTCAATACTTTTACATGAAAACGTCCTTACCGAAGATCGAATTCTCATCTACAGTGCTCAGTCGTTTAATTTCAAGATTATGTAACGTTTAAAGTTCTCTCAGTGGTTTAATAACTAAAACTATTAATGGTATAAAAAAATATATACAAAAAGTACAAACTCGAATTCAAACGTTAGAAAAACTTGCAAACACTCGATAAAATCGAAAGCAATAAGACAATTTTTTCTAATTATATACATTGCTGCAATGAAAATTTTTGGTATATTGCTTTCAATTTGTTTTGTCAAACAAGAACACAAACACGCACTCATCAGTACCTTATACTGCACTACCTGTAAATATTCTTTGATATCTTCACCAGCTAAAAATTCTATTTGTTTTACTACTTTGCACGCATATTATTTGAAAAGTTTTATAATATTTCGAATAAATAGTACAATATAGCGTGCAAAGTTGAAATTACCTTAAGTGTACAACATTCATGTGAAAAATAAGTAAACATTGATACAAGTCTCGCGTGATGATGTTCATAAGAGGATAAAAATATAAAAAAAGTAAACAGAAACAGCAAGAGTGTGTCTATAGTTATACAATAGTAAATGAGGTAGGCTACGAAGTAGAAATTCGTCCTACCTTGCTGAGTATCTGCGAATCAAGCTCTTTAAGCTGATCATCGAGACTTTTATTGGTTTGTTCGAAGCTGCCTTGCTTTCTATATTTATAGCTCTCCGAAACAGCATAAGATCCTGAGCTTACATATGCACTGCCAGTGCCCAAAACGCTGCTTACTGAACAGGAAAATAGAAATTTTTTGTTATAAAGTGCACGCAGCACGATGTTTGAGTGAATTTTCAAACAAAAAATATAGACGCTGTTCATCAAATATTGTCATTAATGTTTCGAAATTAAAAATAAAATTTTGATTCATATATTATCACAGTGGAATACATACCTAGTTCAGGAGTGCTTGTTAAAGCTGTATGGTGATCCGCCGATGTGCTGGAATGAGAAGAGTGTGCTGGAGGATAACTACTGCTCGCACTGCTCTCCTTATCGTACGTATGTTTTTGCAATACTCGTATCATGGCATCTCTTTCGGCTAACTTTGATTCGAGATCTTTCATTCTACACAAAAATAGTAAATTGATCAATTCTCTGCTACATTAACATTATTTAGATTTCTTTCGCGCAATAGAATATTTTAAATCAATTCATACCTTGATTCAAGATCGGCAAGTTTCTTTTGTGCAGCGTGCACCTCGTCCATGTGACGCATCTTTTCTGATCGTGCTTCGGCGATCATTTTTTCTGCGTCTTGACTCGTTTTTTCAAGTGCAGCTATTTTTGCATCTCTGAGTAAAAATAAAAAAAATGATTAACAAATGGATCTTGTTATGCACAAGAATAAGTAGAAAATAAAAATAGACTTACTTGGGAAGACTAGCAGCATCGATGGCAGCTTGCCTGAGAGCACTTTCTTCGAGGTACCTTTGCTCCCATTTAGCTACGTCGCCTTCAAGAGACATTATTTTTTCGTCCCTTTCGCGAAGTTTACGCTTCAGCTCAGAAATATTTTCTCCGTCTGCGTTACCGTATATAGTAGAAGTGTGTCCACCACCTTCCCTCAATTCGCGTTCCAGCTGTCCACGCAACTGTCGCTCAGTTTCTTCTCGTCTATCGCTGGAAGCTTGGAGCGAACTGAGAGCGCGTTGAAGCTGACCCACTCGATCGACGTAAACCTGTTTTTTGCGGTTCTCTTCCTCGAGACGAACTACATTGCTCTGAGCGTTGGTTAATGCAGTGTCAAGAATATCTATGTGCGTTCGTTGCTCTTGAAGAGTGGCTCGTTGCGCGGCTAGTTCAATCTCTTGTCTTTCTTTGGCTGCTGCTAATTCTTTAGCTGTAAAAAGTTTTAATTTTTAATGAATGCTACAATGAACACTACAATGAACTACAATTGTATTCATTATGTAAAGTAACAAGAAAAATTACTCTGTGTAATAAGCTGTCCAATAAATAATTCCTTCTGCGTCAACTCTTTCCTCATCGATTCTAATGATAAGGGGCTTTCCGTCCTAGAGGATAGTAAATCAATTTGATCTCTGAGCGCTCGATTCAGCTCAGTCATGCGTCGACAATCGCTTTGAAGTCTTATTCTTGCGGCTCTCTCCAATTTTTCTCGCCTTTCGCAAGAGGCTACCAGTTCTTCGTGTGCTCGATGCACTTTTGCGATTTCTTGTTCGAGTTGCTGCGATTTCGATACTTTTTTAAAGCAGCGTTCGAGCTCGAGTTTCAAGGCACTATTTTCCTGTATGAGAATTTGAACCATTTCCGACGTAGGCCACACTTCGGCGGCCGCAGATTCGAATTCTTCTCTTCCTTTCGTTTGTGGTCTAAAAGATCGATAAAAATTATACTTTCGCACGTGAATTTTAATCAATTTTTTTTATAAAGTTTTAAGAAATTGTAAAATGCAAATTTACCTCGGGGACGTTGTTCTCGGATCGTAGGTATCTATGTCGGATTTGTTTATTCTAGATAAATCTGGCTGTGACCTAGAAAGAGTGAGTTTTTCCATGGGTCCTGGGAGTCGAAATTTGCTTTTAACTGGCAACATCGTCGAAGTATATTTAGATTGGTTTTGATCCTCGTAATCTTTGCTTCGATCACTTTTGACATCAAAATTTCCGTCATTGGTCGTGAGCTTCGAATACGAGGGAACTCTGACTTCTTTCGCAAGATGCTTCAGAACATGCGACTGATTTAAATAATCATCGGGTATATCCGTAATTTCTTGGCATCCACCGTGACCGGTATTTTCGTAAATATGATCGTCGTGCGGTAAATTCGACAGCGACTGCTTACCAGCGCCTTCGCAGAATATGTAAGTCATATTATCATTGTGTTCCCTCACCACCCCGGATAACCTGATAATTTGAAAGTTTAATCATTAGGAATTGAAATTCATATCAACTAATACGAAAGATAGTAAAAACTTGATTTAACCTTGACGACGGCGTCCATGGATTTTCTTCGTTAGCATTGTGAATAATTAACGTATTGTATGAACTAGTTGACACATCCAGGCTACTTCTGTTTGATCCAATACTGTTCCGATTGCTCAGATTATCTTTTAAACTGTTTCTATTTGAACCGCTGATACTGTCTTTTAAACTATTGCGATTTGAACCGTTTAAACTTTCTTTTAAACTGTTTCTATTGGATCCATTTAAGCTGTCTTTGAGACTATTTCTATTCAGAAGATTAGCCTGTAAATATTAAAATTAAACATTAATAATTCGTAGCGGCAGTGTAGTAGTTTTCAGTTCTAGTTTTCTTTAGATCTAAATCAATCCTTTTTTAATAAAAGTACTAATTTTTTTTTTAATATTTTCGATAGATACCTGAATGTTTGGTATGTTTTCTTTGTGACTGGAAGACCTTGAAGGACTGTGTTGCTGATTTTCTTGTCCTTGTGGCTCTTGTCGCGCCGTGTGCCTGATGACATATCGCTCCTCGTTACTAAGGTTTTCATTGGACGTGGAGACGTCAGTGTCGCTGTCGCTTAGACTTTGCGGTAAGCCTGCTAATCGTTTGGAAAATCAACGCAGAATTGCGGCGTGAATTACGTGCGGAAAGACATGAAACGAACGATTGTATATCGACAAATGGAAAAAAGAAGTGTCCTTACCTTGGCTGGAAATCTGTTTTCTTTGTATGTTGCTATTGGCGAAGGGAAGGAAGCGACCAGTTTGCTGAAGGGAACTCATGATTTTATAAATCCATTTAATGCTTTATCTGCAAGAAACGAAAAGATTTTATCTATAGAGGAGATTTCAATAGTTATAAGTATTTATACTCCGATAAGCGCGGAATGCATGAAATTATGAGCCATATATCTAAGTACAAATAAGTGGTATCAACAGCTCGGCACGTCAAAGTACTCCAACACTCGAGAATGTATTAATTTTTATCACGAAAAAAGAAACGCATACCAATGACGGGTAAATATTTTTCGCTCGAAAACGCATTGATTTGTTTTCGCGAATAGCCCGCGCTTTATGAGTTGTAAATTATTTCATCAGTTAAATGGGATATCAACGAAACGCTTGAGTAAGCGGGATTTTTTTCCAAAATAAAAAAAGATGAATATGTCATCCACTTTGTTCGATGGAATATTTTGTCGCGCGTCCAGACGAAAGGCAATTTAAAGCCAAGTATCACAACTTTTTGCATGTAATATTGAGCATAAAGTACATGTTGCATATGACATGCTCGCGGCAAGAGGACATTTAACATACACACGCGAGCGCACGCGACACGCTGAAAATAATTTTAACCAAGCCGATATCAACGCAGATAATAATTTAATGAGCGGAACTTTCTACATTTTTCGAATTACTCGTGCTTTCGTCGAACAACGCCACTCGAAAAAACGGTACCTTTCACTTCCGATTCTTGTTCTCGTAATCGCGAAAAAAAAAACCGAAAAAAAAGAAAAGAATTCGATGAGTATCATTCGTGCTTCACACCTCGAGTATAATACCTATATGAGTGTACAGCGATTCGTTCTAAGCTTTGTTCGGTATATCCGTGAATAATATGATAATGCGATCGGCGTCGCGAGCCGCCGCGAAAGGCCAATATTATATCTGGCACAAAAAGGAGCACGAGAGAATCGAAAATTCCTTTGTGCAGTGGACTTTGTATCGGCGGAGTGAGTGAGAGAGCAAGAGAGAGAGAAACTCGAAAATCCGAGCTTCCAGGCTTGTAGGAGAAAGGAGCATGGCAGCTGCACATGCCGACCAAGTGAGATAGTAGTAAGCTGCGACGATGACGATGCGGGATGACTCGGTTTGGCAATATACGTATTTGGTATAGTGCACCTTATATATACACACACGCACGCACGGACATGAGCAGCACGTATAGTGCAGAGAAACGGCGAGAGAGACAGAGGTGGGGGGCAAGAGGCACGCGCTGCTGCGCTCTGCTCTGCTTTGCAAGTCGCGCATACACACACTCACGTGCTATACATGTGTGTTCGGGGATCGTGCATATAATACGCACACAGAGGCGCGTGTCAACGCTCTGGAATGCGCCGATTATCGGATAGTCCGGACGATGTTGATGGCAGAGCTTTCGCATACTTTTTCAGTTTCGGTCAATTGTTGATCACATAAATAAATCTTTGGCGAACAAAAGTTACGCATAAATTAGTGCAACAATATTGCAAAAAAGTTTTTTTCCATGAATTAATTGGCTGGAGCTGAAAAGTTACACCGAGTCCTCATTATCGTCTACAGTTTTACTGACTTTGTGCGAATGTCGTTCTCAATCTCTGTTCTGTTTGTGTGCAATGTATAATGGTGTGTTACAGCTAATATATACCTCCACACTTCGAAAGAAAGAAATACTATATTATGAGTCAGTGCAATAGTCGCATAGTCACTGCGGGAGCGGATTTATTTTATAAAAAGGAAGAAAGAGAGGAAGAAGAAACAGAGAAAGTATCGGATTTTTGTATACAAAAATGTTTTTGATCCTGAGATCAATCGCATCGACGACGACTCGAACAACAACTACTGGGAGAGAGAGAGAGTCTGAAAGTGGGAGTGTGGAATGTTAGTTTGGTCGTGCGCTTGATTTCGTCAGCGATCAAATTCCGATAAAAAAAAGTTTACCGTGAAGCCGACGCGCGTTCATGGTAAAAAGCCCGCAAGCACACAATGTAACGATCATTAAAGCGAAATCAAGCTAGCATTTAGTTATATTCGTTACGGCGAATTCACTCATTGTTTACACGATTAATTTCAATAGAAAAATCGCGCACACACTGCATCTCGATACTTTTGTTGTGTCATTATTAATACGTTTCGAGCTAAGAAGGATACGATAACTTTGAGAGCATAAAACGGGCAGCTGCTGCGCATCACGACGAGCGTTCGTGTGTGTGACTGTGTGTGTGTGTGTGTGTATGCTGCTCGCACCGCGGAGTGCACTGAGAATAGCTATAGCCGAATTCGACGATTAAAATAAAGAGAGAAAGCGAGAGGCTCGAGACAGCCGCGCAAAATCGTCTTGCCGTGCCGATCATATAGGCGTTCGTGTGCGCACATTGTGCATGTGTGCAGCGGAGATGCGGCTCGAGGTTTGGACCGCGAGCCGCGTATGGAAGTATATGCAGCAGCTTCGACGCGAGATGAAGGGGCGCCTCGTGCGTGCGATCCGCGAATTCCTCGAGAGAAAAAGTAAAGAGATCGGTTCCGGATATCGCGTGCGGGCGGCTACGAGAGTCGCCCGAATATCGAACAAAGCCTGCACAACAGCGCAGAGATACAGAGAGTACGCAGCTTTCTCTCTCACCCGCTTGCACTTGTTATATTCGAGCAGAGAACTTCGATGCTCCGCTTGCTCGCAAGTACACACTGTGCGTAGGAGTAGATAGATTTTAACGCCAACAATGTCCGCGTAATTTAAGCTTTCGTACGCGAATGCAGATATAAGCACTGCGCCTCGCGTACATAATACACTGGTACGCACGTACGCACACAGCACTGGCGCATTTCATGCCAGTCTCGAGCGCACAGGCAGTCGTGCAAATTTACGCATTTGGATCGTCGTCGGATGCGCGATCGTGCCGCATCGAGTATATGCAATGCGCACGAGCTATAATATGCACACACGCACACACACATACACCGAGCGACGAGAGATCGAACTATGTGGAATCTGGATCCGCGCACTCGACTGCACTTATAAAGAGAGGCGCACACGCACAAGGTCGATCGGAGGTTGATCACCGCGAGCAGATTTTCCAAAAGAACGCCACAAGAAGACGACTATGTATACCTATTACCACTCGGCACTTTGCTGCACTTTTACTGATCAATGCACACAGAACACTCTTATACACTGGCACGACGAATTATATTTTCCAAATATGTGCGCATTCGCACGTACACTCGTTGCACACTGGATTACGGAATGCAGAGAGAAGCTGGCTCGGTGCACTGCACACGGAACAACGACTGCACAAAGCGCAGCGCACTCACCAATGGTCGACGACGACGACGACGAGGTGCGGTGACCTATGGTGTTGGACGTCGTCGTCGTCGTCTACTTCACAATTTTTTACATACATTACAATTCACATTCTCGTCTGGAGTCGCACACTGTAATAGCGAGCTTTTGCGATACATAAATTATATATAGTAGCAGCGATCGCGAGAGCGTTGGTTCGCGGCGAAAAAAACAAAAATATGACTTACGACAGAAGATCAGACTCCGCTTTACAGCACTTATACATATATTATTTTATATTTTATGCTGGTGCTGTGTGGCGAGTCGAGCTCCGCTACCGCTTGTATTCGATTATAGACTGGCGCAGCTCTCCGCGCGAGGCGAAAAAGAGTCTCGGGACTCGGGAGTCGGGACTCGGAGCGCACTGCTGTCTATCTTACTATATACACAACACACACGTATAACAACACACACACACAGGCGCGTATGATTACACAGACGAGAGCGCTCGAGCGAGCCTAGCCGCATTCCTCGTAAGATGGAGTAAGCGACCGACGGTTTGTCGACGTACGTACACACGCAGAGACAGGCACATACACGGGCACACGTATTCGATACTGTAGGAGTGTGTGGCAGCCGCTACTATATACCGCGCGCAGCATGAGCAGCGCTTTGCAGCCGAGTCAGTCGCGCGAGTCTGGCATTGAGACCGCATGAGGCATCCGAGCACATATCGCGAAATTCTCTCGACTCCACGCGCGCGTCAGAATACGCGACGCGACTACACGCGCCGACTCTTGTATGCGTGCGCGAGACATCTGCTCGGCTTTGTGTGTATTACCTACTACTACTATACTACTATATAGACGCGCTCGGCTCTTCCATGCCGCAATGACGAGTTTAAAGGAGCTATAGCTTTGAGTATAATATGCGAATGCGTTCGAGAGCCCATACAGCAGCAGCAGGCCCAACAGCTGCGGAAATAATACACGATATCTCTCTCCCTCTTACTCTCTCTCTCTCTCTCTTCTTGATAGGGGAACGATTGCTCGATCGAGCAGTCCTGAAGCTTTACAAGATATTTTATGCTCGTGCTCCATACAGTACTAGGGTACACCTTAAATATGAATATTTTTAACACTTATATGCTCGAGCCGTCTGCCGTGTACATACCTATAAGGTAATATATCGCGTGTGACGCGCGGCGGCGGCATGTATTGCTCATGACCAACGATCGCGAATGAGGAGATCGAAAAAAATTCAAAGAATGACGCCAGTCCATAGTCTCTATAGGCATAATATGCCTAGCCGCGCATAATGTGAATTATAAACCATAATAATTCAAACGCACTACGCAGCTATTTAATACATTTTTTACGTTACCTAAAATATGCCAGCCTATCAAGTCGAATGACGCTCAATTATTGCGAGAGAACCAGAGGAATATAATATTATATCGAACATACCGCGTGCGCGTTGTTTTTTTACGATGGTATTTTTCGACTTTGGTATGCACGCATTTTTCTGACGACGATACCGAATAGCGAGTGAGAGTATGAAATTTTACACATACTCGCTCGCATCGGTCGCAAAGAGATTGGCATTATACAGAAATATGTAGCGCGCTTTACATTTAAAAAATATAACATGTTGAGATAATTTATCTCTTGGCAGAGAAAGAGAACACGAATGACGATTTGAGGGACCGGCATAAACTCTATACGCGCGAGTTTATAACGATAAATCGAGTATGCGCGCGTGCTTTTCATATGACTTGATACTCGATCCTGCTATATTGTACAATATATATAATTATAATGAGCTCGATGTGGATTTTGCACTGCACCTCGAGGCTATCTCGTGTTCAAAGATTCGACTGCGTTACACGGAACGACTCTTTTACGGCTTACCGGTGTGCAACGGCTGTAAACCGATTTTACTTCCGCTTATGGTTCTGGACCGGCTACTTTTTCGATTTCAACTCGTAAATTCGGGAATAAAATTCAAAAATTTTTCCTATTTAAAATTGAAATAATAAAAAGATTTTTTTCTTCAAAAAAGTCAAGTGTTTTGACTGATCGTTCTTTTGGCTTATCTCCCGAATTCAATCAATTTTGCAGAATCAAAAATTCCAATGAGCGAGAACGCATAGCCACAGTGCGATTCAGCATCCAGCGATTTGAACTTTGACTCTTAGAAATCCATGGACTGGGTTAACGAGTCGAAATTGTTGATAAAAAAGACATCTCCATCGATTCGTGGTTATCAACGATAACAATTGATATCGGACTCTCGAGTCGCTGCTCCTCGTATTCGCACCGCTCTTTTCGATCTATCTTGCGCGATAATTACACTGCATTACAATTCTTTCATAAATAAGCTTCAATGGAAGGTCAGAAACACATGCGTCACGCAAAACGATATACCCTCCACTTTTGACCGCGTATACATTATCATCTCGTGCCGCGTTAATTCGTCATTAGATCCGCGCGTGCGTAAGTGTATTATACGTTTTATGCGCTAAAAAATTTGTAATAAATATGTCACACGCTATATCGCGCGCCAAGTATGAGATATTTTGCATTTTGTCCCCCCCCCCCCCCCTTTTGGTATGTTTGAAATTATTCAGAAGCACGATTAAAATGCGAGACATTTTTCAATCGTGTGGGAATTAGTACATTACGTCACTCGTGCGCGAAGTGGGTGATTCTCGCACGAGTCTCAGTTTGACGCCCGAGCGCAGCGAGGGTGACAATGAGACGGGGGCGAGAATCACCACGCGCACAAGTGACGTATACTATTTTTTATCACGAGTTGCGGGAAGTTTTTATTTCCCGCACGCTCAGCCGTGCGGGAAGTATGTAATTTCGAGAAGAATCGTTATTACAGTACTGCCCGGGAATTACGTACTTCCCGCACGCTGTGATAAAAATCTAATTAAAACATTTTTCAGGGCCCTATCACACACTTAAACTTTACTTTAGATGTATAGAATCCCGACAGAACTTGAACTCGTGGGTAAAAGCAGATGATTATATTATCGTCGTTGGGTGCGTATAAAACGAATAACGCATGTTACTGTAACATGTTCGTTACTTTATAACACGTTTAATGTATACTCCGTTCAACTCGGTCAGCATACTGCAACCAAAGTTGCTAGTTTATTATGCAGGTTACGACGGCTTTAATGCGAGTAAAGTGACACAAACCGTTAGAAAAATGAAGAATATCTCGTCAAATTTTTTCGATGTTTTAAAGCATTACAGTAATATTTTCATATTTATTTTTTAGTCATAAGCAAAGCATCAAAAGTTACTTTTTATTCTAGTTTGAAGATTGGATATACCATCGAAGCTTCTTAGAACCCGATGTGCAGAGTCAGTCCAAATTAACCCATTAACGACCAAAATGCTTGATTTTTTGTTGGTTTTCGCAGCGATTTATTTTGTAGTTTTAGGCCTTAAAAAAATTCCATAAAAAATCCCTGAGATACTTTGATAGTCGTGACCCCCCCTTGATGATATTTATGTCGTGATTCTTTAAAAGTAACATGGCGAAAAAAAAATCGTAATTTTGATTTTTTGCAAAAATGTTTACTTTTTTTTTGTTTAAGTAGCTATAACTTTTTTTTACGCAAAAAATCGAGTTTTTGAGTTCAGTTTCTGAAACGACATAAAATTTTATATCAAAATAGGTCCATGCGAAATTTTTTTAAGGCCTAAAATTACAAGAAAAATCGCTACGAAAACCAACAAAAAAATCAAGCATTTTGGTCGTTAATGGGTTAAGATGCAAACCAGTAAGAATCAGAAGCTGACTGCATCGACGGTTCCGTTTGATTCTCGTAAAAAAAATGGTCCACAATTTCGACCACGTGTTTTAGAGTTCTCTTCATAAATTGAACAGTGCATGTGCGCAGTCAGTCCAAGTTAAGACACCAACCAGTAAGCATCAAACGAAGACTGCTTCGACGGCTACAAGTCATTTTCTTAAATATATATCTCTCAATTTCGACCCTGTGTTCCGAGTTCTGTTCATGCATTAAGTAGATCTCACAAGAAGTTACTTTTTTTTTAATTTTGGGCCTGCAACACCTGTTGTGGAATAGCCCATATATTAATAAAACATAACAAAATTAAACATTTTCAACAAGACATGTCTTATCAATCAGTTTATCATCGTTTTCCGTAAGCAGCATATCGCAAGATTATTTTCATACTCTGAAATATTGTAAATAAGATGTAGTATATTACACTTAGGGATGTGCGAGGAAAATGGAAATCAGAGTAATTAAAATTTTTTCATTCCGATAGAAAATTTTCTCATTTTCCTTGCATTCAGCCAGTTTTTCCGATAAATTTTGACATTTACTAAAAAAAAAATCAAAAACAAACCTATAAGGTCACTTTTGAGATATTTAGCTCCGAGTGTTTAATGGAGATTTTCTCGGTGAAAATTGAATATTTCGGAAAATCAGATATCACCGTCGGAAAGCTGAGGAAATTTTCTATCAAATCCATTAGTTAGTGAATTTCTCCATCAGGGGTTTGATTCTATTACAGTGACTTAGAAATTGATCAAGTAGCAGTATTTACGTGAAAACATGACTATTGTCTTCTCAAATGTTCACGTATTTTTTTCTCGTCTCTATGACCCCAGGAAAAATTTCCCGGGGTCCAGGCCCGGAAAAATTTACCTTTTTGCTGAAGAAATTGTATTTTATTTTTAGATTTGCCAAACTTGTACCCTGCAAAGAATTATTTCCGATTTTTGAAAATCCACGATTCAAATTTTTTTCAAAAAATACCCTTGATACAAATGGAAAAATGTGTGACAGTTGTCAATTGACACACAAATGGCTCCGTGTCAGTTATTCCAAGTGAAAACTGATATTAATAAAAATAAGTAAAAAAAACGAGATAAAATTCATAAAAAAAATTGTATTAGTGGAATTTTGACTCTGTAACGGTTACAACTTCTTCTTCTGGATATTTTTCAAGACTTTTTATGGTCAGAAAAAATGTAAAAAAAAATGATATTGAATTTTGCACGTTAAAAACATCAAAAACGATGAAATTACTAACAATCAACGACAAATGGATACTATCGCCAAGTCAGAGTAGAAATTTTGATTCATTAGGGTCCAGGTTGCGGGTATTCTCTTTTGATACCAAAAGAATAACTTTCATTACTATTACGAAGTGATTTTCGAAATCATCCATCTTTCGATCTTCCCTGATGCGTAAGTGTGCTGATTGCGAACGTATTCCTATGCTCTTTCACTGAACTCGAAGCGACTTTATACCAAGGATTTTTAGAGAGATGTGCGTCGAGAAGGATTTGACTCATCGATATGATCGTTATAATAACAGTCCAACTTAGACTTTAAATTGTATACTTTGAGTTTTGGCGATTATTATGACCATTAGTTTTTTTCTATTTACGAGAACCGATCCGATCGAGACTGTGACAAATAAAATGTATATTTATTCTGTATTATCATTGAACGCGGCGGCGACGCGGTGGGCTCAAATTTTACTCTCGGATTAAAGCGCTACTGCCTTACTAGCCGATGATAAAAGTATATCGTGCTTATATAATACACAGTTGCGGGCGCACATAAAAACATTGACTGGAAAAATGTTAGCAAGTAGTTGTGGCATTCCACGAAGACTCGTGGCGTCGAATTTCATTTCGATAAAAAAAAATTGTTTACAATACTCGAGCCTACCGATTTTTCGAAAACATTTGATCGCTGACTCCACCCATAAAGAATTGAAAATATTCGAACGATCATCCCGCTACATAACCCCAGGTAAAGGCAATAATAACAATAAGTAATGTAAACAACTTTCGACACTTTGCGAGTCTTTGCGGCGACTCCATATTGTTATGTGCATTTCAATTTTCTTTTGATCTACAGATGCTCTATTGTAAACCTGCATTTGTTGTTGCGGTATTCTTGAATTAATAACTCGCTGCACGTGATAAAAAATCAGCGATTGTTAACTTTCCAAAAATTCACAACTTTTTTGGATGTGAAAATTATCACCTTCAAATCAAATTCGATCGACTTCCGATTATTCTGTTTTTCTGACATACTTATATTGATCGTCAACTGTTACAAAAATGAAACTTTATATATTTATTTTTATCTTGGACATAGTTGTTAGCAGCCCGTCAATTGAAGCGTCAACTCACGTTTCCAACAGAACAATGAGCGGAGATAGTAACAAGCCGAAGAATTTAAACTACGAGGATATTTTAGAAGCGCAGAAAAAAGATGAAATATTGATCATTGACGTCAGAGAAGACGACGAGATTCGTGAAACTGGAAAACTTCCTGGAAGCATTCACATACCAAGTAAGATATCACAGGAATAACAATTGCTATTTAAAAAATTTTCGTTCTCTAATCGTTTAAATTTTTTTCCCTCAAGTGGGAGAGGTCGCACGCGTTCTAACTACAGTTTCTAGTCAAGATTTTAAAGATAAATATAGTCATGAAAAACCTAGTCAAGATACTCAGATTATTTTGAGCTGCAGGTCGGGCAAAAGGAGTGCAATGGTACAAGCAGATTTGGAGAAATTAGGATACAAAAAGTATGTTTTTTATCTTGAAATTATACTCGTCAAATATATTTATATTCATCGTTTTTTTAGTGCCTACAACTATACAGGAGGTTGGCTTGATTGGGAAAGTCATCAAAATGCATAATTTATATAGAATAATGGCATAAATATGTAATTTTAAACACCAATTATACATTGAAAATAACTTTTTTACACGATTTTTTTACAATAAACGTGTCTTTTTTGAAATTTATATCGTTTCAATCGTTTTTTAAATTAATCAACACTTACTATTTTCGTTGGTTTCCTGCCCTTATAAAAATTTCCAATAGGATCCCGCGAAATTCCTATTGGAATCCTATAGGACTCCTGTAGGAATTTCGCGAGATCCTATAGGAAATTTTTATAAGGGTGATGTGTTAGTGAAAGTAAAATTTTATTTTTTTCACCTAGAAAATTTGATTCATTGATACTAAAAATTAACAAAATATGTAAACATTTTGATACAATGAAATTTTTAAAACAAATTGTAATTGGTAATCAATGCAATTATAAACAAGCCTGCTACTAACAAATTCAAAATATCCAAGCGGTTCATCTGAGCAATAGGTGAGATCAATTTTTCCATTTGCTTACCTATAGCTGCAAATATTAGAGTTTTATCAGAATTTTTGGCATTATGCACGTAACTTTAGGTTTTTGACTAGGACCTAAGTTACTGTTCAGTATAATTTGTAAATTGTAATGCTTCTTAATTTTGTGTTCAGTTGTAATCAATGGAATTTTCTCTACCCATGGTGTTTCTTTATCTAAACGTGATCCAAATTATTTCTTATTTGTTACTTTTTTCATTTTGCTACAAAAAAATAAAATTATACCAAATAATAATGTCGATAATATGGTTCAATACATTATCTTTCAGTGCGGGAAGAAATTAAACCTAAAAATGTATATAATATTTATAACCTTATGATTATTTCTTGAAGAAAATACATACCAACGTGTCAAAATGATCATGTCTCAAAATAAAGAGAAGTTAATAAATAATGATATGCCGCTCGCGTGTCGATACCTATACTACATCGCATAATACGATGCTGTTGCCGCAGCGGACGAAAAGAGCCGACACTCGTGTCTCACAGTCACTGACGTTGGACGCACCGGCATACGCATACGGCGCAGTCTTGTCGCTTCTTCGTGCCGCCACCGCCGCAGACGTAGAAGGAGCGAGCGTACGGCCATGTGCGTCGATCAAATCCAGTATTCAGTTGGTTTGATCTGCTGCACGTCTTTAGTCCTTGTGTAATATTCGATAATCGTGCATCTAAACTTATTATTTCGATGTGTTATCTCAGTGTAAAGAGTGTTACATACATTTCAGACTAAAAATTAATTTTCTATAGCTAAATTTGTGTCACGTGTATTGACGGTACACGTTAACCTGACACGAATAATAGTGCTTCTATTTCAAGTGTAATAAATTTGTTTACATCATCAGTATTACGTCAAAGTTTTTACTTCTGTTATTCGAGTGTTATTAACTGTACAACCAATCATGGGTGGTGCACCAGCAACAAAGAAGCCAAAACTTGAGGGCAAGGCATTCTTGGAGTTAAAAGAGAGACTTAAACAACAGAAGAAAGTTAAAAAAAATATTCCAAGGTTGCGTTTGCTTCCAGCGGGAGTTAACGCGAGTTTATCAATTGACAATGAAGATAGAACACCAATCATTTTAAGTGACATCCAGAATCTACTTATGTATTCAGTATCGGATCTTCAAGTACCTTTGAGATGGTGCAAAGTTGAAAAGTTCACCAAAGTGTCACATGCCGTTGTACTGATTGTTGATGGCTTAAACTTTAATCATTATAAAACCAATCAAAAATTACTTGATACTTTAAAGTCTGACATGGAACACAAATTAGAGCTCATAACTCCAGCAATTAATGGTGAATCTATCGCAGAGGAAATTATAACAATACCTCTCACTGAAACTTACAAAAAAACTTTAATTCATAATTATGGATCCTTAGAAGTAGCAGCTGATCGTGTAAAAGATATGATAAAACTGAAAAGAACCATTTTTCCCATTAATTCAGGTATGATTACTTTACTATTAAACTTTTAAAACATTATAATTTACAAATAACTTACAAACAACTATATATTCTAAATATTTCTAATTTACTTGTTTACAGTTCAAAGAAAAAGAAAACATAGTGAAACAGAAATACCAAAAACTGAAGATTTACCTGATGGCGACAAGTTCTCAAGAACAGAATTATTACTTTCTTCGCAGCAAATGGTAGAGAATGGGTATCCGTTACCTATAAAAGGAGGTTCAGATGAACTGAAAGGTTATAAATTTACAAAAGATAAATATGCTGAAGTGAATTCTAAATCTCGCATGTTTGGTTTAGATTGTGAAATGTGTATGACAGACAAGAATCGTTCAGAGCTAACACGTGTGTCAATTGTTGATGAAAGCCTTGAGGTTATATATGATACTTTTGTAAAACCATATAATAAAATTACAAACTATCTTACCAGGTTCAGTGGTATAACAAAAGAATTATTGGAAGATGTAACAACAAGATTGGAAGATGTACAAGAGCATATAAAAAAAATTCTTCCGGATGACGCTATTTTAATAGGTCAGAGTCTTAATTTTGATTTGAGAGCTCTTGAAATGATGCACCCTTATGTAATAGACACATCCGTGATATTCAATCTAAGTGGTATTAAAGGTCGGAAAGCAGGATTAAAAGTTCTTACTCAAGCATTTTTGAAAGAAAGTATTCAAAATGCTGGGAAAGATGGTCATTGTTCTGTAGAAGATTCAAGAGCTGCTATTAAGTTGGTGCAGTTAAAGCTATTAAATACTCCTACTTTTGGAGATGGACTTCTTATCTCACAGTCAGAGCTGCAAGAACAAATTAACAAAGGAAGGAGTAAACCATTTACAGAACAAATCTTAGCATCGTTAATATTTCAACATATGAATAAAGTTGAATTAAAATCAGCAGCTCTTGCTGCAAGTCCATCAATTATGAATGAATATAGCAAAGCTTTAGTGAAATCAGATTTGAAAATAATGGATGATGACAATTTCCAACAAAGTGACTTTTTAAGATTAGTCATAAAAGATACCAACAAGAAAACTGTGAAAAGGTTTTCAGAAGTAATTACAAACCATGCTTTGAATTTCTGTCATGTTAGATTGACTGAAGATGAAGTGAATGAAGAAAATATTGGCAAAACACTTAAGTCTGTAAATAAGTGGATAAAAAGTGTATGGGATCAAGTGGAGAATCATGGTTTTGTATGTGTGATTTTTAGTGGAACAAAAGATGTAGAAAATGGTGCTTGTTTTTTGAGCATAAAAAAAAATGACAACATAGAACAATTAAAAAGTTAGGTTCATATGTGTAGTTCTCAAGTTCAGCACTGCCTAGATTCTATACCTCGGAACTGCCTACTCCTATGCATAATCTGTTATTTGATTGCATTTTGTATATAGGCGTTGGCAGTTCTTTGAAGGATGCCTCAAGTTCTGACATGAATGTAACTTTCCAATTGATATGTTAAATTTAATTTAGGTCAAGTAAACAAACGCATTGTAGATACATAAAATGTACATAAATCAGATTTGAGATTTAAGTAGAAAAATTTTAATAAAAATAGTGTATGACAACTATTGTTTTTTTGCATAGTTTTTATTTTTTAATTTAATGTACAGTTCAACGATAAAAAATTATGAAACTATAGAAAAGTGTTTCTCGTCTTTTCAAATTATCACTGAAAATAGAAAATAAAAGAAAAAGAAACTTGATCAAAGGAAACTTGAATGTAAACCGAGATTGCATTTACTTCCAGATTAATTTTTGATTAATAATCGTTTGTTCATATATTTTACGATTCGCGGTACATCATAAGTCATAACGGATACGTTTACCAAATGCTTGTGACTTTGGCTTGTGCTGCTGTCGCAGGAGTGCAGAAGTCGCTGTCGGTACGTGGCGCACACGAGATGCAGAAAATTTCTAGCTTACCCACAAGTTGCCTGCGCGAGAGTTACCTAGTCGATCACTGCACGTCACTATTAATTAACGATTTTTATCGATGCTTTGAGTTTCAAAGTATAGTAGAATAATTTATAAAATTTATAAGACCGTTTTTTGGCAACGAAAATTTTTTTTATTCAAATAAATATTCATTTATTTGAGAACGAAAATGAATAATACGTATAAAATTAAAGATTAATCGTTCTTAAAATAATTACGCTGACGAACAATGGACTGGGGCCGAGGCGAATCGTTCGTTCCGCCACGAAAGTATGCATCGATTCATTTCCGTGTCTTCTTAAACATTATATATAGTATATTTGTATACAATACAAACGAACCTATGAACATAACATTGTTATAATACGTACACAAGTAGGAAGAGTCGCGATCACTGACATCTGTTATTATTATTGGCCCGTGCTGCGTCTGAAAATCGTGATATATATTCACACACGTTGTTACACAATTGTTTTGATCGTACGTAGATCGAGATCGATTCGTCGGCTCGCTATCATCGTCGGCAACGAATTCAGTTTTGCATCGGCCGCTGCATCATCGTCGCTATCTGTACAAGAGTCTCGAAAGCTCGATCGCAATGAGCCAACCGCTACCGGACGGCCAGTGGGGCACGACGGAGATCAACGTGCACAAGAGCAGCTACACGTGGAAGATCCGGAACTTCAGCTACGCCCAGGACGGGGTCGTGTACAAGTCGCCGCAGTTCACGGTGAATCCGCGCGACGGCATCAAGTGGTACCTCGACCTCTACATCAACGGGCCAGCGGACAGCGACCTCGAGGGCAACGTGTCGCTCTTCGTCAATGCCGGCATCAGCGCGTCGAGCTGCGCCTTCGACGTCGAGTACAGCGTCGCGGTGATCGACAACAGCGGCGAGAAGTGCTTCGCCAAGAGCAAGAAGCGCCGACTGACCAAGACGACGAATTACGGCAAGATCGGCTCGTTCGTCAACAGGAGCGACTTGCTGGGCGACGAGCAGCTCTTCCTGGACAACGACACGCTGACGCTGCGCTGCGACTTCGTCGTGATCGGCGACTGCAACTCGAGCTCGTTCGAGGGCGCCAAGCCGGATCAATCTTGGTGCGACCTCGACGATCTGCTGGCCGAGGAGCGTCTCAAGGCGCTCGACGCCTTCGAGACGTGTCTGCTGTCGTCGGAAGCGGAGGACGAGTCGAGCGACGTGACGCTCCGGGCCAGCTGCGGCAGGAGCCTGCGAGCCCACAAGTTCGTCCTGTCGTCGCGCAGTCCCGTGTTCCGGGCCATGTTCCGGCAGAAGATGCTCGAGGCGAGCAGCAGTCAGGTCGAGGTGGCCGACATGGATTACCAGGTGCTGCGCGAGCTGCTGCGCTTTATGTACGCCGCCCGGGTCGAGGGCCTCGACGACGACGGCCTCGTGGCGGGCCTCCTCGACGCCGCCGAGAAGTACCAGGTCCAGGGCCTCAAGGACGTCTGCGTCGAGCATCTGCGCCGGGGCCTGCGGATCGACAACGTCATCGAGATGCTGCAGCTGTGCAATCGCTACGAGTTGAGGGAGCTCAAGGCCCGAGTCACCAAGCTCGTAGCTCTCTACGCCAAGGACGTCATAGCCACGGATGGATTCAAGGCCATCAAGGACACTCAACTCCTCGCCGAGATCGTCGCCATTATAGCCATTAAATGAGCTTCCATTCGTTTCGTTCCTATCTACGTTGTTTTTGAAGTGAATTCTTTTATTGTTTTTGTTGTTAAGTTTTTACCATTTTTTGTTATATATTTTTTTTTTATATATATTTTGTTTAAAATGCATCTTTGTTGTGTAGAAAATTGCATTTTCTAAATATATAACTGCAATATCTACTAAAAGTTGACTTTTTGATATTTATAATAGAAACACCCAAGTTTTTTGAAGACCGACATCTTTAAGTTTTATAGCATTTTCCGTTTCGCATGAGTGGAGAAACATAGTTGCATTCGGGAAGCTGGTATCAAAAATTATTCATAAATAAAATATATCGATGCCTCCTAGCAACGCGATGCTACTGTATAGATAACATACACGTGATCTATACACGTACTGTATGCGTAGGTCTCTGCTCTCATGCTTTTTTTCGATTTCTTGAGCCTCGCAATAAAAAAAACTGAAAGATTTGGCCATTGAACCGATCACAAGCAGAGAGAATTATTATTGATACTCAGACATGTTCTGCACTATCCGGTACGAACTGAAAAAAAATTTATTCTGCATTATTCAAGCAAATTGCTCAGCTTTGTTCATGAAATATACATAATTTAAAAAATTTATACGTGGAATTTCACGTCAAAACTCACAGAGCATCCACGCGTGATATCATTGAGTCCAATCGCTAAATTTCTAACTCACTGTAAAAATACCTAAATACACCCAGAAGAAAAGAGTAACCCATCATTTCGATGGAAAATTTCCTCAGCTTTCCAATTGTATGGTTATATTACCTGAAATTATCAATTTTCCTCGGAAAAATGGCCGGGAAACCTTCAAAGACCATTTCTTAAAAAATTTTACTTTTAAGATTGATTCAAGTATTCTAGATCGAAAGAACATAAAATTTTCCACCGGAATAGCTACTTTGCAGAGTGCGCAACAAAAATTTTCACGAGCTATAGCGAGAGAAAGAAGAAAAAACGTGTTTTTTTTCACAGTTTTGAACGCCGGCACAGCTCGAGCAAAAACCACGTTTTTTCTTCATTTTATCAAAAAAGCACAAGACCGAGCAAAATGCGTACAATCAAAAATCGCATGCGATTCGCCGCCACGAGTATGTATACTCTGCGCAAAGCTCGTCGGACCGTTAAAAAAATGTCAAAAATTAATCTTTTCGGGCGCTGATCAAAAAATCGATCAGATTATATCGGCAACGCATATTACGTATGGTCCACGTATAAGTAGAGCTACGCGTACTGTATACCACGTATAGAGATGTATGTGGCACAAATGCATGTGCATCAAAGTGGTTGGTATAATATACGTGTAAGATAGGTACACGCGGGCGTTTCAGCGTATATACAGTTTAACCTTTCCTTCTTTTGTGCTGCCTCGTTCGCGCATCTTTGCTCATTTTTCAATTCTCCTTCGCTTTTTTTTACATCTCCCCCACCCTCCGCTACGTAGGCTTGCACGAGTACGCGATCCTTTTTTTTGTATATGGGTCATTCTCCTGTCGTTTTGAAAAGCATGTATGGAACAATTTTGAAGAATTTTGAAAAAAATTATATTTAATTTTCAATAATATGATAGTGACTCTTTGTGAATTTTTAAAACATAAACATTTTTTTAGGGTTCTCCAAGTTAAAAATCGTCGAACTTTTCGCTATTTTTTGTCGATTTTTAAAAATTTCCTCAGGGGTAAGTTTAAACTTTCTTGGGACGTATTTAGAATCTTTTTTTCGTCTTGAATGGTATGTTTTTACTGGAAATTTGAGTTGGGAGTTTTCAACAATTGCGATTTTTTAATTAGCTTTCCAAAAAGCTAAATTGATGTTTTTGGACGAAAGTCAAGGTCTTACGCAGTCAATTTTGGAGCTACCGGAAAAAAAATAAACGATTTTAAGGTAAACAACGTCAGTACTACCTTTATCGCTAAAGACTTTTGCCCGCACAAATGACTGTGTTGCTATCATCGAATTCTAAGCGTATTATCAGTATAATGTTGCAACGCTTTCAGCCGTTTTTAATGCTGTAAAACATTAGATGGATATCATAAAAATAAAAATTTTGAAAACCACAATACGGAGCTAAAGTGCGATGCTTTACACGAAACCCAAGCAATCCTTTCGGCTGTGATACTCAAAAAAATAACCTAGAGTTTTGAAAAAAATTGGTTTTTTTCGGGAGTTACTTTTAACTGTATCAAATTCGTTCGGCGTCTCAAATTAAACGTCGCTCAAGATCTTGAATTAGGTTTTTTTTTAATTTTTGATAGCTTCAAAATTGACGGTAATCGAGCCGTTTGAAAAAAAAAATTCTTTCAAAAATGTAGGTTTTTACTTGAGCTACAAGTTAGGAGTATCTATTGAAGAAAACTCGCCATCATGCAGCAAAAAAGTTTATCGACACTTTTCAAACGATGAATAGATTTCACGAAAAATCTTTCATATTGTTGAAATATGTTTATGTTTTTTTCAAAAATGTTAAAATTTGTTTTTAATATGTTTCTTTTAAAAAGCTAGAATTACCCATATACGTAATATATTTACTTGGCCCGTTGCTGGAGCAGCGATGGTATAGTACCGCTACATTAAAAGAGATCGAGTTGAGTTGCAGCAGCAGCAGCAGCAGCAACAACAGCAGCCCTTTGGTGCGCTTGCACGCACACGCACACACTCACACACACAGAGTTATATAGGCGACAACGCAGGCGGCACCTCGTTCGTTTCTTCGTGCCTTTTTTCTCTCTTATTCCTTTTTTTCGCATCTCTCTCTCTCTCTCTCCCTTTCTTCCGAAAGCCTCGTTCGAGCTCGCTTTTTCCATCCGTCTTTGCTGTCATTCCCGCTTTGGCCCGTGGCTTGCACGCGTGCGCCTATATATCCTGCCTTATGCATGTATGCGTATCGTTTCGTTCTTTATCTCCTTATATTCTCTCTCTCTCTGATGCTCGGGCGCGAGCTCTTGCTCTCCTCCTTTTATTTTCTCTCTTTCAATTTGTTTTCTCGCCTTATTGCTGGGGCTCGCGCGTGTGCGATCACCGATGCTTTATTTTCAACTGCTGCTGCTGCCGCATGCGCCGCAGATCGGTATGTAAGCCATCGGACGTAGCTATCTCTCTTCTTTCTCGCTTTCAGCGGACCACATTATGCGCGCTGCACTCGCCTCGGCGCTGGCCTCCTTTTGTTTTTTCTTCTCGCTCATGGATGTATAAGATCTCGCTCGCGCCCGAGCACCGCTAAATACGATCGCCTATATCGTACCGTACTGCTGATGCTGCCGAGAGCTGACTGGGTTTCGACAAAATTTGCCGACCAAACAGTTCCGTATGCGGTTCGACATCTGTGGACACCGACGACGATCGCACGCCACAATTAACTGCAGCTATTTTTAAATATGGAGCACACGTGCTTAATGCGTAGCCTCACGATGTCTAATGAAAATGTGCAACGTATATAAAATCGATCATTCTCTTAAAAAATACGTCTCGCTAGCACCAAGTCCTTCATATAGGTAATCCGAGGCGCGACGATGCGCTCCCGCGTATACTTCATCGTTATAGGAATATCATCAACAAAGAAACTCGATCGATGCGAAACCGAAACGATCGAAAAAAAAAAAAAAAAGAAGAAAAATAAACAAAAACATAGCTCACAACGAGAAAAGCTCTCCTCGCATAGTATACGAGGATAAAGAAATGTAGCCGCGCGTCGACTTTTATGCATGAAATAGAAAAAGCGATCTTGTTACCGATATTCAATAACGAACGCTGCTCTCCCTGCTGCGTCGCTACCAACTCCTCCTACGAATATGATATATTGATCAAATAGATAAACAAACAATCTCTCTACTATCCCTTCCTTTCGTTCGACTCAACCTTCCCTTTCCCTCCGCTCGGATCGGCAAAACGTCCGATTTCTTTGCTCGTGCGTGCCTCTATTGCTCGATGCGTGTGTATATATATCTGCGTGAAGTGCACGCACACGGCTCCTTCTTCTCTTTTTCATGCTCTTCGTCGTCGTCGTCTTCTTCTTCTTCTTTTGTTTCTTCAATCTTTATATACTTGCAGAAGTGTACGCTTGACCGTAAAGCACACACATATATACACGTAACCGGTTCGCACAGCTGGACTTTAGAGCGAAGAAGGCCCGATGCTGCTGCTGCTGCTGCTGCAGAGCGAGCACGCGAGATCGGCGCGCACTGGTCTCGGCTCGCCTCTGCAGCTACTCTCGCTTCGGTTGACAGTGAGCGAGCGGCTGCTATCGCGACGCCTTCCTCTTCAAAAAGCCACCGAACCGAAGCGAGCTTTAAACTTACCCGCGCACTTATATACCGCGGCGCGTGTTTTTACTCTCTCCGAGGCAAAAGTTCGACTTTTCGTATTTTTTTCCACGTTATATCTTGGTGAATCGTTCCGTGAAGAAAATTCGTCCATCGAACCTTGTGTGCTTTTTTTCGTCGCTTTTCGCGCGACACGGTTGCCGTCTTTTTAACTTATGAGTTTTCGGTCTCATCTGTGTTGTGTTTACAGTGTCCGAATATTTGTATCTGTACGTTCAGCGTAATATTTGTACGAGGTAGAATAATTAGCCAATATAGATCTTAATTTTTTACGATTTGACTGTTGAAATATTTTTCTCGCTCAGGGTTGAATTATTTAGGTAAAAAACTTACTCTAGAGTTATCAACACCAACGACATCAAAGTCTGGACTTTTCATTAACCGTCCCGATTTGCATAATAAAATTTCATTGTTTTACTCGGCTCCGAAAGTTCATTCAATTAATTACGGAAGAATTCCAACAATTTCACGGAATTAATTTAAAATTACACGGCAAAATTATTTTTAATAATAATGACAGCGATGACGAAGAAAAACATATAAAAAACGGTTCGAACGGCATTCCGTCGGTTTATTAAGCGAGGGAAAGAGCTCGACAAGAAAAAAAAATCTTTTGAATTTATCACCTATGCGCACGAGAGCCGCGCTCCGCGCTTGACCATCTCTAAAGTTAAAAAACTGAAAATCTGCCGTACGCAGAAGCAGTTATACGGCTATACGGTATTGAAAAATAAATTACGCCACCGCGGGCAAAACTTGACGGAAAAAGAAGGAAGATAAAAATTGTTTGTTTCGAATTAAAAATAATAATAATAATAATAAAATAAGATAAAAAATACG